CTGATGAAGCTAAGGGGAGAAACCTCATGAAGGGTATAGAGAATGACCCCATTCTTCAAGCGAATCAGCAACGGCAGGAGGGTGTGCGAGTGACTTCTGGACGCATGCCAGCTTCTAACCTCACGCTTGAACAATTCCTGCAAAGGAGACCAAAGTTCCACTGGCGAGAACCAGATGGAACCAAAGGCCCTATTGTCGGAATGGACTATGAGCCAGTCCCAGTACACCTGGGAAACAGTTTAGACGATCTGCTACACTTTTCTGACAGATCGTACACCCAGCTGATCCAGCTTGTTACAGCAGATGGCGAGCGAGATCGTGTAGCTATGAAGATCATGAAACCGCCACCCAATATCCCACGGTTGAAGAACGAAATAAGCAAGCTCATAAGCCTTCGACATAGGCACATTCCAGCTATTCTTGGAACTTGCTCTCGACTTACCAGAAAGAGACTCGAGTATGGGACCTTGATGTTTCCCCTAGCTACAAAAACCCTCCAGGACGTTCTAGAGGAGATCTCGGCACACAATCAGTTGAGAGATCGGAGTCTAACCTGGTCGCCGCACCACGCCACATACAAAATTTTACCGTACTTTGCCTGTCTCTGTAGAACAGTCCTTTTTCTTCATAATCAAGATCGACCAATCATACACCGAGACATTAAGCCAGCTAATATCCTTATCGACAGGGTTGACAATGTCATACTAGCTGAATTCGATATCTCAAAAGCTTATGATGACGANAAAGAAGCAATTACTTATGGTAGCTTAGAAGGCACTATCATGTACTCCTCGAAAGACGTTTGGAAAGAGTCCATGAGAGACAATCCCGAGGAAAGCAAACGAGGACTAGAGTGGGACATTATTAGTCTAGGATTTGTCTTTCTAGAAATGGCAACTGTGCTATTTGGTAAGACCCTAGATGAGATGCGAAGACCTATGAAGAGAAGCTCTACCACCGGAATTATGAGAGTAGTCTATTCAGAGGCATTCACAGAGATCAGAAACTGGCTTAATGTTCTTCGAGAGACAGCAAATCACTGTCCAGATATGGTTCCAGCCCAGTTTTTCTACCTTTCTGAAAACAAGGAAGATTACCTCAAAGATTTCTTGAGAGCAATCAAGCAAATGATTTCAGCTGAGAACGACCGACCACTCAAACTTGCCTGGATGACCTTTGGAAATCTCTCAGAACATTGTCCCAGTCCCCAATCCTAGTAAGTACTTTCCACAAAACTGTCTACATATGCTGATGGATGTCAACTAGCTCCGAAGTGGATGATGTTCTCAGATTGGAAGCGCTTTCTCCGGATGATCTTTAGCTCTCTCGCTAAAGTCAATCAAGTGATGCAATTGTTCTGTTTGATAGGCCATGACTATCAGCGGAGGGTGCTCTTTGGTGGCTGGTATAGCGACTGTGTTGACGATGATAAGGCAAATGAACGACAGTTCCGAGACTAGATCGATGGGGCTAAGCCACAATTTTTGACGTTACGGCAACCGGCCTTTCAGAGTCTGTACTGAGACTTGTTCCAAGACTGGACAACGAGGCTCTTGCTCAACCTCGTTCTTACTGATATACTGAGGTTTCAACTCCCGAAGACGTCTTTCGTAGTCGTCTGCAACAGATGCCACAATGGAAACTTCTGGACCCTGAAGATCAGCATCGTCAGAACGTTACAGACACACTGAGGTGTGCAGCACCCACATGGGCATGGTGTGTCATCAGGATTGGTGTCGGGGAAAAGCCATCGATAGGCAAATCTTCATTTCTTCCATCTGTGCAACCGCGCAGACGCTGGCGTTCGCCATTGTCACGGCCATTACCGCCCACTGAGACGTGGCTAAAGCCTTTCTCATATTTGCTTTGCTCTCGAGAGATTCAATAGCTAGTGGGCTTGTCTTTTGATGGGAAGTCAGATACGTAGATGATCGAAGGGGCTTGCCGTTATACAAGTGTCCTTGACACTTCACAGACTCCAAGGAGACTACAAACCCAGGCTGTGCTGCTGCGCCAGAGTATCGACATCTATAGGGGCCTCCCAAGACTCCGGCACGTCCATTTCCTCAACTATGCCGTTCGCTATGCCGTTGGTTATGCCTTGATCCAAATCCCATGTCTCGTGATTCAATTCCCAACTCAAAACAGGATCCAATGAGTTTGTAGAGTCGCCACTCTGAAGCCAATCAAAATTGTTTGAGAAAAGGAAAGAGAAATTAGGCGAAGCGCTTTGGTAAGAGGTGCCTTGAAGGTCATGGTTTGCTGGCGGGTATTGTGATTCTGTAGCCATTTGCATAAACTGATTTTGTGGTTGGGTTGTGGCGACACGGTTTGATGTAGTCATGTTGATCGGCAAGTCATCATTGGGAGTAGATATACTCCTCAATAGCTGGAGTTCTAACTGTGGGGGTGAATATGGCGCATGGCGATCGTCCGAAGTATAGGGAACCAAGGCGTAGCTATGTTCTGGTAGTAAGAAGTTCCCAAAAGTACCAGATCCCGAGGATGGCATAGCTTGATCGGTAACATCATCAATCTTAGAACCTGATCCTACATGTTCGACCAGTTCCAATGGTGGCATGACAGCCGACTTATCGGAATATATGTCAGGTATTTGTTTCGGGCTGGATGATGACGAAGATGAAGTTGAGACACTCTCCTCTAACTCATTTGTCTTGATCCCGTATTGTGCGAGGAACTGTTCGCGAATCGATGGAATATGATTTTGGAAATCGTGCATAGCAGAATACTGTCGATTAGACTCCCGGAAACACGCTTCAAAGTGATCGAAGACCGACGACACAATGGATATCATGGGATCCTGGAGATCTGTATTTGTTAGACCATCGATAATGCATCGGTCCAAGTGGTACCTACAAGGGCACGGCGTGTGACTGGATTCAGGGAATAGCAGCCTGTATGCAAATTTCCATTTGTCCTCATCCTTGCATCCGCGCAGACTTCGAGCGATTTTTGACTGCAAGGATAAGCGTTTGCCCTCAGATATCCATAGTATGCGTTTCTTGTTGGACGTTGGGACCAGACTACAAGGTGCTGTGGCTGTCTGATGGGCCTGAAGCTCATCAGAGCTGTTGAAGTCAGTCCGAGTACACCTCGGGCACTGCAACGGCTGATCAGAGTGTACCCTTTTCAAATGTTCACTGTCTTTAATGAGTGTCTACTGCGAAAGCAACTGCGATGAACTCACTATAACTTGTTCATGTTTTGAAAGTCATGTGTCTCGCAAATTTCGAATTTTTGCACGTTTGAGCATTTGATCTGTACATCACAGGATCGTATTTGTTATACAAGCACGCAAGTCTCGGTGCGGGTCTCGGGTTGTCGTTCTCTCGAAGAATGCGTCTTCTCTTCCTCATTTGGCTAGTATGATGACTTTGGTCTTCGTAGCTCTTCGAAGTTATTGTGCGAATTCCAGACTGATGCTGTTGACGCATGAGATCCGCTCCAGCTTCGGGCACTCCGTCTAACTCTCTCGATTTGTCTTGCCCTTTGAACCAACCATCATCGGTGAACTGCAGAGAATGTTTCTCCGCTTCGGATGGGTGGAAATAGGTCGGCGCTGCAGATGTAGCTCGAGCTATCTTATCGTGGTCCAAGAAAGAGTCAAGTATTTTGCCAACAACTCGAGACGCAGGAGGGCAACAAAATTGTGACAGTAGATCATTGTTTACGGATGCACCTGCACAGATCAAGTCCTCGATGGGACACCAGATGCAGAGATTCCACATTTCTGACCCTGGATCTGACAAAGGTTGAAGACTGTACGGGAATGGACACATGTGACCACGGACAGAACGAGATTGATCTGGATTGCTCAGATGCCATGAAGCCGAGAGTGTTTCGAGTCTCCGCAGGAGGAAGAGTGCAAGGTTCGCGACCATTTTTTGATGTGAGTGGATCCCAGTTGGACAGCCTTGTCCCTGGTGAATGTTTGCCTAAGGGTCTGTCCGGAGCCTTTCGAGTTTGGGTAGTGCCCGCCAGCGTGTTCTCCGAGAGGTGACTTTGATCGTCACATCCAACTGGCCTTCGGAAGCTACCATATCCGAGACACCTTTTATCACACCTTGAATTTGGCTGGTGCTGACGTGCGGTTGAGGGTTGTCCCTATGCTCTCGTGATGCTGATTTTTTGTCTAGCGTGCGAAGATCTGGTCGAAGAGCTGTCGTGATTTGCTGCCGTGATCTCTTCTTCGTCTTCCCGGCCGAGATATGGGACGAGGGGTTTAGCTCTACATGAGTGCCAGTCTCTTTCCGGAGCCGAATAACCATCTGCACAAAGGGACGCTTAACGACAGGTACAGACTGCATGTCGCCAGTGCCCGCGTGTCTAGAGTGGTTGACAGAGACGTGCTCTCCGTTGTCCGCCATGGTCATGAAACTGTTGTGGGTTTGAAGGCTTGAAAGAAAGGGGATGTGCTGAAAGGAACACACCGATTTGGGGCCATACTTGCGTTTTTGTAATGCCCGCAAGAGCGCGCAGCCCGCATTTGCGCAGCTGCGTAGAATGCTCTTCTTGTGGCTGAGCTGCATGACAACATGCATATTACCGTAAAGCCTGACTGGTTGGATAAGCGCCCAGACGTCTTCATAGCCGTCTGATAATGACATACTCTGAGATTTGGCTAGAAGGCTGCGCAATAGCTTTTCAAGTGAGAAGTACGGACAGAGAAACATTCCAAGGCAAGGTCTCGCCGTAGACTGCACTCAACTGAACGTTGTCGTACAGTTGGAAAGCTGCAATGTGACGGACTTTAGCACATGAGGAGGATCTAAACATGTGAAGCCACAAGCATGATCCGAGCGAGAAAAGAGGTTTTACGCAAATGCGCAAAAGCTTTGTTTGAGAGCTCGACCTCGTTGCATGTCCGTACAATCAGTGATGTAGCGACTTCATAAGGCCTGCGTTGACCAGAGTCGAGCTAGAGAGCCACGAACAAACCTTCGCACCACATTATGGTTGACATGAAGCCAACGACACAGTGGAATATCATTCGCAGAGCGAAAAACGGCCTATACTACCTGAATTTCCTGGAGTTCGAGTCTGGAAGCTCGGGGGGAACTATCTTCGAGCAAATTCAGCAGTTGTGCTTGCCACAAAGGAATACTTTCAGGCATAAAATTTCGTCCTTCTTATACTCTCCAGTCGTGTATACCACCACCGTCATCAAGGTAGTAGAGCCTGTCCTTTATTTGTATACACTCTAACTTGCGAAGGGACGGGAATCAACCCAGGGCACCGACATTGAAGCGCAGGCTTCCGCCTATGAAGTCTTCATCAAGAACAAACGCTACAGCGAAGCATATACGCTGGCGCTTCGGAACCCGGCAAGATTCGAGAGGGAAGATACTCCGAACTTTCTGATCAATCGTTCCCAACTCGCAATGAGCGGAAGGCCAGGTCAAACTATACATGCCCTTCTGGTGGTGCAAGAAATCCGCCGCGCCAAAGTCATTCTGCTCTTCGGGTCTTTTGCTCTGTTGTCTATCGGAATTGGAGTCATGGCCGGCAGATTCAGCAGAGATGTCAATATTGGTGTAGGTGTGACGGCAGGGTTGTTCCAATTCTTGACCATGCTCCAGTGGTCATATATTTGGGTAGCTAGGAGATGAAGTTTGTAGGACCAGTGGTGCCAGAGGACTTCTCTAGAGCGTGCGGAGCCAGAAAGGTCGATTAGATGATGCAATTCGAAAGAGCGACGAACAACTGTTTTACGCTTGTTGTTAGTGTATGTAGAGACCTACTTGAAGCACACTTTTGTTGCCAGTACTGATGATGTGTGTCTTTCTCTGCTTCTGTCCAAGATCCCCAGCAAGAAATGTGCATGAAGTATGCAAGTCCTTCAGCTGTGCCTGCCATGGCTGTGAGAGGACCAAAGGCCCTGTGGTAACAGTGCGGCAGTGTCTATTTTGAGCAGACACGAGTGACAAGCGAGCGTGACGAGGTACGTATCTTTGCAATCGCTTATCAGCAGTTCATGTGCGGCGGGTTGTCAATACAGCCGTTGAGTCAGGTATAGACAGTCAGGCCGTTGATGTCGGCAATTCAGCTAGTCAGGTATTGAAACACAACGTCATGTACTAGGGCTGTCATGTCAGGCGATGTGATAGGCAATATATGGACAGCCACCAGCGTCACAATAGCTGTCAATGATATGGCGAAACAAGAGACTGTCTCAGAGGGAGGTCGAGGAAGAGAAGAGCGGCAGAGCGTCTCGCCAAAAGTTGTTACAGAGCGTCGTCAGCTGTGAGGGGAAAACTGGTGGTCAGCGCAAGGGGCGGAGTCTGGCTGAAGAAAGAGAGACGAAGGTTTGCGGAGAGGCGAGGCTAAAAGCGTGCTTAAGTTTGGCGGGAACGGGTGACGGATCGACAGTTGGTGCTCCAGAAAGACAACAAAAGTGCAAGCACGCCTCAAGCCTGTCTCGACCGGACCTGCCATTCTCTGCCAGTTTTTCTGCCATGCGCCTGCCATTGACATAGTTCAGCCTATCTGATATCCTTTTCTTCTCGCAACTTCTCCGTCTCGAACAAATGGGCAAATGTACACCTTTCGCTGCTATTGTCTCTTATCGCAAAGAAACTAAATTCAGACAGGGCGATATGGTGTAATTCTGGATGCCGGTTCATCTGTACGCGCTCTCTCCAACACACATCTGTCGCAATGCCACATCTAACCTCCTCAGGGCACCCGAGTGCATATTTACCGATGGCTCAACGCCCAGCGAGCGAGGAAAGATGGCTCTGATCTCGAGCTCAAAAGTCTGCCCGAGTTGGAAACAAAGAAGAAGTGGACACTCAAGATCAAGCCTGGTGTGTTGGCCTGGTGTCTGTCGCATACACACACAGCGACTGATGCGATTCAATANGGTGTCTCGACGTTCGGAGAGAAGCCAGAACGAGTTGGTCCCGACCACCTCAAGCAGCTCGTCGACCACGCCCTCGAGTACATCCCCGATGACCAAGTCCAAGACACTCCGATCTTTCTCCTTGCCACCGCTGGCATGCGCCTACTCCCCGATGTCCAACGAAACCAAGTCCTTGACAATATCTGCTCCTACCTGCAACAAAACACCAAATTCCAGCTGCCTGACTGCGGTTTACACATCCAGGTCATCCCTGGCGAAACAGAAGGATTGTATGGATGGATAGCTGCAAACTACCTACTCGGCGCCTTCGACGCTGATGCTACCAAAACACACCTCCATGGCAAGGACCACCACACATACGGTTTTCTGGACATGGGAGGCGCTTCTGCTCAGATTGCCTTCGCACCCAACGCCACAGAAGCTGAGAAACACGCTGAAGATCTAAAGTTGTTGCGTATGCGAAACGTCAACGGTGACCCAATCGAGTACAAAGTCTTTGTTACCACTTGGCTAGGTTATGGCGTCAATGAGGCTCGCAGGCGCTACATTGAATCACTAACAACAGCAAGTCCTGGAATCGCAGAGTTGCCTGATCCTTGTCTTCCTACTGGTCTGGAAGTCACCAAATCTGGCCACGCTATCTCTCCTGGTTCTCACAAGGCGGCTGGAAAAGAAACATACCTTTTAGGAACAGGCAAGTTTCCCGAGTGTCTGTCCAAGACGTACCCCTTGCTGGACAAGGATGCACCATGTCTAAATCCTCCATGTTTGCTCCATGGCGTACACGTCCCTGCCATTGACTTTGACGTCAATCACTTCGTTGGCGTTTCTGAATACTGGCACACTACTCACGAGATCTTCGAAATGGCTCATAAGGATAAGGCCTACGACTTCAACACTTACCAACAGCGCGTCCTAGAATTCTGCAGTCAAGATTGGAAGTCAATACAACAAGGAGTAAAGGAGCAAAAATGGGGTCGGAAGGTCACAGAGGAGAAGGTGGCCGAGGTATGCTTCAAGGCCAGTTGGTTGATCAACATGCTGCACGATGGCATTGGTATTCCAAGAGTTGGTCTTGAAGGTACNAAAGGTGGCCACAATGGCACCAAGGCTGTAATCGATGGTGCAAAAGAGAAGGGTTTCCTGGATCCCTTCCAGGCGGTCAATAAGATCGACGATGTCGAAGTCAGCTGGACGTTAGGGAAGATGGTCTTGTACGCTGCTTCGCAAGTGCCCGGCCCGGACGACAAAGCATTGGCAGTCGGTTTCGGCAGTAACATTCCAGGACTCAACCTTCCTAAAGACTTCCAATTCGCAGGCGGCAACCCTATGCCTTTGCCAACGGACCTCAAGGACGATGATGTTGACTGGCATGACAAACTCTTCACGTCAAGCTCTTCCCGCAGGTTACCAGGTTTCTTATTATTCCTAATCATTCTCCTGGTGGCTGCATTCCTCCCTTGTGGGCGCGACAGACGCAACTCTTTACTCAGAAAAGCAGGCTTCTCTCCCGGCAAAGGCAGCAAACGCAAATCAAACGCCGTGACAAACAGCCTAGGCAAACTGTTTGGCGGTAACAACTCTGGTCCCGCATACGAGCGCGTCCTAGAGGGCGGCATTGGTCCCGACCCCTCCGACTTCGAACTCGACGACATGAATGAGAATGATTCAGATTCTGACAACAGCAACGGCCGTACTTCTGGTTGGGCCACCCCCAAGATCAACAACAATGGCTTCAGCAGTCCGGTCTTGCACTCTTCACCTCGTTCTGCACGAGTAAATCTCTACAATCAAGGCTCCCAACCCATGTCTGGATACTTTGACGGACCTGCCACTCATGGTTCGAGCACTCTATCTCTTGCTACAACGCCTGGACTGCAACTGCCTCACGGTAGCAGAGGAGGGTTGTTGGCAAGGACAGAGAGTAGAGAGCAACTAGCTACTGCGACATTACGCTCAGGAAGCAGGAGTCGAGCGGCTAGTCCTAGTAGGATCAGAAGTCCACTGATCACACCCTCAATAAGAGAAGCTGCCGAGTGAATCGGAGAGAAAAAGGTCTAGAGACAACTCAACTTGCATTGGATATTGGGAGTTCTCGGTGGGATTTTGAACGGATTTTATTGTTTCTACTCCTGGTTTCCCTTCCTTGTTTGCTCTTCCTACTACCAGGTTTCAAGGGTCTTGTACGTCAGTCTCTCACGAGATGAATCTTTGTCGTTTTAGCGTCGGTGTTTTCTTCCTCGAATGGATAGGTGTATCGAAAGTTTTCGATACCAATTCAGTGTTATCTTCTCCCTTTGGGTCTTCGCGTTAGTGCCACTTGATCTGTTGAATGTAAAGAAGAGACAAGAAAACTATTGTGCATCTTGCTGATAACGGCAGACTTTGCTCTCTAACATGATTGGAGACTTGACTGAAATAACTCTTTCCTGTCCTGTGCATGTCCAGCTCTGTTACCTGATCCATCCTGGCAACCTCTTTTCTCTTTCTTTTTTTCTCTCTCGAAACAAAAGTGACCAGTGCTGCAGGCAAGTATTTGTAACGAATGCGACAACCTGTCTTTCTTGAGAAACAAACGAGATTCTTGTCATTCTAGAGAAAGAAACCCAAATCAGAAAGAGAGATATTTCGTTAGGCTTTACTCAACTTTTCACAAACTACTTTTCTCATACGCTAGGAATGTGTTTCTAGTACATGTTGGGCATTTGTATCTTCTTGTTGGCCTGGACTCTTTCATGTGGCCTTCCCTGGTTCCAGCAGCTCTTGCGAATTGAACCAAATTTTGGCCTTGAGCCCTGCTGAGATTTTTTTCTTCTGACTTCTCAGGAGAATTGGCCTTTGGGCTTTTGACAAGGCTGTAAGATAGATGACACTGTAAACGAAAAAGGTAGACGAGGCGGTCTTTTCAGAAAAAAAAAAAGCTTGAGGAGATTCTGTAGTATAAAAGACGTACGGTTTGCCTGGAGTATGCTAGAGGAGCGGCAGAGAAAAAAGAAGAAGAAGCATGCCCCTAACCCTGTAGTAGGTCTTTGTGAGGAGTGTTAACGCCATGTGTACGCCGTGATTTCCTCCCAATCAGAAACACAGCAAAAAAAAAGAGAAAAGAGGAAGAAAAAGGACAAGGACCCAGCATGCAGGACGGTGCGGCCAGCAGTCAGAGAAGCAGCTCAAAGCCTACTGCCCTTTAACAGCAATTCTTCCCCATACCACCCGCAACACCCTGACCCTGACCGACATCAACCTGACTAGCACCGCCAGCAGCTCCAGCCCCACCAGCACCAGCACCACCGCTAGAATCGATGATGCGTTTCTTGATATCCGAAGCCAGCGAGAAGAAAGCCTTTTCCACATTGATGTTTGACTTTGCGGATACTTCGATGAAAGGGATGCCGAGTTCGTCGGCTAGAGCTTGGCCTTGGGCGGTGCTGACGGCGCGTTTTTCTTCCCAGTCGCATTTGTTGCCGATGAGGATTTTGTTGACGCCTTCGGAGGCGTGTTGTTCGACGTTTGAGAACCAGGTGCGGATGTNCTGTTTGCAAGGAAGGGTGGTTAGTGGTAAGGCCACACAGATGTAGAGGAAGTGACAGAGGAAAGGATTGGAAAGGTACGCACTATTGAAGCTCTTCTCGTCCGTCACGTCGTAGACCAGCAAGATGCCCATGGCGCCACGGTAGTAGGCGGTGGTGATGGTGCGGAAACGTTCCTGGCCAGCGGTATCCCAGATCTGCAGCTTGACGCGCTTGCCATCGAGTTCGATTGTGCGGATCTTGAAGTCAATGCCGATGGTGGTGATGAATGACGGAGTGAAGCTGTCTTCGCTGAATCGCAGCAGACAGCATGACTTGCCAACACCCGAGTCGCCGATTAGAAGAAGCTTGATNNCTGTAGGTTGCAATGTGTTAGAGAGAGGTGTGAAATCAAGGTATAGGTAGAAGTGGGGTCGTCGTACGAGAAAGTCATAGTTGCGGTTTTGGCCTGCCATGGCGACGGCAGAATGTGGGAGAGGGTGACAGCGGCTGGCAGTGAGAGGTGCAAAGGTTGCAAAGGCGACAGTGGTTTATCGGGTGGCAGCGAATGCACAGAACAGTCGACGGTGATGAGTAGAGTAGGTGGAAGGCGGTGTGTGTTTGTCGTTGGTGGTTGAGCGAGAGCCACAGGATGCGACGTAGAGGTGGTGTAAGAGACAGGTCAACAAAGAGAAGAGACGACGTCGGCGGCTTTCGGTGGAGTAGGTATATAGACAGAACAGCGACTTGTATGTGGATGAACGACGACGTCAAGGGTCAAGGCAGATGCCCAAAAGTTACCGTTGGCCAATGTCCCGCCTTCCACCACCGACCAGCCTTCAGCCCTCAATCCGCCTGCGCCTGCCAAGTGTCCCGACCAAACACGACCCCGACTTCTCCATCCACACAAACTCAATCACTACCACTAACAACTGTTTCAAAACGTCCCTATATTGACCAGCCTGAATCACAAAAACCAATTGCCAGCCATGTCAAAGTACTGTTTGTTTGTTTTTTGCCTATTGAGAGGAGAGAGATATCTAAAAGTATCGCTTGTATGCCCAGCGAATCCTGTTCACCACCTTCCTCTGCTTCTTGACTCCAGTCCGAACGTCGATCAACTCCTCCACATCCTCGACAAAGTCTCTGAATATCTGTGCAGGCATGACTCGGTATGCAGCCTCGCGCAAAACATGCACCTCGCACAACAACAATCCATGGTCCTTGTAGTACAACTCTTTAACTTCTGTCTCTGTAGGCGTCGAGTTGGTGAGCACTCGGTCAATATTGCGCAGTTGTCGCATCATGTGTCCTTGCTTGCGGCTTGCATCTGCTCCTCGTCGTGATGTGAATGTAGATGATATCCAGCGTGAAATGCCAATCGTCACAAGAATACCAGGAGTGAGACCGACAAAGCCAAACACCAGTTCTTGACTCTTGAGCAATGCATCGATGCCACCCATGGCCACTTCGACATCAACCTTGGTCTTTTGCACCTGAATCAACAATGCGCGAATCAGGTTGCCACGGATAGTGCCCATGAAAGGACTAGACAAATCCTTCTCGTATGCTTTGAGCACCGGTGTCAAGTCGCCCTCGCGGACCTTGGCTCTGATGCCTGCGATTTCTGCGTCTGTGAGTGGGCTGCCAGTATCTGTTGCATTGCCTGGGTTGTCTACTGCAAAGTCCACAACCATGCGCTCCAAGCTGGCTCTATCACCCTCGAGTGATCGTTTCGACATGATCGACACCTCGCTGTCCTTATCATGGCGGATCGTCTGAATGACCTTGCGAGTGGGCTCTACACACCAGTTGATCCAAAAGTCACGGATGGTGTGACCAAATTCTTGGATCCAAGTAAGAATTTCGGCTTTTCGGTTGACAAGGTATCGGAGGATGGTGCTCGACGAGAGAATTCCTACGGTAACAGGGAGCCAGTATCGGACAATACGCGATGGCTTGCCGTGTTTCTGCACCATGACCTTTGACTGCTGCGTGTACTCGGGTATTCTGGCATGTAGCATCTTGATCAGTCTGTCGGCGATGGTCGCAGGATGTACTCCCAACTCAGAGACCTCTCCACTCTCTTGAGTGTACACTTCAACATCGTAGAGCGGATCGTCGTCGGTAGCTGCTGCAATGGCTGCGTCGAACTTATCAACGGCGAGATCTTCTTCGTTGACCTTGGCGAGGACGGCATCCATGAGAGCAACATTGCGTGCTACACTGGCCTTCCACTTGTCACGGCCTTGGGTGCCGTTGGGCGTCGCAAAGCCTTCTCCATGCATGTTTTCATTCATCAAGCCCTCTCCCAGTAACACACCTAGTGCGTTAGCTCCACGCAATCTGCATCTCTTGAGCTCGCTCTGCTTCTGGCGAACAGAACCACGAACCCTTGCAACAGGGCTCACAACACGTTTGCGCATCTCTTTGACACTCTTCTCTCTAACCACCTCTTTCACCAGTCCATAGAACTCAGACCAGCGCGCTGTCAAGCTCTGTTGAGCCTCAACACCAGCGTCACGAATGTTGAAATCAGCGCTTCTTCGGCGGACATCGGCCCAGACGTAGTGGCTCCACTCAGCCAGACGCAAAGGAGCGGTTTGTATGCTGTAAAGTGCGGTAGCTTGTTGACTGCCCAGCACCTGATCCCAGTACCAGACGTCGTCCGCAAGAGCGACTGTCTCATCCAGCAGACGCGAGAGAATCAAGCCATATACCTGCACAGTAGCCTTTGCAACCAGCAGCCAAGCCAACTCTTGCTCGTATTCGCCATCGTGCTTTTGCGTAGATAGATCCTCTCCTTCGTCCGGTAATGAGATTTGGGCGCGTGTGAGGTAGTGATGGATTTGCGACGCTGACAGTAAAGGGTTTCGCGAAGAAGGTGTTATGGATAGCGACTTGACTAGCGATTGCAGGTGTTCTGCTCGGTCTGAAGGNNGGAAGTGTTGGTCGTCGCCAGTGATGTTGATGGGTCCAACTGGCGGTGGTGCGTTAAGCTGTAGACGATCGATCTGCGAGTCCACTCGTCGCACCTGACTATAAGCATCTTGTGGTCAGTCCAAAGTCTGCTGTCATGTACGCGCGAGACTCTGCCAGCTTCACGGGACAGTGGGGTTTAGTGTTCAACTCACTCTACGACGAAAGACATATTCGCGCCCGGAACGGCTATGTTCTTGGATAAGAGAAAGTTCCTTCTCAAGAATCAGAATTATCTTGTCATAACTCTCTAGCCAAGCTGTGCGACGTGGACCAACAACGTGCAGCCAAGTGTGATGATGATGACGAAAGCCTTTGCTTGACAAACCGGGGATCCATCATGTGTCAGAGCATGGCTTTGTGCCCTCCCACCACAAGGCTGACTGCATATCCGAGCGTCTAACGCTTTTGGGAGCACATTCGACCAGTCAAGATGCAAGTCATTCTAAAGTTGAAGCTTTCTGGCGCTGGAAGCTTGCAAGTAGCGGGCGATCACTGGTATCTCTATTTGTATGTAGAATCACATAGGCAGTGTCAAAGAGTACTTTAATGTAAGAATTGAAACGTAGGATATTGTCTTGCATGCAAGTCCATGCATCTATAGTTTGTAGAGAACTAGGCAAGTCGGAACTGAACTCAAATGTTTGCTCGCGTGTGTGCATCCTCTCATCTCGTCTAGTAAGAAGAACTCCATCCCAATGCAGCAGAAGATACGAAAAAGGGCAATTAGAAGAAAGAAGTCCCGTAAGCGCTAAACCTGACATCTGCGGGGACGAAAAGATGTCCAGCTATCATCGTGCCATGTCCGAACGCCGATGAAAGCGTGTTGACATATAAAGTGGATGTGCAAAGCGTTTACTGAGCCTTTCTGGCCTTTGCGAGCTTTGCCTCTCTTCTTCTCTTGGAAGCCTCAGGACCGGCCTCGGTGTCCAAGCAGTAGTCCCACCAGCGGAAAGAGCTCGAGTAGTTGCCAATGAACTTTTCGTGGTGAACATCGTGGTGCTCAGCGCCAGCCCAGAAGGGAAGNNGGAAGTGGTGGAGCGACCAGGGGAACTCGTAGCCAGAGTGTGCGTCGATGGCTTGGAAGAGGCGAAGGACAATCCAGATGTACATGGTCAAGATGTGGAGGTCTCCAGTGATGGCGCACCATACGATGGGAATACCAACGGTACCGAAGCCCAAGCTCATGACTTCAATTGGCGAGGCGTACTCAGCGGCGAGACCGAAAGGAGCAGAGTATTGGTGGTGAATCTTGTGAACGGCCTTGTAGAGGGGACCCCAGTGGAAGGCGCGGTGCATCCAGTAGTGCCATGCATCCTCAAAGACGAAGAAGACCGCGATCTGGTAGGCCATCTTGTAGAGAGGAGGGAAGGGAACGCTAGTGCCGAGGCCGAAGAATTGAGCCATGGGGTGGAAGANGCCTGTAGACGCTGGTGTTAGCAACATGATCTTGTTCAATGATGCTCCAGCATTGTCTTACCAAATCTGAGGAAGCTCAACAGTGAAGTGGCTCAACAGAACGAGCTTGGCGCATTGCCATTGTTCAGCGGCAGTAGGGATTTTNNTGCTGGTGATCATGTCAGTATGCTGGTTGAGCGGCGCAACAGAGGCAATTGTTCGACGTACGTTCTGAATCTTGTACTTGTTGAAATAGGGAATGCAGTCGATGATGATCCAGGGAAGAGAGCGGCCGAAATAGACAAGTTCGTGCATCAAGAAGGACATGATACCAGTGGCGAGGACGTCGTTGCCAATGTACGCATACCAGGCCATCCACAGCTTCTCGAAATAGTTGAGGTGTACATTGTACTCAGAGACCTTCTCGAATTGGTTCCAGTATGTGTCGGAGGTGTGAGGGAGAGCGTGCTCAAGAATAGCTGTCGCGTTGCTGTAGTCAAGTCAGAATTGGTGTCCCTGAAGTCAACGATGTTGAGTACAAAGGGGCGAGGCTCACAGGTACGACATGATGCAAGCCTGTCTAAATCCTTCAATTGAAGGATCGAAACGCTGCTGAAAGAGAGAGAACCCGTAGGTGAATGTGTATGTGTGTGTGCGTGTGCAACAAAGGACCTGAGGAAGTGATGAGCTACCCTTTTTCTAAACAACCACTCCGCCGCACACGTCGGACCAACGTTAAATTTCCAGTGAGGACCAAAATCATACGATTTGCCCACATATGGTTCCACACGGTCCCTGGATTCGCGGAGGCTAGAAGGTCCGACCAGCCCTTTGGGGCATGATCGAGGCCAAGATCTGGCCTTTCAACCAATGAGAGCCCGGGCCGCCCTCGAGCTAAGCATTGAGATCATCTCGTCGACGCGCACAAAACAAAGGGCCATCCCGGAGAACTCCCTTTTGTTTTTTGCCCCCTATCAAAGCCACAAACCCGAGTCATCCACGGTACCTAGAGTACAAACACCGTATCATTTCTGGTCTGATGACGGCGATTGCGTGGCTCCACCCGTAGCATCTTATCACCAGATCTTTGAGCTTTGTATATAGATGCCGAGCCGCCACTTTTCCATAAAATGATGCCACTTCTGTTGTTCAAATCCCGGGTCGCCGTGATTGTGGTGGCATGGTTGGCCTCATTTCTCGTACCATGTTTGAGACCATATTGCATGCTCTTGTGTTTGTGTTGTTCAAGGTCGACTGTTTCTTGTTTGTGTCTCAACACGTCTCTGCCGTTCGTGGATGAGAACCATTCCACGTCACATCCACCAATTATATAGCAGGTAAGCTCCAATCGTCAACTGCGGCTCTTCATCCTTATCTATGGGGAGAAACAAAAACACATGTTTATACCAAGCCACATGACAGCAAGTTAGCTGGACTTTCAGCAAAAGGGAAAAAACCGAATCTCGTTTCCTTAAAGTCTGCATATTGACATCCGATCAATGCTAGAAAGAAACAGAAAAAGGTATTAAGAAAAGACCATGCCACGGAAATATCTCCTCATTCTTCTTGCACTGCGTCAGAAAAAGCGCCTGTTGTCTTTTGACTTTCCTAGACCTCCTAGATGTAAGAAAGGCTTTGGTGTCTCTCCTTCCTCTATCCTCCTTCTTTCTTCTTTTGCTTCTTGTTTCCTGGAAGCAGCAGCGGCAATCTGCTGTGATTCCTCATCTCTCGGCGACGGCGTTTCTCGTAAATGTAAGAAGAACAATGTGCTGTGGTGGACTGTGATGCTGATGACTGTCATCATGCGTACGGTCCAGTCTTTGATGTGTGTCCAAGTACAGCAAGGGTGCTTGCAGCTGCACTACCGTTGCTTCTTAATCTCTGTGGCCCATCCATCAATGCCCTCACCCTTGGTGCCAGGCTCGATTTCCAGCTTGACACCATCCATGCCCTTTGTGCCATCTAGGAAGCCGTGGCCAGCCATACCTCCAGCATTAGCGCGGTCTGCAGGGAGAAGCTCGAGCATGGGCAACAGGAATTCAGCAATACGCTTACTCTCCTCAATGCTGAAATGGTATTTTTCTCTCAAAACATCAGGCAAGGCCCAATGGCGGAGGCGGTGGATGTTGCGCAACTCTCCCTTGCGATTGAATATCTCTTGTGACCATTTTCCACCAACGCACAGCGACTTGGGGAAGGTGCCGAGCAGTTCTATGACTTGAGCGATGTGATCGTCGTCCTTGCCGTACTTTGTGCCGGATTGGGGGTCGAAGAGGTAGTCACCAGTAATGAGTTCGAAGACCTAAGAGATGTTCGTCAGCTCAAGTATGGCAATGTTGACAGGATGACGACTCACCATGCAAGCCATGCTCCAAACATCTGTGCTAGCACCCCACTTTGCTCCGAGGATGACCTCTGGTGATCTGTATTGTCGTGTCTGAATGTCGTTTGTGAAGTGATGCCCGACCCAACATGCGTTGCCCAAGTCGGCAATCTTGACTGAGATTGTGTCGAATGATACCTCTTCTGGCGCCTTGGTTGATGAAGTCGAGGACGACAGGTCGATGCCAGAGACGTTGTTGGCAAGAATATCNNACTATAAGTGGGGTTAGTTGATAATGCATAGCAGTTGAGTGGATGTATAGAAGACATACGCAGTCTTCTCTCGTTCCTTCTGGGCTGCTTCATCTGAGATGCCGAGTGACTCTTTCATGGATTTTGTGGNGGAAGTCGCGCCTACAGCACCACTCATTTCAACATCTTGACTCGGACTGGGGCTTGGGCCCGTAATCGGAACAGGTTTACCTTGGTCTGCCATGAGCTTGTTCAAGCTCGACAGGTCGGTCTGACTAAAACTAGCGTTGAGAGGGCTAGGTAGAGGTTGACTGCCAGTAATGAGGGTTCTTCTCCTCCTTCTGCCGTTACGGTGTTCGTCCTTTGCCTTGCTAGGGTCTTCCTGAACATATGTCTTGACAATCTGCTCGACATCACCAATTTCGATAAGAACGTTTTCGGGCTTGAGATCGGTATGGATAATGCCACATTCGCGGTGGAGGTAGTCGAGACCCAACAAGACCTGCTTGGTAATCTGTTTGACGAGGGGCATGGGGATGCCTCTGTGGTTCCAGCGCTTGATCAGGCCCAGAAGGTTTTCGCCCAGAACCTCAAAGACCATGCAGACGTGCATGCCGTGAGGGCCTTTGTGGTTGAAGGAGTCGAGCAAGCTGACTACATGTTTCCTGCCGGGGTGATCTATGTTGGCCTGGACGACCTTGTTAAGCAATTTGATTTCGTCCAGGGCAGTTTCTGTGTAGTGGGCGGCAGAGCGCACGACCTTGAGAGCGACGTGCTTGCCCGTATCGTTGTCGCGCGAGAGCCAGACAGTTGAGAAGTGGCCCCAGCCTAGCTTGCGCACGACGGTATATTTGCCATTGTTGTATTCTTCGCCAACCTGAACGGGGTGGTAGCCACNCCTGCAGTAGTCTTCCGAGTCCTCCTCGTCGGCCGTGTTCTCTGTTTGTTCGTCGCCAGAAAGCGAGGATGAATCTGAGCCTGACGGACTCACGTCGCGGGTGCTGGCTGTGGATTTCTGGTAGCTCATGGGCGAAGCGGTGCCTGAAGNCGCTGTTGGGAGAGGGTTGTTAGTGGACAAAGTCGTAGGATCTCAGAGATTGACTTACGCCTCTTGGTGTTCGGTGGTGACGATGGGTTTCAGTTCTTGCTTTCTGCGCTTCTTGCCGTTGGTGCCGTTGGCAGCGTTGGTTGCGGAGTGGGCGACCTGCTTTGCTTTCTGGATTGCGGCCTTCTTGATGTCGGACCCATTCATTTTCGGGCGTCTAGACAATGACGCGCTGCAGCTTGCTGACTCTGATGGACTATCAGTAGCCGGCGGTGCAAGAAAGAGGAAGAATGTAGAGTCGGGACGCGGGGCCTGTTTGTGCGGAGATGTGCGTCGCTTGCGTCGTCGTTGTCGAATGCGCAGCTCGTGGGAGGTGGTTGAGTAATACGAATGATGGATTTGCGACGACCGAGAAGAGGCTTGTCGTCGTTATGCTGTCGCAGCTCGCGGCGTCAAAGCAGACAGCGGCGCGGGTCGGGGAGTGACGCTGTACACTTGGTTGCGCGCTCTGTCAGTGGTCAAAGCGGTGCCCTGCCAACTTGTTTCTTCTTTTATGCTCAACCACCTGCTTTGCTTTGTTGCTTGTCTATGCGCGACTTTGTCGTCGGGCCTAGTCTGAATAATCAACAACCTTTTATGCCGATGGGGATGCGATAACTAGATGGTTGGGATGTGTCTGCCCAAGCCCGCTATTTTCAATCCTTGTCATGTCACTTCCTTGACAAGAAGAAATCGACTCGACCACGAAACAGTCCAGCCTCACTCATGAACAATACCCTCCTGAACGCATCCTGTTTCCCCCGAAACCCTTTCCTTTTCTTGTGAAGCTTGAACGTCCATTTATTGATGCTCGATATCGACAGACTATCGTATACGCTCTTGGCCTGTGCTCTGTCTTTTCCTTGCGAATGGCGGGGAGGTTGGTCTTCTCCACCAGTCTATGTTTCTGTCGTCAAGTATTGGCCATCCAAGTCACACTCGACCTTGTCAGACGGCCAATCCTTTCGAAACATGTCACTGTGCCTGTCTGCGACCTTACATAAAACAGGTACTGTGCCATGTGGTCTTGCTGATTATGACATATGCGTCCACTAGTGCGCAATCCAACCGCTGGCACCCGGTTTAGTGGTTGAAACACCTGACAGAACGCCAACTTCATAACGACATGTGCTAAGACTCACTGCACTCCCATGTCCGACTTGTCTTTCCTGGCAACACATAGCTGTACGGCATACTAAAACCATGCGATATCCCGCTTGACATCAAATGTGTTACAGGAAAGAGCTAAATATATGTCATCCTCCAGCAATGTTACCTTGATGCTCTAGCAGTTGTGCACTTCATAGCTACACATGTCGCACACTTCTACACACAGGGAAGCCGTAACACATGTGCTGGTTCACTGCGTAGCTCTTCAAGCATTGAGTAGATCTTTAGGAACACTGCAACGCGAATTGATATTCTGGACATCTTCATCGTGCTCATCGGTACTCGTGCCTCTAGCCTTATCCGCTTCTACTGCCAGCCTCAGATTCAATCTTTCGCACTAGGCACAAACACAACATTTGCGCTTCGACTCTAATTGTTCCGGACACGATTACACAAACTTGCTCAAGACAATTCAGATTTGCCTGTCATAAGATGTAAATATCTGATCCACATGTTGTAGAGGATCTGCGTGGCCGATGATATGTATGCGGCAAGCTTGGCATAAACAGGGTCATCCCATCGACATCTTTGAACTCGAAAAGAATGGATACTAATACATGGGACGTTGGCATTGTTGCTGCTACTGATAAAGATGGTCTAAACTCGTTATTTAGCACTGCGATATGGTGTTTTCTTGTTCGTACAAGCAGGGTTGGTTGTATTATACGTCAGGACGACTTACTCCACACACATGAGCTATCAAGGAGGAAGCTGATGGCGGTGGAGTTGAAAGCAACATCAGGACAACGTAGAAACGTCAGAGATGTTATTGGTGTCGAGCTTCGGTTCCTTTGTGAATGCCCTCGACTCTCGTAGTTAATAGACATAATAGCGTCTACAAATGCTGTGGATGTTTGCTGTTCTGTGTTGGCGATGTCTCCGCACTGTTTGGATGCAGCCTCGGAGCGGAGATAAGAAACAGTGACGGCGTCATGGCGAATGTCGGCAGAAGCTCTCCAGCTCTCTCACGTTTGATCACATCACTTGTGCTTTGAGCTATTCAATTCTTCAGCATGGCATATTTGGCATCTATTCACAGGCCCAGCAGCGTCCGGCACGCGCTGAAGCTGAACTTTCTCAGCCCCGAAGACGACACCCTTGTGGTGGCGTGAGTTACTCTCACAAGCTTCGTTGTATGCGCTAATACCAAGGTAGCNAAGGCAAACCGCTTGGAGTTCTACGCCCAGCAACAAGACGGCCTCGTGTTGCAGCACTCAAAGGCCATCTACGGCAAAGTTATCATGCTACAAAGCATTCGTCCTGCCTCATCCAAGACCGATCACCTNTTTGTCGGAACCGATCGATACATGTACTTCACTCTCTCATGGGATGCCACGTCCAAGCAACTACGAACCGAGAATAGTTTCAGAGATTTGTCAGACAGAGCAGCAAGAGAAGCACAACTGGGAGAACGCTGCAACATCGATCCTACGCGGAGGTACATGACTATCGAGATCTACGAAGGAATCGTTTCTGTTATCCCCATCGCACATGAATCCAAGCGCAAATCGACTTCGACAGCTCAGCTAGGCAACATAGGCGAACCAACCTCCGTCAGAATACCCGAACTCAATGTACGATCGTCGACTTTCTTGCACAGGNNGAGGAGCGAGAAGGCAAAGCCACAACTAGCCTTGCTCTACGAGGACTCTATGGGAAAAGTCCGCCTGAAGGTCCGCGACCTCGAATATACTTCGTCACTCAAGTCCAATGAGCCTGGATCAGCCGAGCTCGAGAACGAGCAAGACGCAGACGAAGAGCTCGATCTCGGCGCGAGCCATCTTATACCTCTACCCCACCCAGCCTATGGTGTGCTTGTTCTGGGAGAGACGTCTATCTCATATTGCGAAGAGTTCGATGGCAGGATGTCAAAGATCGCAAAAAGTGAACCACTCAAAGAAGCCACAATCTTTGTCGCCTGGACACAGATTGATGACCAGCGCTTCGTCCTTGCCGACGAATACGGTAAGCTATACTTGCTGATGGTAACTCTCAATAGTAAGAATGATCTCGAGGGCTGGAAGTTAGATGTCATTGGCGAGACTTCACGAGCGTCAACCTTGGTCTACCTAGACGGCGGTCGCATCTTCGTGGGCTCACACCAAGGCAATTCTCAACTCATTCAGATAACTCCTGGCTCTATCGAGATTCTTCAGACGTTCCCTAACATTGCGCCCATCCTCGACTTCACCGTCATGGACATGGGCAATCGCTCTTCTGATGCTCAGGTCAACGAGTACTCGTCGGGGCAGGCCCGCATCGTCACAGGTAGTGGTGCGTTCAAGGATGGAAGTCTACGCAGCGTGAGAAGTGGTGTGGGTCTCGAAGACCTCGGTTCCATCGGCGAGATGGAGAACATCACCGAAGTCTTCAGTCTGAAGTCGAATCCCGCTCTTGATTTTGTGGACACATTGGTTGTATCTTTCATTGCACACACCCGAGTGTTCACCTTCTCGTCTAACGGTGACGTCGAGGAAGTTGACAATTTTAAGGGCATAGATTTGTCTCAAAGCACCCTGTTCGCAACCACTCTTGCTAAGGGCAGGATATTGCAGATCACCGGCTCTGCTGTCCATATCATCGACCCTGAGAGTGGTATGAGTCTGGCAAGCTGGTCGCCAGAGGGTGGATCGTCTATCGCTGCAGCTTCGGCAGCAGATAACAATATCTTGGTCTCTGTCAGCGGCGTGGGTCTCTCAATGCTTGACGTGTCCGGCGACAATGTTAAGGTAACGGCGTCGAGAACATTTGACGCCGGCTCACAAGTCGCTTGTATATCACTGTCATCCACGCTACGAAACACCTGTGTCGTTGGCTTCTGGCAAGACGCAAGCATATCGTTACTCGACACTTCTTCATTGAAGACCATTCACTCAGAGACGATCGATGAAGAGAGTATAGCAGTTCCTCGTTCATTGCTCATCGCTCCAATTCTGGAAGGCTCTTTACCGACACTGTTCATTGGTATGGCAGACGGTAATGTCGTTACCTATTCGATTGATCCTAGAACTAATGCTCTCTCATCGAAGAAGAGTATTATTCTTGGTACGCAGCAGGCCAGCTTCAAAGCCTTGCCCAAGGGCGATGGGCTGAACACCGTCTTTGCCATCTGTGAGCACCCGAGTCTGATCTATGGATCAGAGGGTCGTATTGTGTACTCTGCCATCACAGCAGAAGATGCAACATGTGTATCTCCTTTCGATACCGAGGCTTTCCCCAACGCTATCGCAATTGCCACAGCGACTGAACTCAAGCTTGCTATTGTGGATGAGGAAAGAACAACCCACGTGCAAACATTACCAGTCGATGAGACTGTCCGCAGGATTGCATATTCTGCCGATCTACGTGCCTTTGGTCTGGGTACGATCAAGCGCACTATCAAGGATAGCTTCGAACACATCGAGAGTCACTTTAAACTTGTGGATGAAGTGGCGTTCCAAGAGTTGCACACTTTCGCTCTTAACCAAGAAGAATTAGTCGAGAGTTGTATCCGTGCCAAGCTAGACGATGGCACGGGTGATTTTGTCGAGCGTTTCGTCGTAGGCACAAGCTATATTGAGGAAGACGTCGGAGATGCACCTAGAGGTCGTATCCTGGTATTTGAGGTGACGGAAGACCGGCACCTCAAGCTTGTGGCCGAGCATGCAGTCAAGGGAGCATGTAGATGTCTAGCAATGTGCGAGGGTCGCATTGTGGCTGCCCTCGTCAAGACAGTAAGTTTTGGTGACGTTCGACTACGAAACATGTGCTTACGTATCATANNGGTCGTAATGTACAACTTCAAGTACGAGACGGCGAGCCGACCCTTCCTCGACAAGGTCGCCAGCTACCGAACATCCACAGCACCCATCGATATCTCAGTAACAGGAGACCAAATCGCCATAGCAGATCTAATGAAGAGCATCTCGGTCGTGCAATACAAGAAAGGCATCAACGGCCAAGACGACACCCTCAACGAAGTCGCCCGCCACTACGACACCACCTGGGGCACAGCCGTCGCCAACATCTCGCCAAACACGTACCTCGAAAGCGACGCCGAAGGCAACCTGCTCGTCCTCAACCAAGACACCAACGGCTTCTCAGAAGAAGACAAGCGCCGCCTGCGCGTACTCTCAGACATGCAACTCGGCGAAATGGTCAACCGCATCCGCCACATCGATATCCAACCCACCCCCAACGCTATCGTTGTCCCCTCTGCCTTCCTCGCCACTGTCGAAGGCGCTATCTACCTNTTCGCAACCATTGCTCCTCAACACCAAGATACACTTATGCGCCTGCAAGAAAATATGGCGGAAAAGGTCAGCAGTCCTGGCAATGTGCCGTTTAATCGCTACCGCGCGTTCAAGACTACCGTGCGTGAAAGCGAAGAACCCAACCGTTTTGTGGACGGCGAGTTGATCGAGCGCTTCTTGGACTGTGATGAGCAGTTGCAGGAGGAGATTGTTCAAGGACTAAGCGTTGATGTCGAAGAGGTCAGAAGTATCGTTGAAGCGCTGAGGAGGTTGCACTAATGAGGCAGAGAAAGTCTACGCTTCACGAGACGAGTGTTTGATAGTTTTAGGCAATGACAAGTCATATTCATGATTGCTGTCGATTGTGCGTTCTTTGTGGCCTTTTAAGTGCTAAGTCTGACCTTACTGTATGGAGTCATGAGGGATAACGTGAGGAGGGAACATGACCAGTATGTTCTGGTCTAGATATTTGACGGCGTTCAAATGGCAATCAGTAGGGTGACGTATGCTGATGAGTATAGCAATTAGTATGGCAATTAGTATGATAACTACTACTACAATCAGTATAACAGTCTTGATTTCTTTACAACCAACGCAACGAGAGACAACCAACGACAAATCCACATCACAAGACGCAAGCTGCCCAACAAGCAGCAACAATGCTCAAACGTTGATTCACAAGGTACATCTTTCACATGCAAGCACAGCAAAGCAATAATCAAAGACCGGACCAGGCAGGAGCCCTGCAAAACTACAACTGTATACCAGAGGTGAACGAAGACCACAGTCACAGACCAAGAAGTAAACATCAAGAATCACAAGCTCGAAAAGAGACAGATAGATTCAAAAGAAGGGGTAAAGAGTACATAGAGACAAAACAGAAAAACGACCGCTCGCCTGCTATAGGGTAATTTGGGACACAAAAGAATAACAAAAAATAAAAAAAGATCAGTCTTCATCGTCAAAAAGCAAGAGAAAGCAAAAAGAGGTGTAAACCACGGAATAGAAACAAGCAAGATTTTTGGAAAAGCCAATCTCTCAGCCACAACTTGAGTAAAATCAAAGACTGGGACTTCGCACGATTGACAAGATAGAAGAAACAACTCGACAAGAAGCTTTTTGCCTAGTTGCCAGCGCGCATGCTGAAACGATGCTCGAGGCCTTGAGTCGAGTACTTTGCATTGACGGGCTCTTCATCCTCAGCAGATTGAGTGCCGAACTCATCAACAACGCCCGAGTCGCCAGACTCTGCTCTCACGATCTTGGCAGGAAGTTCTGGGATCTCCTCGGAGAGGGTTCTGCGCCAGTGGCTCTGCATGCTTCCTCTGTCCGGTGTGGCGACTGTGGACGAAGAGATCATGCTCATGGATGTGCTGCTGCGATTCAACGTGTTCAGACTGTGACTGTGTATGAGATCGGGCGTGGGTGGAACGCTGCTGCGAACCGTGTGGCTGCGTGCATCGTGAAGGCTGTAGTTTGACGAAGCGGAGGCTTCAGATCTGTCGTCGTACTCGGATGCGGCGTCACTGAGCGAGGCGCGTGTCAAAATGCGACCCTTGCTGCGACGCTTGAGGTTGCCGCCATGCTCAGAAGATGCAAGACTGGCTTCGTCATCATTGCCGTGGCGGTCGCCGGCAACAGACTCGGCACGATGAGCCATGTTGAGACCTTCGACGGCAGCAGCACACTGCTCGCTGATGTTACGGATGATGTAGGCGATAGCATCAGTCTTGTCGCGAAGTTGTCGGTCTGCTACATCAGTCATGCTGAGACCGCTTAGACGGCGACGGGCATCAGCGTTGCGACGGAGTGCCTCGGCTGCTGCATCCTCGCCACGAGCTGACATACGCATGCTGCTGCGTGATGAGGCACGCGAAGTCTGAGCGCTAGACAGATCTCCGGTGAGGGAACCGGGAGCAGGCGATGCCGGAAGAGCAGTTCCTGCAGCCTCATCAACTTCATCAGGCAACTCGATGGTTCGCACAATGTGCTCCATGTGGTGAGCCTGACCATCAATCAGAGCACGCAAATGAAGGACAACACGCTGTGCCTCGTCTCGTTGACGGAGTACGGCAGAGTTGGTCTGTTGCAGAGACGCGATTTCTTGCTTGTTACGCTTGCGTTCGCGTTCCAGTTCCTCAGCAATCTCTTGCTGCAAGACAAGAGCCTCCAAAGCATCATCTCTTTGCTTTTCGGTACCGCTGAGCCTGGGTGTAAGACGAGCAATCTCCTCCTTCGCCTGATCTGCGATTTGAGCAATTCTTCTGTTCTCACGCTTGTGACTCTCAATCTTGACCTTGAGTTCTTGTGTCTCCTTGGTGAGTGTCTCGGCGAAAGCCTGGAACTTGAGGAATTGCTGCTTCCAGGAGTCGAGCTCAGCATCCAGAATATTATTACGCTTGTTAACCTTGACAACTTCGGTATCCATGCGGCACTTGAGGTTGATGAAATCTTGCCATGCCTCGTTTGCGTCGCGAGAGTATTGGTTGCGTTCACGGATGATTTCGTTGAGATGACGCATCGATACCTTGGTCATTAGAGGCTTCTTCTGAGCACCGCCAAAGACAGCTTTCAGGCCAGTGTTGCGTCCCAATTTCTCACAGACATGATCCATGACAGACATGACTGCGTCCTGGTTCCACCATCCAGGATCTTGTACGCTCTCGACCTCGCCGCGCATGACAATAATTTGACCGGCAGGGATCAGTTTACCGCCACCGTAAGCCGAGCGGAGATGTTGAGGAACACCAGAAGGAGCGACATCACCATTCAGAGCCTGAGTAAGACGGTTGACCATTTTCGTTCTTTGACCTCCTGTCAAGACATCCGGAGGGCTCGAGGTCAAGACAAAGTTACGATCGAGATCAACGACGAGGGCATCATTGGGCGCAGTGAAGAGAGTACGGCACTCGGCAGTGACACCAATGATATACGGACCAGGTTCCTGAACAAGATCCTTTGCGTGACGAGCGTGTACGATAGGAACATACAGGCCACTCCATTCGTAGACACGAACCAGATAGCGAATGGTCTCGGCAGCCATTGTCAGCATAGCTGGGTAGTGACTGACGAAGATAATCCTTCTAGTGGGCGAGATGGCGGCTTCGACGACACCGACGATGTTGGGAATAGACAAACAAGAAAACAGAGGCCACATGGCAAAGTTCTGGAAACCGGTAGGAGAGGAGGGGAACTGATAACATAGAGCGTAGTCCTTCATGTCAATACGGACAAGGTCGTTGAGTCTGGGAGCGGGGAAACTAAGAATGCGAGACACTTCCTCGGCGTGGAAGAGGTTGGTGGCTTTGTTCCAGTGGATCCACATGCCACGGAGGTAGTCGCCAAGAAGGTTGTAAAGAGGGTATCTAGAAAGGAAACTGAGGCAGTAAGGGATCCAGTAGGTCTCGCCAGGAGTGTCGTAGTAATCGGACTCGGTACGCTTCCTCAACTCGCGGATCGTCTCGGCGCGCTTCTCATCTGCACGAGACCATACGCGAAGGGCAATACCGTAGAGGGTGTGAGAGGAGTCTTGCTGGAGAACGAATGCATGGTGGACACAGTGAGGCTGCATGGTGCCAGTACAGATTTCTACATCGTGAGGGAAACATGCNNCTAGACAGCGTCAGTATAATCTAGTGGTGGGGATGGTTGGAATGTGTACCCTCATGGCAGCATGAAGGGCGCGAGCAATGTCGTTGTCTTGTTCCAATCTCGGGCTGCTTCCCAGAATCTCAGGAAGCCAGAATTGCCCGACGGCACCCTTCATGTGTCCAATCTTTCCCTGTGGAGGTGGAGGAGCCTTGACCCATTGCGAGGGCTCACGGCCGACACCACATACCATGTAGGCATGGGTGAGAGTCTTGGGAGTACGCTGACCAGCACGCGGCTGGGTTAGTTGCGATGCCAGAGGCTGTGTGATGCGTGAATGGAGCGACGAGGTGCGATCGGGGATAACAAGGTCTTCGTCAGCTCGACTGTCAGGGCGTGATTCGCCGCGCGACGAGCGTGGACGTGATGTGAAGCTCGGAGCCATCTTGTCGTTATGGTCGTTGAAGCTTGTTACAGAGCTCGTTGTGCGACCCCACGTTGCAATCGTCGTGTTTCAACTTTATCTTCCTGCTTCAACCGTCGCCTTCGGGTGTGGCCAATCCGCTGGCACGTCCGGCGTCCAGGGGCACGACGCTCTAGCTCGTGCGGTGGAGAAAAGCGAGAGACTGAAGACAGCTTTTGGGGAGGAAGGAATGTCGGGCAGGAGGAAAAGAGAAAACGGTGCAAGGACGACGAAGCAGAGGGAAGATCAAAGTCGTCGACAGCCGAAGACCGTACACAAGTCGTCGACTCCGTAACCCACTAACCTCGAAGTGCAAAGTCATGGCCAGTTACAGCGCGCCACTACGCCCGTCGCAGCGCAGTCCGATGGGGGGCAGACGGGATCGACAGCGGTGCATAAACCACACTGGAGAAGCGCACGGTGTTCATCGCAACTCTACACAAACCTTGCCGAATCAGCGCCTCCCATCCAAGCGCCTCTAGAGATGCTGTGGATCCCTAGACTCGCCCTAGCAAGACGACCCCGGCCACGAACCGCTCATCGCTTTCTCCCTCTTGGAATTGTTGATTTGTGAGGCTACACAAGAAGCCCTTCTCTGACCACCACGACTTTGCTTGCTCAATCTCCAGACCACTCTGCTCGGCTTGGCTATTGTTTCGCAACAATCAATCTGCAATTTGGCCGAGTGATGTTCATTACCACGCCCAAATCAGCAATACACTACATCCTTGTTATATCTCTGAATAGCCTTGAATTGCCCTTTCCTTCTAGAGCCTAGAATTGCCTCACCCGGCACCCCTGCTACATTTAATAAGGGTCGTCTTCGCTTTCGTCTTAACGAGACACTGCAACCACATCATCCGCCTGTTCCTTCAACATTGACTTTGACCTCATCAAGCAGTGAGAACTGCATCCATGTGCTTGCAAAGACTCACAATCGTCTGTGCAATGATGCGTGCAACAGTGCCTGCAGCTACCCGCTGCACCCTGCACGTTGTTGCCGTCTTCCCTCGATATTAAATACTCCAGCCCAATCTGTTCTCCTCGCGTCGAGATCCAAGCCAACATGTTCTCAACAGCTGAAGATCAGTCGGCCTTGCCGAACCTCCGAGCTCGGCTGCCCTGATCCCTCGCATCTGATAAGAAAAATCTGATAATCTACTACCAAACAGCCCATCTCGCAGCAGTATCAACATGTCGCTAAAGTCAAACTCCTCGCGATACAATAACTTCAATGTGTCTTTTCCAGACGAACGCATCGTTCAGGTCACCCTGAACAGGCCTGATAAGCTCAATTGCATTGATCAAGCTACGAGCAAAGAGATTGCTCAAATCTGGGAGTGGTTCGATCAGGATGAGAGTCTATGGGTCGGTATCATCACAGGAAACGGTCGAGCCTTCTGCACTGGCGCCGATCTNGGGAGGTAGGCTTGACGGCACGACTGCTGTGTCACACTCATGGCTTACCTGGCACCAGAATGGAATGAGATGAACCGACGTGGCATTGTCAACGATATGTCAGCACCCGGCCTTGCTGGCCTGCCACGTAGAGCAGGAAAGAAACCGATCATTGCTGCTGTCAATGGTATCACCATGGGCGGAGGCTTCGAGATGGTCGCAAATTGCGATCTTGTAATTGCCGTCTCCTCGGCCATCTTCTCGCTGCCCGAAGTGAAGAGAGGCATCGTACCAGTCGCAGGCTGTCTGCCTCGCTTGACGCGAACCTTGGGTCTTCAACGCACCACCGACCTCGTGCTCACAGGCAGAAACGTAACAGCCAAAACACTTCACGCTTGGGGACTTGTCACTGAATTGGTTGACTCCGCCGAGGAAGTCGTACAAGCCGCTGTAAAAACTGCTCAGCTGATGTGCAGGAACAGTCCTGACGCTTTGGTTGTGGGTCGCTTGGGCATCAGACTGAGCTGGGAAGCTGGTAGTGTCGAGGATACTGTGAGTACCCTTGCCAACGAGTGGTATCCACGTCTGATACAAGGCGAAAACTTTAAGGAGGGCATCAAGGCGTTTGCAGAGAAGCGTTCGCCAGTCTGGGTGAGCTCAAAGCTGTAGATGCAAACCACAGAGCGCGAAGCAGGCTTCAGCTTGATCTTATAAGAATGAAGTTTTGATGCTTTCAACTCTTGAATCATCAGGTTCAGCCAAACAACAAACCGCGCAGGACCCGTCCAGCAATGCGAAGCGTGTTGCCAACATGTTTGCTGCGCTCTACGCGTCCTGCAGAATAGTGATGTGATCCACCGGCTCTCCACCTTCTGCGTTGCTCAACCAGGTCGCTTCCTTTTCGGCTCTTGCCGATCCCACGCGAACATTGAGCCGCTTGTTTCGAACTCGCTCGGCGTCAAACTCGACCAACCTTTCGACTGCACAGATCAACACAGAAAAGGACGCCAGCTGAAAGCTCTGTCTGCCTGTATGGTCACAGCGGTCACAGTGCGAAATTACAAGCACAACCTGACAAGCAAGCCGGCTTCTACAAAGCTTGGGTGTTCGTTTATGTTGCACGGAGTCAAGGATCACTGTGTGACAGCATGTCATTGTTTCCATGGATCAAGCCGTGCAGTGCGATAAGGCCAGCATCCATCGCGGCTCATCGTGGACCCCACCATCGTAACACAGATTAATGAACAGCACCAGAGATCCTTTTCTGACACTGACTCGAGGTCGAGATCTGAAAATGCTGTAGACGAGCGACCGGAGACAGTCCCGCCTATCGAATCTCCAACACTTGACTCGAATTAGGCCACCCAAGTTATTCGTAAGCATAGGGCTCTGTTCTGCCCTGCCTGGATCTCATCAACAACAGCAGCAGAACCCGCCATGTCGTCGGACAAGCATCGGCCTCTGGGTGTAATACGGACCGCAACCTGCATAACCACCTCTGCCATACCCACAACCCCCTGCACCATAATAGTACCCTCCTCCATACCTTCGTTGTCGTCTGCCTCCCGGAAAGTAAGCTTGCGGTGGTCTTTGAGGACCGCCATATCCTCTGCCATAACCGCAATATCCAACTCTCCCACACGGTCCTCCATAATATGTTGGGTGACGATATCCACAGCCTTGCTGACGGTACTCGGGTGTGAACTCGTTTGATCGACCAGGAGCCAGATATTGCATCTGTGGTTCAGAGTCGTAATCAGGGCCTTGAGCAGGATTGTCAATGGTCGCGTCGCTGTGGTCGATGATATGTTCCGCCTCGAAATGATGGCTCAACCTGGGTTTTGATTTTGCAGGCTTTGGCAGTCCAATGATCTGTACTGATCTCTGCATGTCATTGAATGAAGTTACTGGCGACCTGTCTTCGGCCGTGTCGTCCTCATGTCTGCGAGACACACTGCTTGGAATGATCAATATCGTCTCCAGCAGCCTCGCGGGAAACAATGTCGAAAATCTGGAGCCTTTGTCGTTGATCTGGCCAGTGTCTTGCTTTTCTTCCAGTAATGCCAATAGGTGAGCATCAGCCACACTGTGCGTCGAGTAAGTCGAGTTTCGCGCGCTGGTCATTGTGGCTGCAAGAACACCAAGCGAAGAAACATCTTCAACGACATCAGAGACCAGACAGTGCTATATCACTGAATTGCTCTCCAAGTCCAGCACATCCTTCGTAAGCATGAGTATATCCGTACCTTGGCACTGGCCAAGATGCAAAGCCTTGATGTTGTGCTCTGGCTTTTGCATGGGACTGCTGCATGCAGATGACTTTATCTGTGTCAATTTACATACACGCGAAAGCCACCAACTCGTAAGACGTTGCTTAGATTGACGATACGCGTTCACATGGAAATAGGTTGCTGGAGACATTCTTCTAGGATCTGCCAAAGTACGACCTTAGGCAGATGGAAGGAGTGACTGACGTGGCTTCTCGCTATTTCCTCAACATTTTTACAACAGACATTCTTGTGTCGACGAAAGATCCACATGATTAGCCACATCACAGAACACAGTCGCACATAGCTTACCAACCAACGGGCTTATCTAATAGCATTGTTGTTGGCGTGTAAGGCGCAAGAATTGTTCTTGATTTCCCAAATCAAAGGCTTTCAGGAACGTTCTTGCTGTCTGTCGTGACATCTCCGCAAAGTTGGTCGAGTCTGTCAAATCAACGGATGAGCCGCGAATCGATGTTCCTTACAACTCAGCATAGTTGTAAAGACTAGCTTTGACGTCAGTGAAGAATGTTCGATGAAGGTTTTGCTTTGTTCAATGATGTCAACGAACTGGATGTGCCAGTACTGCTGAGTGGTTGGATGAAATGTCTTAATCTGGTCACTTAGAAGCCTTGAGGTGGTCTGTAATCAGGAGCGTGCCGAGTCCCATTTCTATCATCCACAACGATGGGATCAAACGTCCTATCGATAGATTCCTCTCGGCTATGGATACAATTGGCAAAGATGAAGACGCTAAAGTCTACACAACCGCATCGGTAAGACCGATATGGTGCATTTTCCCAAGCTAATGATACGGTAGATATGCATAGAAGATCTCAGCTCCTCTCGAACGACAAAAGACTGTTGACAGACAAGCGAGAGACAGAAGGAAAGAAGAAACCTTGCAACGCCAAAATCCAAAATTGACCTTATCATGTTTTTTTTTTCGCTTTCGGCGAACTCCAACACTCGCACAAGCATATCACTGCATCTCCGGCCTCGTAGGACGTAAAACATCCAAAATCTTCCGCTCTTGAAGCTAAGCTTCTCAAACAACGCTGCCCAACGTTGTCACCAAAGACAAATGCAACGATTGGTAATCTGTGAGAACGGGGACCATTTTCAACTGCTACAAGGGCATCGCTTTCCAGCAATGTTGTAGCGACCGCAATTGGGGCATTGGCGTGTTGCGAACATGATCTGTGAATACCATGAGTTTGTGGCAGCTATACTTTGGGTCAGATTCTACTTACAGGACCGAGAGGAGAGACGTCGAGATGGTCGACACATGAAGATAGTGAGACAGTGGTGGATGGCTGGAGAATGCTGTCGCGAGAGTCGTTGTTGTATGGCTGAGGCATTGTTGTTGATGGGAGAGAAGAACTGTTTGTGATGGCAGTCGAGAAGCTGTCGTATGGTCTGATGGTTGCGAAAATCCCGGACTGTAATGAAATGTCAAACGATAGTCTGTGTCGGTCTATGGTAAGAAGAACGTGAGTTGAATGAGTTGGATGATAATGGTGACCCTGAGGTGAATCCAGCAGTCCTTATATATGGCAAGTTCACCTGCGTATTGTCTCTGAGACCAGCAACCATTTGACGCAGAGCATAGTCAGACATCTTCTTCACCGCAAGATTCTATCAACTTCGACAAGTCAACTTTTGTGAGAGCGGCTCGCGGCAACTGACATGAGCGCTGTCCCAGCAATGTGGTTACGCATCCATATCGAGTTGGCTGCATGCAGGAACACCCCTGTTTTAGGTTTCGAACCTGTCAAATCCGTTTTGAAAACCAAGTTTGTGGAAGAGATCGTGCTCTACTGTATCTGAGATGACGAATACCCGAAATGTGATGGATGTTCGGTGAGTTTTCTGACGTGTTGTTTGCGGCTTTATCATCCGAGTTTGGAGAAGCGAGGGTCCGAGGAGATGAGGAGCATGAGTATCTAAGAAGGGAGATGCTGCATCAGACCACCGTCTTCGAGAAACGCTCTTTCCGCTCTTCTGCATGTTGAGATTCCATGACATCGTCAGCGCTCGAGAAGGTGGAATTGAGAGATGGCATGGGCTGCAAGTGTCTGATTTAGCCGATCATGGGACAAGTCCATCGCGGATCGCAAGACATTAGACTTTATTCTTGCATCCGTCGTGCTGGAAATGTCAAAGAAGATCCGTTTTGTGGTAGGTAGTGACACTTTTCGTGTCGCTCTTGCCCTGGTCTCGTTGCCGCGCTGTCGCGTGATGCTCGGTCCACAGTGCAGGAGCTTGGCTGCCTCCCCATTTTTGCTATATCCATTCTCGTGCATGTTGTCTCGTGTATCCCTGTTAGAACTTGTCATCAACAATGATTCCTGTCATTTGCACTTCCAATATCGAGCCAGAGGTAGATGCCTCGGATGTTAATGCCGTTGTCTTCGACTAATCATTACTATAGCTGCTGAACGAATTCTTGGTCAAAGCTTACGCTGGCGACACGGATGCTCCAGAGGATCTATGCATTCTGACCACTCAAGACTGGTCTCACTATCGCGATAAAGCTCGTCTGAACCCCGAAGAAGCTCAGAAGCAAGGACGCGTTGCTATACCTCGAGGTGAAGGTCCAATGGAATCACCCTCACGCCCGCCTTGGACGAAGCGATTCGAGACGCCCTTCAAAGACCAAGACCTGAAGGACATCGCTTGGACCTTACGAGGTGCAGAACGTCTCCTTCCAAAAATGAGCAAAGAGTTCTGTATCGTTCTGGATGGGCAAACAATTCAAGACAAAAGTGTGTTGCTAGTCAAAACCTTTCGAGGGCCGGAGAGCAATCTACCGAGCGATGATGAAAGTCCTATTGTTCAATACAGGACGCCGTTTGAGCAAGCCAATAGTATTTTACAAGGGGTATGTATTGGCGAAGGCTCCCTGGAGGAACTGCTATGGAACGAGAATACAACCGGTGGCTGAATTTCGTAAAATTCGAAAAAGCGAAACCCGCTCCTTTCCGTGTACATCAATCAAAGCAGGTTGAAAATGGCAGAACCAATGTCATATAGCAAAAGAAGAACAAAACGTACAGCAGCGGGGATTCCCACGTCGTCACCGACCGTAGTACTAATCTGCCGTTCAACTGCTTATGTATGGCAGAGCGGACGGGATGCCCAGTTTTCAGCTGACTGTGGCCGTACGTGAAAGGATTGCTAACCCACCATAATATAACTATCAGATGCGTTGCCATGAGGGGGAATCTAGCCAGCCGCACGTTTGCCGTGCAAGACAAGAATCTAAAAAATATATGATCATGTCTGTTACTGCGACCGCCTTCCAGAAGAGAAGGAGCGAACTTCTTGGTATGGATGTGACCACTACGTACAGCGAGTCCTCGGGTCTGTGTGGTTAATAGAAGCCTATACATCACACGAGCTCTTGCATGCTTGTTCCATAAACATCATGATAACATTGGATCAGAGCAGGGCANNACTGTCAGAATACATAATTAGTTGACGTGTCCGTCAGAGCTTCACAAACCACTTACTATACTGGATTTCGACCGAACATTATATGCCACAAATGCTCAAAGACACGTCCACTCGTGTCATCATCGAGTGGTGTCTCATGCAGCCACTTCAAAGCACTGGTATAGAAGTCCAAGGGCCGTTTGTGAACTTAGTCTCGCGAGACTGCGAATTGAGCACAGCATGGAGTGCCTATTATCTTTGGCACATCGTCATTACCAAACAGTTGTTTCCACGCATCCACGATTACGTGTTCTGCTCTTCGGTCCTCTTCATCGTGATCTTCTCGAAAAGGTTGGATATCACCTGGATAGCCCGGTGTGGCGGTACAACGGAGATTAGCATAGCCATTGCTCTGGACAAAATCGGTTCGGAGAGACGACAGGCTTTTGACATTTGAATGGTCGACTGCATCGGTATGCCATGCTCGCGGGTAGCCGTCTTCGTGAGGATGCACAAATGCAATGGTTGACGGAAGCCTTTCGTAATGTTCTACAAGGTATGTGAGATAGACATTGGCTTCGCGCCCTTTGTTTCTTGAGGTATGCAAAGGCCAAGTGTCGTTGTCGACGGAATATACAGCGTTCTGCCNATCTGAAAGCAGCGTTAGTACTTCGAGGATCAAAGCCATCAAGAGAACCGACGTCGAAAGCTTCTCGACCCAAGATGTATCTTCGGCGTTGGTTCTACCCATTAAAACGATCTGGTCCAGGGATCTCCAGCTGCTTATGCTTGTAGCTATCAATTCGGTAGCTGAGGCCCTATCCTCAGCAGTGGCAGTCGCTTGAGATTGTCCATCGTTCAACGTAGATAATGGAGCCAGATCTAGAGTCTTGTTGACTTTCGTCGACGCGGCCTTATCAAAACCGACGAGCGACTTGAAGTCGGAGCCATGGAAGGTTTCCGCATTTGGCAAGCGGTACAAGCATGTGTTGATCAGGAAGATGCCTGCTAGAATCAGGCTAGCAGGAATGAACCGAGTCGCTGCTTTCATATCGGCGGAACGCTGGAGGATCTGGCAGAAATGCTGGTTGCTCCGACAGAGAGCAATATATACGACAACTTACCCATCATCGAGAGCTCAGCCTTGGGAAATCACCATGAGTTCCGCATTCCTGAGGTGTGCCGCATGGCTGCGGCGCGTAGCGCGTAGCTATTCTCATTGGTGCCGATACACTGACCTGTGCCGCTTCACCTCGGCGGCTCCGCCAATCCATGCTTGCGCTCCTCAGTGGCATCGCAACTACAACAGCACACTCAATGAAGTGGATGTTGTTTTGGTCCAGAACGAGCAAGACAGCGATAGATGACAGACGACAGTGGAGTCTTGGCGTTGTGGTATCTTACATAATCACTGTATCGCGTATTATTGCCGACCTCCATCAGCGTCAGCTTCTTTAGAGCGCATATCTATGAAAACCTTGGTGCCAGAGCCACAATCCGTATGTGATGCCGTCGAGGTTGGTGTAACGCTTCCTGTTCCAGATCTTTCGCTGTTTCCACGATAAGAGTTTGATATATGTCAATCTGACAAGCTTGCAGAGCGATGTACAGTGTAACTATGAAAGTACACTCTTCTTGCTAATTGCGTGAAGGGTACAAATGACCGATTGTGTCTATGATCTATTCCATGAGTAACTTACATATGGAGTTTCATTGCTGACTTTTGCTCCTGACCCTCGTTCTTCTCTTCAGATCGGACTCGCGAACCCTTAGGCTTACCGTATAGCTTGGCTTTATTAGCACCTCACAAGACACGTACGCCAAGCCGCCAAGCGATAGCCGTGCCATAGTCGAATGTTTCGCCGCTGACTCTCTGCAAGTCCTAAGAGGAAGGCAAACGACAACGACTTAGCATCTGTCTTGTACAAAGCATGTATGCAGCGATCAAAGCGCTACCGGCCTTATCGCCAACCGTCACGCTGACATGGCACGCTGAGTCCATTGTTTGCACACGCTCCTGTCAATGTACAGGTGCAAACAGGTGGGCAGGCCTTGCTACTCCGCGGCTCCGCACGCATATTCAGATGATCAATCCTGGGCGATGATCATATAGCTTGGCATCATTAACCTGTCCTGACAAGATTGCTCTGTGGTGGGAGGTATCACAACATAAAAGGCATTGTTTGGCCGCCCAGCCATTGACTACCTTGAACTGATTAGCAACCCTTTCTATCGTCCTTCAGTATGCATTCTACCATAATCTATTCGACGACCGTGCTTCTAGCATTGGTCTTTCCAATAACTGTTACTGGCGAAACCCTTCTTGGCTGCGCTGCAATCAATTGTCAAAATCTCTCACCTGATCACGAAGAAACATCATGTCAGGTTCAGGAACAAGACCATACCTGGGTGGGCATCGAGACTGTACCGAACCCAATTGACGCCTCTGCTGGTAACTTCACATGGACTCTTGGTGTGCAGTCTGAACCATATTTGTATGGTGGTCATGTAAACATACCTGGTGTCACACGATCGTTCTACCTTGGTACGCCTCCCGGGACCGATTTGGCCAATGCTAGCTACACAGGATGTGCCCTCATCTTCGACAGGCCCGACAGTCATGGCTTCGTTCTTCCGTACGGCTCAGGCGATCCTACTCAAGTCACGTCCGACTCTTGCAGTTGGGGGCTTGGAATGGACACTGGTGATCAATGCCTGGAGGACCTCCAATCTGCCGCGCTCGAAATTGCGGCCGCAGCGACAGATGAGCAGAACAGTACAACGATTTGCGTAAACATTGCCGACTCAATATCGAGAATGGCACCGGCCTCATGCTCGCGATTGCAACAGAATGACATCTACCCTTACACAGTCTATCCAGTAGTGCTCACAGGCTCCAATGCCCCGGAACCCATCTCACCTTCTACAAATGCATCGTCAAATTGCTGGCCGACACTTCCGAAGACGAATGAGCTCACTCCCCTGTACTCATTCAACTATAGCACCAATGACAGCTATTCATGGTTCGCATACAGTCCAGTGATGAGCTTGTTCTCTGATACGGAAAACTCGGCGTCGTCTTCTGATCGTCTACGACAATCTTCCTTCCACTGCCTAAAGGCAATCGACTCGAACGATTTTGCTAATGCTATCGAGACAAATGGTTCGGGCATGGAGGGTGCAGCTGGGCGTGGAAGCAGTATCGGCTGGACTGCTAGTCTCTTAACGATAATAACTATAACTGCTATGTATCTTGTAGCTTAGCTATTATATCTGAACGATATGTTGCTTGCTATACTCTTCCATGTCAATCAGCCAACAAGTGATCGGGCTTACGTTATACCTTTCTACTCTTGGTGTCGAGGTAGGTATCATGCCATGTTGAAATAGAATTTCGAATCGCTAACTAGTGCAGAGACTCAATACACGTCAAAACTCGTGCAGTTGTCCTATCATGGATCCAGATGGTGCCAACGGTACGGGAAGTTCAAAGATTTGTGGTAGAAGTGTTGTCAATCAGCTCGTCCCTGCTGTAATCCTTCATAGAACCCTAAAATGTATGGCATAGGACAAGGCGTGATGCGGAATACTGCAAGTGCTATGTACAAGCAGATTGAAGTGTTGATGGCGCAAGGCACGATTGGTTGTCGACAGAAGATTTTGCCATCCACACGTTGTGACGACTCTTCTCCTTCGAAACATCTAGATACTTTCTTTTGGCAGGCACTCATATTCTTGTTCATCATCTGACTGACCCAGATTGTCCGGAACTTCGAGCCAGAAATCATTGTTAAATTCGGTGTCAGCGAACGGATAAGAGATATTGTCTGGGAGCAGTGCAATCGCTTCCAGCGCTGATCTCATTGTCGCATCAGGATCAGGATCAGGGGCAAAGAGGTCGCAAACGATGTCATCATCGTCCTGGTATCTTCTCTCGAGACAAGGACAGTCTTTTAAGTACTCGTCGTCTCCGACTTAAGCTCGTTAGTGGATCTAAGAGTCTTTATGTTTATAAAAGACAAAACTTACACCCTTGCATCTTGTATCATGAAAATCAAGCTCCTTGTAATATAGAAGGATAAATCCGCCGCAGTCCTTACACATAGGAGTGTTTTCGTAGTCGTCGGGGCAATATTCGGGTTGTGCGTTCAACGCAGCTGTATTATCCTCCTTATTCCATGAGTTTATCACTTGTGCCTTAGTGACAAAATCATCCACTGTTGTATATCCCTCGGCCGCTGAAGAAAAGACCAGGACTGATACATCGGGTTTCGACAAAAGTGATGACAGCATGGAAGCAGTGAGCATATCAGCCGGCGAAGCGACTGCGCTGATGGTGCCTATAGTGAAGACAAGCGCCTGTATTTGGAAAGTGTGCATGTTGGTAAGTCGACGATGAAGCGAAACCTGCTTCTACGCTGCTCATGTGAATCAACTACACTCAGTGAAAAATCATCATTCCGCTTAGATTCTCAGACGCCAACGACACGGGTCAATTTGGAGGTCGGTTCCTCCGAGGCGCTTAGGTATTCTTTAATCAATGAAGACCCGATCGCCTTCGCTTACGCTCTCTGAATCTACCTCTATACAGCTTAATAGCAGAAGTGTAGACGACAACCAGCAAAATGATAGCGACTCCCAAGAGGAACTCTGCACGACAAGTTGTAGGAGAAGAAAGATGAGGACCGACTATTTACGGTGAGGTCTTGGCATTTTGGCATGTAGGATTCAATGGCGTACTCATCAACATCCTAGCTTCTTCAGAGCACACATCAATCGACATCGAAGAAAAATATCGATTTGTTAGCATTCTACTGATCGCATACCATAACTACAGACTCTGACATAGACTAGCCGCAAGGACAACAAGCAAGAAGGCTCTCTCACTAGTATCGCCAGACCACAATGCTACCACGCTCAAAAAACGTACGTCGCTACTGCTAAACCTAAATCCCAGCTTCTACTTACATGTTACTGGCAGGTCAAGCGTGTAGAGATGGTAGTTGCCTTCTGTTTTGGATGGGTGGCCAGCGACTATTATCTCTACAAGATGGATTACAAGTATCTCAAGTCCTCCGTTTGGCGCCCGTATTTTGAGAAGCAGCGAGTGGAGCCGCCAGCACCGACGAAACCAGAGTGAGGTAGGAGTGAGGTGGGTTTCATTAGTATGAGGAGCTTTACAGGCGTCAAAAACACCCTTGAGTTGTCAATAGTACTATGGTTGCTTGTATTCTCTGTTGCACTCTTCTCTAACCATGTTTGAATTGGATAATCGCTAAGAGTCGACTGGCATAATGCTTGGATCTCTCTAGTGATACTGACCTTCCGAGTACATGCAAGGAACATGCAGATTCATCGAAGTGGCCTGCGAGCACGATTCTCATCCTCGAACGTACAGGAGCTAGACCCCTTCCCAGGCTTGATACAATATACAAACAGTGTTCGTTTGCAGCGATCAACTCTCTGATGTGTTTTCGTCGCCTTCAGACTCAGATCCCCAATCCAAGCTTGATTCGGACTCCTCATCTTCCTCCAGATACGTGTCTTCCTCGAGTAGACGACCCTTATACCAATCAGAGAAACGAGGTCGCAGTCCCCTCATGGTTTCGAAGTTCAAACCTCCCATATACACGTCAAGCAGATCCACCATATGCAACTTCATCCAGCCGGGATATTCCTCGCCCTCATCTGGTTGGTCTTTGTCTATGACTTTGACATATGGTGCCTCGTCCCGAGGCATAAAGTCCAGCTCAGCATTTTGCGAACGGATGTTGTCGAGCACGTCCTTATCAACAACCAGGAACACATAGCTCTCTGGCCACACCCTCTGTCCCCCGAAGTCTTGAGATGCCGACCATACGTGAAAGTGCTGTCGAAGTTGTTGTGTTGTGGCGCCATCAAACTGTGATTGCTCATTCATCCAATAGTGTTGTTGCCATGCCCTAGCTAGACGGCCGTTCTCGAGCTGCGGGCCGGGGAAACCATGAAGAGGCCAAGTGTTAAACATGGCGAGAAATTTTGTCCAGTCTGCTTCTGAAGTGTAATCCGTGCGATAAATAGCAAAGCCCCAGCGCTGCTTCCGCGACAGTATTGTCGTGTAATTGCTCATACCGTGGTTGGAATATGCGGGAGAGTGAAGCTGGTGTAAGCAAAAGGTCTTGCATTGGGTGGGTGGTGCGAAAGAAACAAGAGAATGAAGAAGCGCTCGCACGCGGTGTAATGGGAAATTGCGGTCAGTATCTGCCAAGACATTCTCTTATTCATCTGTGTTTATGACTTCTTATGAAAAGACAATTCCACCAGATTGTCCCAACACATCAAGACCTCGGGCGACTACCACTCACAAGCGACGACAGGAACATGCTGGATGTACAGCCAGTCTTGCGACTTCATGAGGTTCGTACACCTGCTGGCTTTGTCTCTGTTGTCGTGGTACTTGCAACTGTGCATCGTGCCCGAACACCACAAAGCTCCCGCGTTACCCGTGCCATCATTCTTGTACTCGCACTTGCCGTCTTGAGTCTCGACTGCAAATGTACCGCCGGGAGGATCGACAGGTAAATCAGGACGGTCTGTATTGGCGATACCAACAACGCTGACGGGAATTGGGTTGTCAGAGCATTCGGATGCAGTACCGAAGGGAACAGAATAGAAGAGCCAATTGGATTCGAATCTCGTTGGGCGTTCGCCGACCCAGAAGTCCTCCTTGTTTTCGCGGATGATGTTGAGAGCTTTGGTCGGCGGGTCGGGTTTAGTTTCTTCAGTGTCGTCGTCGTCGTCGCCGTCATCATCATCGCCCCTGAGCTCGTTGTGTTTGACGCCTCCATACCTTTCATTAAAGTATAGAATAGATGCGTAAATAGCGTAACTGTCCGCTAAAATTGAGACAATCAGTTAGCAAATGTACTGCTCAAAATATCAGGTCAATAACTATTCTCTCACCATTCGTTCGTGTCCATTGCGGCTTTTTCCTGGCGAGTTTCTCTACTTCTTTAGGCCCATAGACCAATGCCTTTTTGAGGCCACCTTCTTTGTTCCAATCTTTGTCTTCGATATGATCGTCTGAGATAATATCATTAGTCATGGGGGTCTGAGCGCATACCCTTGCCAACATACCTCCTCCTCCACTAATAGAGTCGAGATGGGTGAGTTCGTGTAGCAATAATGTTCCTTTGCCAAGGCGCTTTGTCGCCAAGTCCTGATATTTCGGGTTCCCGTCCAGCTCGGTGGTCAATTCCTTGATTGTGTCGCGGTTAAAGAAGATTGGACAGAGGACAATGGTACCATCCTTGAAATTGGTTTTCTCACCCTTGCTGAATGCGAATCCACCTTTACCAGAGTTGGTCTTGCATGAAGCGTTTTCATCAGCTTCGTCCCTGTAGTCAACATCACAACCAATACGGATCTTGTTGTCGAAGTGGACCGAGGAACCCAGTTTCTCTATGTTGCTGTAAATCTCTGATGAATAAATTAGCCAAAACGTGCGCATTTCGTTAAGCCACGTAAGAGGAAGGAGGTATTAGCCACTTACTACGAATGAACTTGATATCATCGACGCGACTGGCAATGTTCTTGCCCCAGATGAGGGTTTCAGTCGGTCCCGCCTTGCAGATGCCCTTGCAACCAATGCCTAAGAAGGACCTCCTGTCTAAGTTGAACTGCGACGGCTTTTCCACAAGGAGCTGCACATCTTTCCAGGCCTGCTCAATCTGATCCTGCTGGTCGGGCTTACAATTGACGAACTCTGCAAAAGGTAAAAGACCCTTGCTCGTTCCGCCATTGTCGAGTCCCTTGTGGGGAGGCTGATCCCATCATCAGCATCCTCGGGTGGGTCAAGGTCGGGCGTGTTGTCTTGGAAATCTATGCTCCAGACCATAGTGCCACCGAAGCACATGCTGTTGGCGAACTCCTTCTTAGCAGCGAATGTCTCTTCGTCATCGTAACCGATCCACTGGTCGTCCCAAGTGAGCTCCTTCATCATTGCTCCTGAAAGATACGTGGGATGGATGCCTTTACTCTTAGCGATATTCTTGATCTCCGAGGAGTGAGAGGACGCCGGCTTGACCGGTACACTTGCCGGGGTCACTAGGACCAGTGAAAGAACATCCAAGAGAATTGCATCTAGAGTCAGCTAGTGTGTAACCTCGTCCGTACATCGCCAGACCGAAGTTGATCTTTGCCGGATCCAGGCCATCGAACCACAATGGTGCAGTGTCATTACGGATTTCACGAATATCCGCTTGACCACGTACAATTTTACCAAGGGTGTGGACATCGGAATCCCAGGAGCCGTGAAGATCTGTTTGTAGTTTAGCATAACTCTCGACTCATTGCCGGAGAACAGAAGTCTCACCATAAGCCATAAAACCAAAGAAGTCAACATTAGGCTCCATAGCCTTTGCATCGAACCAACGCAAATACCAGTAGTCGGGAGCTAGAGTCACACTGATACCGAAGCGAGTGCCATAGGCTGCTCGCATCTCCCGCACCAGGAGAGAAAGGTTTCTAGTATCGGCGAGTTTTCTTCCACCTCGGTCAGGATCTCCAGGATACTCCCAGTCGAGATCGACGCCTTGGAAGCCGTATTCTCTGTTGAGAAGGAAAGTTAGTGACGGTTCGGGCATAGTAGAGATTGTGTTTGGAGAATAAGACCGTACTTCATATATGCTTCAAGAGATGCGATGAATTTGGCACGATTAGCCTTTGTAGAGACCATGTCACTCCTATTCACATGTTAACAATTTTCTCAAGCGCATTGGGTGACGTGCTCCAACTCACCAGGTAGTATGTGTAGGCGTGCCCTTGTCGCTGAAGTCAAACCCGCCAATTGCAATCCAGGTCTGGAGCTTTCCGTCGGAAGATAGAGCTGTAAACTCTCTCATCTGCTCCTCATCATCGTCATGGGCAGGCACAACGTCAAAGGAGTTGGGGTCGATGAAGGCAAAAGAATAGAATAGATGAGTAAAGCCTTTAGTGTTGAGCTGTGACGGAGTCTTGGTGTCACACTTTCGATTGCGGACATTCCATGATTGGTAGTATCCTACAGTGCGTCCATTGGAGCTTCCACCGTTTGTGGAGCAGGAAGGAGCGGTAGAGATCGAACACGAACCATAGCCAGCCTGACACGGCAAAGTTTGATGGAACGGATCAGCATTATGACAGAAGACCTCTGTGGTCTGTGATGAGTGTTAGTGCTGATACGACTCGTGAGGACATATACTTGACTTACTCCACACCAGCCTGAAGAAGAGCAGCAAAGGTTCATGCCGCACGGCATATCAGCATCCTCGCTGAACTCTCCGCACATCGCAGTAGCATTGCATTGTGAAGTACAGCCGTCGCCGCAGTAATCGGGACCATAACCACAAATACCGTCTTTCCCACAACAGCTGGATACTGATCAGAAGAGCCTTTCGCGAACGATCCGAGATTCTTCTCAACATACCTTCCATCAACACAGGGAGCAGTGTCGCAGTGTAGGGCACCGTCACGGCGATTCAACGAAGGTATAGTCGAGTCTCGTGGCCTCAAAGCAGTTGTGGAATCGTTGAGACCAGGCTCATAGTTGAGGATCGGGATTGGAGGGGCTTCGTTGTGGTTCTGGTGGCCAACACCAAAGACAATCTTTTCACGCCATGATAGATCCGCTGCGATGGGATACTGCTGTCAGAAGGTGTATGTTGACTGTGTCAATAGACTTACGCGAATTGCCTCGAGGAAGTTCTGAATTGGCAACGACCAAAGCTGGCGAATTCAGAAGGAGCAAACCAGCAATCAGCTTGGTCGGCAGCTGCATCTTGATACAGTTCCCAAAAGCCGAGACGGTCTTGACTGGTCACGGAAGGCATAACCGTAAGTCCTTGGACGACTTTATAGTCCCGGACCAGACGAACATCACGACAACATCCACTCGGTTAGGAGTCCAAGCTTTAAATCCATCAATCCTTCATATGTTTTTGACGCTTAATTTTCTGAATCTAGTTGAGTCAGTATGTTGCAAGCAGCCTTTCAAATCTTCTAGCGGCGAATCCTGCGTGTATCAAGCTATGTCCGTGATCCTTCTTGAAGGTTAATCTTCTGCGCGCAGGAATTCACGCAGCTATGGTTGAATTGTTGGCACTACCTTTGTCGAAGTACGCTGGTGATCTGTGCGGAGCTCCGCGGCTGTAGAGAACTTCCACAGACAGTCACATACTCACAAAGATACGTGAATTTAAACTGCCAAAGTCGCATATCGTGTGGTCTTGAAGTCTCGTCTTGATCTTACTTTTCTTTGATATCGAGGTTGAAGATACAGATAGTGTCCGGACAACCCCCGAAAGAAAGGCGCTACGAAGTCCTTCAAGCGAGTGAGAAGCTTGAAGCACTGACAGGCTGTCCAGAATAGCATGCCTAAGTCGACTGTGGCAGCCTTGAAGCAAAGGTTGCTCGCTTCTCCCGTGTACGGACGTTGCGAGGAGTGGAGTTGAACAATATATCGGCATTCTTGCCATATTGTATGGATTTTCGTCGCCTTGGCGGCGCACCCTTCATTTTGTCAAAGCATTCACCAGGGCCAAGACATTTGTTTCTCTGGTGAAACAACACCGATCCTACAAGAGTTTGTGTTCGTCTCTGACCTGTCATGCTGTCAGGCAAGGCGCCTGTAATTATAGACCGGAAAGAATTTGTCAGGTGAGTACGGCCAACAGCGGCCAGGAGGATTCACGCTCCTTCTTGTCGAGTCACGACTCACGAAATCCTCAAATCTAAACACGGACGAGCTGTGTCCATCTATTGACCATTGAGTCTCTTGCACGTCGTATTCTTCTTTCCATATGAAAATAATCTAGGAGCCTGATCGAAGGATCCACAAACGTTGTTCTCGACTTTTGACACTTAGACGACCGGTTCATCTCTCGACGTCGCTAACAACACAACAAGTCTGTTGGGATGAACTATCGCTAGTTTCTGGTCAGAGCAGAGGCTGAGTATGAGGATTCTAATCGAACCATGCTTGGCGAAAGAGCAATGATGGTGCTGCGAGGTATTCACAACGTAGCGAGGATATAAGAAGTCTCGTTGCCCTTGACGGTGCGAAAAGTCGGTACCGACGAAAGATCCTATTCACCATGAAGCAGAGTACATTGCTCTTCTGGCTCTTGCCAGCTCTCAGCGTCGCTCAAGGCACATCCACAGAAGCAGCACCAGCATGGACGACCGGCGTGGTAACCGAAGACGGAAGCTGTGGTGCCGAAGCTGGCTGGGTGTGCTCGCCAATTTGGGGAGCATGTTGTTCCAAAGACAACATGTGCGGTCGTTCCAGCAAGTTCTGTGGCGACGGTTGGTAAGCTGTTTCCTCATCCTCGACATCATCTTAGCAAGATTTTATGCTGACTGCCCATTGTAGTCAATCAGGATTCGGAAACTGCAATGCCAAAGCTCCGACCGCTGTTCTAGGACCAGGAAGCATATCGCCAGATGGTTCATGTGGCGGCTCCAATGGATATGTCTGTAAGGGCTCAACTTTTGGTGATTGCTGCTCTGCAAATGGATGGTGTGGGTCTCAGTCTGGTCATTGTGACGCCGGTTGTCAAGCACCCTTTGGCAAATGCAACGAAGGCTTCGAAAACGTATCTGTAGATGGAAGCTGCGGTGCCAACGGCAAGACTTGCAAGGGCTCGACATTTGGTGATTGTTGTTCGGCTCAAGGCTATTGCGGCTCACAAAGCCACTGCGACGCTGGATGTCAATCGTCTTTTGGTACATGCTCTAGCGGTGCCGACTCGATATCTACCGACGGACGTTGTGGGTCGAATGGCAAAACTTGCAAGGGCTCGACATTCGGCGGTTGCTGCTCGGCTCAGGGTTACTGCGGTTCAACAAGCCACTGTGAAGCTGGCTGTCATCCGTCTTTCGGAACTTGCTCAACTGGCGCCGACTCCATCTCAACTGACGGCCACTGCGGCTCAAACGGCAAAACCTGCAAAGGTTCATCCTTTGGCTCCTGCTGTTCGCCCCAAGGCTACTGCGGCAACACCAAAGACTTTTGTTACGGAGGCTGTCAACCTTCCTTTGGTACCTGCGCTCCCAATGCTGGCAACATCTCTACCGATGGCCAGTGTCGCACAAACGGCAAGACATGCTACATGTCCTCGTTTGGCGATTGTTGCTCAACACAAGGGTTTTGTGGCAGCACAACTGCCTTCTGCGGTTCCGGCTGCGCAGCCGATTTTGGGATCTGCGAGTTCCCGACTAGTACATCTGTGGATGGCAAGTGTGGACCGCAAAACGGTAAGTTGTGTGTGGGATCTGGATTTGGTGATTGTTGTTCAGTTTATGGGTCTTGTGGTTCGACCAAGAATCATTGTGGGCAAGGATGGTAAGTCTTTTGTATTGATTGTGAATCGAGGAGTATGCTGATGTATGGAACAGTCAGAAGGGTTATGGGTCCTGCAAATGAAGATGTAAGTGCATCATATGCCCGGTCTTGGCTGCAAGGTATGGGTTAATCTGATTTCCAGAAGCAAATGCACAATGGTTAGCAGCATGAGAAGGCATTGACTAAGAGCCAATGAGAGGATCCAAAACTCGTTGAATTGGTGACCAGCACCCTCCATGCAAACGATCATTTCGCAAATCTACAAGATCTAACAAATGTAAGCCGAGCCGCAAAGTTCTACTCCCCACGCAGATACTTGTAAACCACTGAGAAATCTTTGCCCTTGTACTTCTCGTTTCCTTCAATCGCAGCATAGATGGAAGCAGCCATAGGACCCAAACGAGGCTCGATGCCGAATTGTTGAGCAGCATGCATGGCTAATTTCAGATCCTTGTTCATCAGTGCTGTGCCAAACCCGCCTGCATATTCTTTGCTGGAGGGAGCATCAGGCAGCACACCAGGAACAGGATTGTTGATTTCGCTGGGCCAGCATTTTCCAGTGCTTGTGTTGATCATGTCTGCCAATGCCGAGGCGTCCAGTCCCCACTGCACACCCATATTCATGGCTTCNNCTGCAGTAGCGATATTGTTAAGAGCCAGTAGATAGTTATTTGCAAGCTTTCCTTTCAGACCGGAAGTTTGGGGTCCGAGGTGAATTACACGTTTGCCCATCATCATCAAGACTTCAGTTGCGCGGTCGACGAGGTCTGGTGGTGCGCCAATCATGAAGGTGAGTTTTCCTGCTTGAGCGCCTACGATACCGCCGGACATAGGAGCGTCGATGAATTTACCTTGGCCGGATGAGTGAGCTGCGTTTGCGACGTCCGCAGAAGACATAGGGTCGATGGTTGAGCAGTCGATGAAGAGTCGTTCTTGCTGCACGCCGTCGCGGAGCAGGGTTGGTGGTTTCAGCATCGATTTGAAGACATTTTGGACATGGGATGGTCCTGGGAGTGCCGTGATGATTGTTTCNNCTGGAAGGCTGTTAGTCCTCTGACCTTTGTTTAAATCAAAGCGAATGTGGTCAACAAGACCCGATGAGTCCCGTGGTAATCAACAGATATCGCAGAATGCCGGATAATGCAGATGACTTACTGATTTCTCCGCGACATCTCTGACATCTTCTGCAACTTCCACGTTCGAATTCTCTTTTACGAATCTTGCTGTTGCCTCGCTGTTCACGTCGTGGATAATTAGGTTATCAGAGCTGGGAAGCTTTGCTCGTAGGTTTTGAGCCATACGATAGCNCTGATTGAGGTTAGTGATGCTGCTAAGCACGAATGTTGTTTGAAGTGACATACCCATCTGTCCCAGCCCGATAAAGCCATAGGTCGCGTGCCTTTGACTCGAAGTCGAGAAGCATCGCTGTATGGGTGCATTCGCAGCATAAACCTGGCGTCTTAAAGCATTCATCGCGAGTGATCAATCGAGCCTTTCAGTTGCAGGTCACAATGGGATCAAGGTGGTCAAGAACAGCATGTCCTCTTCCTTATCAACAGAAGATCGAACACGACATCATCAATTGTGCCTAGCGAGACAAAGATCGGCTTCGGGCAACCGAGGAAGGGAAGTAAGGTGCCACGGATATCCGGGGACTGCGGAGACGGGAAAGAGGGGAAAGGGCAACTGTGAAGCCTCACCTTTTCGGTGGCCTTGTTCTGGGGCAGCGAGGCCGAGTCGGCAGCTGTTGTGAGTCTCCCCGTCTGCAGAAGCCTTTCACATGTGTAGCTATAAGGATGCAGAAGTCTTTGGGGACCGCAACTGGGCAATGCCCAAGTAGGGATGTTCGCTTGGGCAGCTCTTTGGGAACAGACCCTGACCTTGAGTACTATTTCCTTTCCAGCTCGAAGTGTCGCCACGTGCTGGCGCAAGGCCTGTGACAAGTCTCAGGTCATCAATCTGAGCGTCTTGCTATACCCTTTGATACAGAACAACTATCTGCAGTGCAAGAAGTTGTGCATTTCATTGCGATGGCTTGTTTAGGTGCAGATTTTGTGCTTAGGAACAAGATGTTTGGGCACCTGAGTCGAGTGGATACCATGTCATGGCCTCAGCGTAACAATGACATTCATGATCAATCTACAAGGACAAGAGAAGATTGTGTCAGAGTGTTTGTGGATATGAACAATGTCACTGTGTGGTGTGGCGCATGAGTAAGGCTGAGCACTCTAGCGCTTCTCGCGTCATCGGGTGGGCGTGAGGCTTTTGGCAACGAGGCAACCGCTTTCAGTCAACTTCCACCCCCCTTCGCCCTCGCGCAAGCATCGAAACAACATCTCAGACCCATACCGAGCAAACAACATGTGCGGCAGTGATATCTTCTTGGGCTTCCTGGCCATCCTCTTCCCTCCCATCGCTGGTGAGTGACGACCGCAAAACCCCCTTCTCCACACAACCCGCGCAGCCAGCCACCGCTCTGCATGGACCAAGCAGGGTGCAACTTGAGAAGATTCAGTCGCTGATATAGCCTCACANGTATGGGTCAAGCGCGGCATCTGCTCAGCCGACTCTTTCATCAACATCGCCCTCTGCGTCCTGGGTTTCCTGCCTGGTCTGATTCACGCCTGGTACATCATTTCGCGCTACCCCGACCCTACGTACGACGAGCTCGCCCAAGAACCCGAGGGAGGCCGTGTGACATACTACTATGTCCAACAGAGCCATCGTCCTTCAGTGAGCAGCGCCAGAGGTCCTGGGTACGGAACTATCAGCGGCGGCCCCAGTGGTCAGGCCGAGGGATCGCAACCCCAGCAATACCGTCAAGACCAGCAGATGCCTAGCGCGTCAAAGCACGATGCTGCAAACCCTCCCACCTACGCCGAGGCTGTCAAGGGCAACAACAAGGTCCAGTCACACGACTAGGTTGCCACTGCACGCCACATAACGACGAACGATCTCTCAACACACACCTTTATACCCACACCAATACCCACAACCTTTTTGATCCGAGATGATGGCGATTCATTTCGTGTACTTTATTCGGCTGCTGTTCTTTCATTTATTTGAATTGTTTTAGTGTCGCGTGAGAAGCGACGAGCGAAATGGAATGGCGTGTCTATGTTATATCATGTTCAATAAACGCCTCCTCCTCAACTTGACCAGACTTTGTCCGTGTTCTCCAACTCGTGTGTGCTTGGCGCATCCTTGAAGGCTTCGTTTCGATGACTACCATCCAAGGGCGCATCTGGCTCATCGGCGAATGGAGTGGTGTCTGAGCTGTCTGCCGCAAGCACAGTCGGTTCAGCACCTGCAGTGCCCGCATCACCCGTCTCTTTACCCTCTTCTCTTCTACCGATAATGACACTTCCAGCGACCAGCATAGCAGCTCCGAGCAACCAGAGGCCAGGCAAAGTTTCGGAGAAGATCAAGACGCCCAAGACAGCGGTGATCATAAAGTTGGCAGATGTGTTGATGACGCTGACTCTTGTGGTACTCGAGGCGAGAGTGAGGGCACGTGTAAAGAGACCCCACATGATTCCATTGAAGACGAGGTTCAGGACGAAGAAGAGNNCTAGGCAGGGGGTCAGGACTCCTGAGATAGATGTGTGGTTGTAGATCGAGAAAGGACATACACCACGGACTAGAAACTCAAAGAACTTGTTTGGGCCTGACAAGCCAAAGATATGAGACAAGGATTCAGCCCATGCTGTCGTCAGATGTGTAGTAGTNNGCTTTAGGGGTGAGTAAGGTGAGATTGCGCTGATGGAGGTTTGTGTGTCTCACAGTTTGGCAAATACACCGTTCAGAGCAGCACAAGCTCCACTTGCGATTGCGAAGAACAACCACTTGGAAGCCGGTGTCGACATGATTGATATGCGATAGACTCGACGACGAATATGGCTAATCTGATGTCGCGGAACCTTGATGATGCCAAGGCCAGAAGTGACGGAGACGGAGATTGCCGCAGGCGCATCATTGCAGGTTGCCCGAAGCGTCACCTCCAACGTTGGCTGAGCAGACCCGAGGACAACAAGCACCCACCGACTACGACGACGACTGCGCAGTCTTTGAGTTAGCAAAATGGGCGGTCTCACATACGGCCTCTATGGCGCATCCACTGCCCTGACTGTCATCGGTCTNTTGTACGCTCCTATCGTCCGCCTGCAACACGCCTCATGCATCCAAAGCTAATACGACGCCTTAGATATGCTCTTCAATGGAGAGGGTGAAGCTTTCAACGTATGCCAACAACCCAACACGCACCGCTCTTGATCACGCGTCTGACACTCCCCTTCANNGGTTGGAGACTTCCTTCTCAGCATCTCGCCCCACGCATGGGCTAGCACCGGTATCGCCCTCTGCATCGGTCTCTCGGTCGTCGGAGCTGCATGGGGTATCTTCATCACTGGTGCCTCGATTTTAGGAGGTGGTGTCAAGGCTCCTAGGATACGAACCAAGAACTTGATCTCCATCATTTTCTGCGAAGTCGTCGCCATCTACGGTGTCATCATGTCTATTGTCTTCTCGGCAAAGATGGCCTCGGTCGGTCCTGACGCTGCAAGATCTGGTAGCAACTACTACACTGGTTTCGCCTTGTTCTGGTCTGGGCTCCTCGTCGGTGCTTGCAACTTGGTCTGCGGTGTTTCTGTTGGCATCAACGGCAGTAGTGCTGCCCTTGCCGATGCTGCTGACCCCAGCCTGTACGTCGCATAGAAACCCCCTGTATTACCTCATTCGTACTGACTTTACTTCACAGGNTTCGTCAAGATTCTCGTCATTGAGATTTTCAGTTCCGTCCTCGGACTTTTCGGTCTCATCATCGGTCTTCTACTCTCTGGTCCTGCTGCCGACTTTGCCTAAGTCATGACAGCCCGGATGCTGTTCATCAAGTTCAAGAAGGAGAGTCATAATATAAGCGACATGCAAAACAAGGAGAGAGTAGTCTGCAACTCCCTCAACAAGCAGTGTTGCGATCAGGTCAGATCAGCATTAGTATGGCGTCCGGAGCGAAGAAATTAGGAAGCCATGTTGTTTTTGGAAGCATCTGAATTGTGGAACATTACCACCCGTGTATAGACCTTTGTATAGCAAAATCAAATCATTTACCACAACATAATATCATGCCATCATGCTAGCCTTCTTTTCAGAGTGAAAACTAAAGTATCCAGATTTGATTGAGCGGCTAGAGAATAATCCTTGCGCGTCTGAGTAATCCATTTCTCACGCTGTCGAGAGCCAAACTCCACGAACCGCTCCCGCTTCCCGCAACCTCGACTTCACGCCATCCAACTCCAACAATCTTGTCAATTATCAAGAACAATGGCGACCTCACAACCCAGATTAACAGCAGCAATTCTGATCATCTCAGAAACAGCTTCCAAAGACCCATCAACAGATAAATGCATCCCCGCGCTATCACAAGTCTTTTCCGACCTCGGATCCTCCAATTGGACCATCTCAACCACAACAATTGTCCCAGACTCCATCCCTGCAATTCAAGACGCCATTCTCAAGTCTTGCAATGAGGAAATCAATCTGATTATCACCTCTGGCGGCACTGGTTTTGCAGTCAAAGATGTAACNCCCGAAGCAGTGACGCCGTTACTGGAAAAGCAAGCGCCGGGGTTAGTGCACGGAATGCTTGCTAGTAGTCTACAGGTAACGCCATTCGCGGTCATGAGCAGACCTGTAGCGGGGGTTAGAGGAAAGAGTTTGATTATCACGTTGCCGGGGAGTCCCAAGGGTGCGAAGGAGAATTTGGAGGCGGTGTTTAAGTTACTCAGTCATGCTTGTTTGCAAGCTAGTGGGGGTGATTCGAGACAGATGCATCAGGGTGGTGTTAAGAAGTTGGAGAAGGAGGCGGGGGTGGGTGGTGCTGAGAAGGTTGGTGGACATGGACATAGTCATGGACATCACAGTCATGGATGTGGACGCGACCATGGACATGGAGGTCATCATGGTCCTAAGGCTCATACCACACCCGACGATCGACCCCAGCAATCCAACGATCCTTCTCAAGGACCAAGCAGGAGATACAGACACTCGCCATACCCTATGCTCTCTGTCGCCGATGCTCTACAGCAGATTGACCTTCACACACCTTCACCCACCGTTATCACGCTCCCAGTCAATGAGTCCCTGGTTGGCCATGTCCTGGCTCAAGATGTGACAGCACCAGAATCAGTACCTGCTTTCCGCGCCAGCATCGTAGATGGCTACGCCGTCATCGCTGGCCCAAATGCTCCCGGCACCAAAGGCACTTTCCCTGTTGCCATGATCTCTCACGCTCAAGCTGGAGAACATCAAGAACTCCAACCAGGTCAAATTGCTCGAATCACTACCGGTGCTCCTCTCCCTCCCGGCGCCACTAGTGTCGTGATGGTCGAAGACACAATCCTCGTCTCCAAAACTGATGACGGCACAGAAGAAAAGGAAGTCGAGATCTTGACTTCTGAAATTGAAGTCGGAGAAAACGTCAGAGAAGTAGGTTCAGACGTTCAATCTGGCGAGATCATTATGCANAAAGGCGAAGGTATCTCTGCTATTGGCGGAGAGTTTGGATTACTGGCTTCTGTGGGTGTCAAGCAGGTCTCTGTGTACAAGAAACCCGTCATTGGCGTTTTGAGCACTGGAGACGAGATTGTGAATCACGATCGCGAGGGAGAACTCAAGCGAGGAGAAGTCAGAGATACCAATCGTCCTACTCTACTTACCGCTATTCGTGGCTCGGGCTTCGAAGCCATAGACTTGGGTATCGTTTCCGACAAGTAAGTCTATTCTGTTCCTTATACCTACGAAGCAGACCACTAACAAGAAAAACAGNNACCAGGAGCTCTAGAACAATCCCTCCGCGACGCGACCCGCAAAGTCGATGTCATCATCACTTCTGGCGGTGTCAGTATGGGCGAACTCGATCTCCTCAAACCAACCCTCGAACGCCAACTCGGCGGCTCCATCCACTTCGGCCGCGTCGCCATGAAACCAGGTAAACCCACGACCTTCGCCACTGTCCCCGTAAAAGCCAACGACGGCTCTCGAATCAACAAAGTCGTCTTTTCGCTACCTGGAAACCCTGCTTCGTGCGTGGTCACCTACCACCTCTTCGTTTTGCCAGCACTGCACAAAATAGCTGGTGTGGAGCCTAGGGGTTGTGCTAGAGTCAAGGTACAAGTAGATGCTGAAGTCAAGCTAGACAAGCAAAGAGATGAGTTCCACCGTGCGGTAGTCAAAGCTGGGAATGATGGCTTGTTGCACGCTGTTTCCACAGGCGGACAACGGAGTTCAAGGATTGGAAGTTTCAAAGGTGCAAATGCTTTGTTGTGTTTACCTGCTGGCGAGGGAATCATCAACAAGGGCGAAATGGTCGAAGCGTTGTTGATGGGAAAGCTGGTTGGTGAGGTTTGACAGAGGTCTGGTGTTGTGGCTTTTTCTGTTAGAAGGACTCGCAGGATATGGCCAGAGAGAGCTAATGAGAGATTGCTTCTCAGCGGACACTATCCTGTTTTGTAATAGTATTGTGCATTTTTATAGCGTGTACTTCACTATCCTTTAGCACTCGAAGAAACAGCAAAAATCCAGTGTAGGGCTGGCTAATGTTTGCTTGGAGCCACTCAAATATTCATTGCTGCAACATCGTGTGCACGTAGGCGCTTCATCTCTGCAGCTGTTTTGGTAAAGGCAACACAGCACGAATCAATGCTCATCTTATAGACCGGGTATCTTGGGTTTAGTAGTGTTACGATAGAAGAATAGTCACCGGCATGCAAGATCGACAAAGAAGTCAAAAGGGTGGGGCCAGGCACATTTCTACAACAAAGTGATTCCTTGTCTCTATGGATAATCTTGACACATAACTCATATATCGACAAAAGCAGAATGCTTCGGCTTGTCCCCATCCCAAGAAACACCAAACGATTTCTCGATTCTTTCACAACCAAGCACTCTTGTTCGTCTGGACAAACTCATCGAAAGAAGTCGCTTTCTTCCCAGTCACAATCTCGACATCATTGCCTGTAAGCGATTCTGCTCCTGCGGCAGTCTTGGTCTCAATACCGGTCAGAAACTCTGCAGTATGTTGGGCCAAACCGGCTTTCATCAAGCCTTGGATGCGTTGCTCGGGAGACAAGTTGACGTGAACGATTTCTCTGCCCAAGTGTTTGCTAAGCTTCTCTGTAATCTAAGATAGAGGTCAGCATTGAGTCAAACCCTCATACTAAGTCTTGGTAGCACAGAAACTGCTGTGAGTCTTTGCNNTTACCTCGTCATAACTCAACATCTCAGGACCTAGAATGCGATAACTGCAATCATGTGGCTTTTCATCAACAAGAGCACAAANAGCCACCCTCGCAATATCATCCGCAGAAACCCAAGGGATCTTTGCATCGCTACAGGCCGAGAAGATCTTGTTGTTCTGCGTGATGGTTTCCAACTGCCCAAATCCCGGTTCTGAGAGGTTTTNCTGCCCCCAGTACAATCTTCGCATCAGCTAAAAAGGCCTTCTCGCAAAAGGTAGACAATAAAGGCAAGAAGAACAGGAATGCTCACCCATGAACCAACTAGGTCTCAAAACACAATACTCAAGCTCTGCATCATCGTCTAGTTTCTGCCAGATCTTGCCATGAAAGGCACCGCCTTTCTCACACGTACTGCCAGAGCACAGCACAAACCTCCTGACACCCTTTGCCTTTGCAAAATCGATAAAGTCGTTGAGAAGAGGTGCAGGGTCGGCGACTTGACCGCTGAGAAGATAGATAGCTTTGATGTCTGTGGCTGCTGAGAAAGGGGTTGTCCAGGTGGCCTTGTCGTCCCAATCGAAACGGATGGTGGGAGCGAGGGAGGTGGCAGAAGGGCCTCGGTGTGAAGTCAAAAGGACTGGGATGTTTGCATCTTGGAGTAGGGAAGCGAGTCGCAAGGAGGTCTTTCCTGTGCCGCCGGTGAGAAGGATGGTCATGGTGATCTTAGATGATAAAGATAGATTCTTCGATGGGTGCGGTGTTGCGCTAAGGTGGGGTAGAGGTCAATATCAGCAGTTTCGTTGGTCTTTATATAGGGACGTCGTAGATCAAGCAGCATGCATCACATATACGTGTAGGTGTTTCTAGGTCACCCACTCGGTGCCGACGGAGGCATGTCTTTCCTTAAAAACTGTCTCGGCACCAGTGTAATCATTTCTGTCCTTAACAAACTCCGAGTGTGCTAGGTCTAGTTTACAAACAAAAATCGATGATGTTGTTCTAACTCCGGCGTCTAGAGTTTAGAAGGAGTAATCGGACTCCATAACTTCCCAAAGAGGCAATAGCTAACCCCGAGCCTCGAGCAATGTCAGCCAGAGCACAAGATTGCTTTTCGCAATGGGCGATCTTCGAACATAGAGTGTGGTTTGGCCCGAAAATACAGTTGCAATGCTACAAGGAGATACACGACTAAGAGATATAGATGGCAGCCTAATGCTGTCTTCTCTAGTCCTCTCCCGGTAAGCAAGTTGGTATTTCATGTATCTATCAAAATGCAGAATGATAGTAAGAATCAGAAACATGTCCACTGAGAGACTTTAGCCACACTGTATCTCTCTGGACAATCGCCCCATCTATATAGTTCCGTGCCTTTTTATAAAGTATTCATCGGTCTATAACGGTGTAAGAAGGAACGGGAGTAAGAGATATTGGATGGCAACCCTATTAGTTTGCTAAGCGAGAAGGAGGTTGATTATGCTATCTTAACCATCCTATAGAGGAGCTAAACTACTCTTCACGTATCCAAACAGCGACAAACCCTGAGATCCTCACTATAACGACGAGATAGCACTAGCCCATCTCTGTTCATCCTTCCTATTTATTGCGTTAGTGTCGTCATCAAAACGTGTGCAGTACATTCATGATAAAACTTACTTGTCAAAGTGCAGCAACATGCCCAACACAGGAACCAACTGCAATTGATGCTTTCTATCCTTTTGCTCCAAGAATTGCAAAAGTACGTTTTTCAAGTACACGTAATCCATAGCTTCGCCTTTGGCATCAGGGCCACCGGTGGTAGCCACACTGCCATTGCGACTGCCCATCGGAGAACCAATGCGTGAGCTTTCCAACGACGACCGCGCAGATGGTTTGTCAGACTTGGTCTTGAGGGTCTTGATCTCATCTGCCAGTGCCTTGGAAGACTTTTGCAGTGTGCTAAGACGAGTCTCTGTCTCGGACAAAGATTTGCGAAGGTCTGATTTCTCCTTCTCGAGAGCTTGGGACGAGCGTTCGTGTTCGTCGAGGGCATCGCGGAGTTGTGTCATTGCACTCCTGACTTCGGTCAATTCTTCTGTAGCAGCTTCGGATTTCCTCTCGAGTTCGGTCTTGTGTTTGCGCCATTGGGCTTCTTTTCTTTCAAACTCGTCCTTTTCGTCGTTGATGGAGGAGAGTGATGTTTCCGCGTCTCTCAACTTGTGTTTCAGGTCTTCGAGTTCGCGAGCCCGTCGTCGACCGACGGTGACGGCTTCCTCTTCGGCACGATCGCGTTCTTCAATTGCCACGTCCATTCGTTCGCGCATTTCCTTGACGCGCGATTCGGCACGGCCTTCGACGTCAGCAAGCAGACGGCGCATTGTTTCTGCTTCTCTGCTGCGTTCGCTGAGAAGACGGTGGGCATCTGCAAGCTCCTCTTCTAGGCTCTCACATCGTTCCTTGACTTCCTTCATCTGAGTTGCCAGTTCGCGAGTTTGATCTGACATGCTGTCCATCAGGGATTGAGCCGATGCTTGTTGTGCAGATTTGAGTTGGAGTTCTTCCTTCAGTCGTGATGATTCCTGGGTCAGCGTAGCAACCTGCTTCTCCAAACCCTGCAACTTTTCGCGCTGTTTCGAAGATTCTTCCTGAGCTTTGCTGAGATCTTTTGAAGCTTGTCTCTGGAATCAGTGGCTTCCTTCTGTGATTTCTCTGCTCGTTGAAGGTCTTTTTGCATCTTGTTGCTTTGCTCCTCGAGGGTTGCTGTGCGTTCTGCATTCTGCTTGACCTTTTCGTTCAGAGACTTAATCTCGGCATCCTTGTCCTTTGTCTGAGTCTTGTAAGTAGAGATCTCGGACTGCAAATCCTTCTCCTTAGCCTCCAATCTGCGAAGAGTACCATTGGCTGTGCTAAGGTCTTCCTTGGCCTTCTTGAGCTCAGCGGTTTCTTGGCGAAGAGTTGTCAGCTCAGGCTGGATCTTGTTGAGGTGCTCTCTCAGTGCTGTCAAATCCTTGTATCTGGTCTGAGCTAGCTCATTAGCGGCAGACAGATCGGTTTGCAGCGATGAGCTCTTGGATTTGAGTTCGTCAAACTCGGCTGTTAGGCTCTTGTGCTTCTCACTAGATTCTCCATGACTCGACTTTAGTGACTCTGTCTCTGCCTTCAACTTTTTGTTGGCATCCTCCAGGGTGTTCCTTTCCTTCTGAATGGTTGCAAGCTTATCCTCGAGCTCCTTGCTTGAAGCACCAGAGGTTTTCTTGATCTCGTCCAACTCCTGCTGAACCTTGGCATACTCCTCTGTCTTAGTCTTGATTTCAGACTGAAGATCATCGCACTGCTTTTGCAGAGATTTGCATCTGTCTTCAAGATGCTTCATCTCTTCAGCACGTTCGCCGGACTCGGAGTCCTTTTGAGTCTTCAAAGTCTTGATCTGATCCTTTGCACCGCACAACTGATTGCCAATATCCTTGAGCTGTTCTCTAAGATCATCGATCTCCTCCTTCAGATCTTCTTCGCCCTTGAGCTTAGCATCGAGTCTGTCGATAGCCGCCTCTTTCCTCTCAATTTGAGCTGTGAGGTCTTTGATCTCGCCATCTTTCTGCTCAATGACAGTGTGCAACTCCTTAATCTTCTGGTCATTGTCCTCGGATTGAGCACCTCTTGGGGCTAAGTGACTAATAGAGTTGGTAATGTGTGCTCTTGCGGCAGCCAACTGCTCAGGTGACAGAACTGAGTCTTGCGGAAGAGGTGTAGATTGCTCCTCGGGCTTGGAGGAAGGTGCAGATGAAGGCGGGACACTCTCTGATGTCTCTGCGACAGACTTGTTTGCTGCAGCAGCACCACCCTTCTTCTTTTTCTTGTTTTTGTTCTTCTTCTTTGCTGCTCCACCGTCCGCAGCTTGTGTAGGGGTGACCGCCTCAGTCGTAGCAGCAGTAACAGGTTCGAGCTCGACAACTGTAGGTTGCTCTGATTCAGTAGTCTTGCAGTGGCCACAGGCTAGAATCATCTGATAGGCATCATCACGTTCTCTTTCAGCAGCCTTCAGCTGCCCTCGAAGCTCGTCCAATGATTTGTCCTGAGTAGAGGCTACAGAAGCAGCTTCAGTAGCGGCCTTCAAATCGGCCTCGCTCTTGTTCAAACCGTCACGCATACTGTCAACATCCTTCTGCAATGACTTTTTGCTTGACTCGGCTTCAGTGAGCTGTGACTTCAACGTCTTGACCAAGTTGTCCAGAGTTTCCAATCTCTTCTTGTCGGCATCGCTTGACTTCTTGTTGCTGCTGTCCTGGTTGGCCTTTTCCTTGTTCTCTTTCTCGAGCTTGGTAAGAGCATCCTGTGCAGAAGCGGCTTTCGTCTTGTACTCCTCGATCTGATTGTTGGCAGTCTTGAGGTCTGACGTTGCTTTATTGAGCTTCTCGCTAAGGGATTTGATGCGTGATTCTAGTGGCTCCTTGTCAGATGCCGAAATGTGGTCAATCTGGTCTAGCTGTGTTTTAATCTTCTGGATGGCGCCCTCAGAATCCTTGAGCTTCTTTTCCAGATCAGACTTTTGTTTCTCCAGCTCCGAAGCTTTTGCTCAAAATCGGACTTTTGCTTTTCCAAATCAGATTTTTGCTTCTCCAAATCAGCGACCTTCTTCTCTGAATCAGACTTTGACTGTTCCTGGGATTCCTTTGCGCTCGACTGATCCTTGGTTGCCTTCTCAAGCTCCTCACTTGCTGTCTTTTCAGAATCCTGGGCAGTCTTGAGGTCGGTTTCCAGAGAGGTGATCTTCTCGTTAAGCTCGTCAACTTGGCGTGTCTTTTGGTCCAACTCTTCTTGCAAACGTGGAGCCTCTTCCTCATAAGAAAAGAGATCCTCGCTCTTTCTGGTAGACTTTGCATCCTTGTCGTCGACAGATAGTGTATTGGCGCCTAGAGGATCTGTCTCGGTGGTAGACTTATTCTTCTCGTCCCTCTCTTTTCTCAAACCTGCGGCCTCATCGTGTGCCTCCTTGGCTCTCTTCTCAGCGTCGTCGAGTTTGCGCTTGATTTCATCCTTTTCTCCAGTAACCTTCTTGTACTCTTCCATGACCATGTCGCCTTTCAAGTTGAGTTGCATCAGGTATTCAACCAGAGCAGAGGGATCGGCGATAGAGGTCAGAGGGGTGTTTTCGCGGAGAGCGGCCTCGAAAGGCTCGATGGCAGTGACCCTTGCATGAGCAATGCGGTAGGAACGGAGAAGTTCGGTGTAGCGTGATTCTAGCTTCTCGAGCTTACGCAGTTTTTGACGGACATCTTGAGGCAGTTCGTCAGGTTGCTTCCCTGTATCCTGAGATTTTTCTGGAAGAGGAGCATCGGATTGGGCGGGCTCCTTCTCATTGGTTGATGCGGCAGGCGGGTCAGAGGAGGAATTCGAGGCTTCGGTCACAGCAGGATTGGGAGTGGCAGTACGCGTGGGAGCTTCATCATCATCAATGACAAACTCGCTCGGGTCAGGACCTTTGGCAGGAATGGCACGATTCGAGTCGGCGCGAGGGCGGTTGGCAGGGCGGTTTGGCGACTCGGTTCGAGACACGCCTCTTCTGGCAGCAGATGAAGGGGTGCGCTTCACGGGAGCTGATGTGCCGGATTGACCTCTTTGGCGAGCTTGTTCCTCTGCAATCTTGGAGTCCAAGAAGGAATCCAAGTTGCCCTTGAGGCGTTGAAACATGATGATGTGCCTATGATATGGCAAGCAGCATAGCTACTCGAGAAGATGTTGTTTGAGAAGGAACACGTTGATGGGCCGGCTATCGGAAGGAGGCTCGGCCTTGTCCCCTTGACTTTCGGCTTGTGATGGACCTTGGACCTTAGGGCTTTCGGCCTCGGGCGTCGAAGTGGAAGGAGCGACGCGTGTGGAGTCCAACGTCATCGGCGCTTCTCGCGAGACACGTTCATCTTTCTTCTCTTTGCATGTGCCTCCTCTGCCTGACATACATGCATCTCTCATAGCAGATATGGTTTCCTTCTGGCCCTTCAAGGTGCGTTCTTTCTGTACATCATCCTCTTCCACACCCCACTAACACTCAAACCAGGGTCACGACGCTACTTCGGCAGCCTCATTCGAGAAGTTGCTGTCTTCCCTCTCGACCAAGATCAACAAAGAGAGTGCTCGCAACGACCGTCTACACCAACGACAACGCCGCTACAAAGTCCTATGGACCCTCTACACCACCTTCGCCTACCTCCTCGCTGCCACCATCCTCATCCTGATCACCGGCTTACCCAACTGCACTGCTGTTGAGTACACCGGTCTGGCCGCATCACCTCTCCTCATCTATGCTGTAAGGACTGGCCTTGATGCGTACTTCAACTACCGCCTCGCCTCGTCGCAATCATACCTGAACCACTTGAACAAGCAACGCGACGATGCTATTTCCAAGCTCAAGGAAGCCACAAAGTACAACACCACTCAGCAGTTACTCGACAAGTATGGCGGCTCCACTCCCACAAAGTCACCCCAGCAGAAGCCGAGACAGGCACAAGACACTCCTACNCAAGAAGCAGCAATCCGTTCCTGTCAAGCGAACAGGTCTACCCCTCCGCCCACCGCAAACATCCCAGGTCGCCAACTACCTCCCTCTTTCCAACCCATGACTCCTCCTCAGCAGCAACCCGCTCAATTTCAACCCCTTCCTCCGCAACCTCAACAGCCACAGCGCGAACCACAAGCTGAATTCGCTCCAAACGCTTTCACAGCACCCGCTCCGCGCGATCAAAATCCGTACGCTTCATCCGGCTCGCGCTGGTACGACAGAATCCTGGACGTTGTTCTTGGAGATGATGAGACCTTACCTAAAAACCGCATTGTGCTATTGTGTCGCAAGTGTCGCTTGGTGAATGGTCAAGCTCCTCCCGGAACGCGATCTCTAGAAGATTTGGGCACATGGAGATGTAAAGAATGCCATGCTCTCAACGGACAAGACTCAGAGGCCAAAGCAATGATTAGAGAGATTGCTGAAGAGTCTACTGTCACCAAGGAGATGCAGGAAGTCCAAGGAGCAGAGAAGTTGTCCGAAGATCAAGAGGTCGAGGATCAAGATCAAGAAGAGGAAGACGAAGACGAAGTCGTGTCTGCTCCTGCCACATCTACCAGAAGCAAAGTCAGACAACGCAAGAAGTAAACGAATTAAATAGCAAAGCATTGGAAATACGAAATCAAAAGCAAATCCCCGAATTGTCAACATACACAGTTGTTTTTCCGATTAGAGGTGATATCCACAGAGAGCCTTTCAATATGCTCGCTCTCAGTGGATGTTGCTCTGTTTCTCAATACTCTTCTGTGTTTTTACAGATACCCCATCTAGATGTGTGCATCTAGGGAGTCCAGCACTTCTAGTTCGAAGCAAGGCACATCCCAAACCATGAACAGAAATGGTTCAATCCAACCCCGGAAACCAGGTCTATAAGACCGAAGTTCCCAAGGATCTAGGAAGAGCACATGAACCCAACCCCACTTCGAGATGCAGAAAGTAATCGTGCATTTTCTGGCAGCCACCTTTCGGAAACTCACTCCAACGACAGTTGTTGTTTCCACAAAGGCGCAAAAAGAAAAGATGAGAGGTGGATTTGATCAGAGATCAAACGAAAAGCAAAACGTATGGACGACTAGGGGATCGAACCCTAGACCTTCAGCATGCAAAGCAGACGCGCTACCACTGCGCCAGACGCCCAAATCATGATAGTTCTGTTGTAAAATTCGTGTATTTTCGCCAAATCATCTCAAGGGAGTTGGCTTGAGTTGTGACGCCCTGTTCAAACATGTTCTTCCTTGAACAATGCGATCTTGAGTGCGAGCTACCAAAAGACACTACGATTCGACGAACCAGAATATTGAATCCTGAAAGCTCTCCCCTTGCATGATTTTGAGGAACCAAAATAGCGTTCTGCATTGCTACAGCTCTAGGTTTCGATATACTCGACTCCTTGTTCTGGAATCTCATAGACTTAGTTCACAGATCCGGGTTGACCCCATACCTGTGGACGGCTGATGGATATGCCTTGTCCCAGAGCAAAAGTGACAATCTCCCTGGGTGCAAGCCCTTAGTAGTGTATCCGTAAAAATGCAGAAGAGTAATGAAAGGAGAGCGATGTCCATTGAGAGTGTGCGTATTGAAGGGCTTTCTCTGGATGACATCTCTGATCTTGAAACAGCTGTGCATTTCGACAACACGGGAATTCGCTTTGGTGTGGGAGCTGGGAGCTGACTCAGGGGTACTTGGGTCATCGACCTGGTGAAAGCCACCTATACAGACAATTGATCGTGAATTCGTGAAACTCTTTGTAACAAATCTATGCAGCTTCCGGCTGCATCTGTCTCTGCGGCTCCTCCCTGGATTCCGCCTCTTTCTCTTTCCTTTCCTTCTCCAAACCCTCCAATTCTGCCAATCTTGCTGCAGTCTTGGCCGCTTCTTCCTGTTCCCTCTTTTCTCTTTCCATCCTTTCCATAGTCGCAAACTCTTCGTCCACGTCTTCTTCGTCGACTTTTGAGGTGTTGGCTTCGTTGATGATACGGCCGACTTCGTCCACATTCTCCATCTCGTCTCTCAAGCGATCCACAACTTCTTCCACACCTTCTGTGCCACCAACTTCTGCGTGTAAACTCTTCAGTACGTTTGCAGAAGCAGACATGGCGGATACTATAGCGACTTGATCTGCAGCGGTCTGAATAGCAGTATACGTTTCCTCCAATTGTGATAACGTGGCACTGCGGGTGTGTAAAGTGGTTTCTGCGAGTTTTTTTGCTGCGGAGGGCGGATTTGGCTTGAATGGTGCGTTTTGNNCGGCCACGGCTTCGCGGGCTGAAATGTCCAGGGTTGTGATTCGGTCTGTCAGGGCTGAAACTTGTGTTTCCAGGGCCTTGATCAAGGTACGTAGGTTTGCGATGTCGGTGTCTTGTTGGGTGATGGGTTGGGGTGTGGACTCGGAGGTGGACTTCAGCTTGATGGTCGAGGAAGTAAACGAGAGGTAGGGTTTGTCGCGAGATAGGTAGCGGAGGAGGATTTCAAAGTCGGTGGTGCTCAAGGCAGCCTCGGGATGTTGAGTCGGGTCGAGGACGTAAGCGAATTCTGACTCGAAGAGAGAGCGGGAGAAGATGAGGGATGTCGTTGACTGATCGAGTTGGCAGGCTTTTGCTATGATTGCATTCGCTGCTTNCCTGTTGTATTTGAGTCAGTGTGTGCTCTGGAATGAGGGTGCAAAAAGTACCTCAACATTGGCCACGACGACCAGATTGCCGACTGATAGTTTGTCTGATGCACCAAAAAGCGACGCAACTCCAACTTGCTTGAGACCCCAGCTCACGACCTGCCATGGTGAAGGGATCCAACTCTTTGCATAGACACTCTTGGTCGCATTCAGAAAATCGTCCAGAGGAATGAATTCGCGTCTATCGACAGCATCTTGTATAACAGCACCGAGAGCCAAAGGCCGACCCCATTGCTGAGAGTTCAAGGCGCGCGATAGGTCTTCACCACTCCCAAAAACGACGTGACTTGGCTGCCCGGTTGTTGTGGAGGCAGGCGGTAATCGGCCAGCGCGTGCGGCGGCAGTCAGACCACGCATCCATGCTCGAGAATTTGCTTGGTATCCATCCGGATTTGACGTCTTTTGTAGGCGGAAATCCGAGTAGAGAGATTGAAGGCGGTTGCGACNTGGTATTGACATTAGTCGTGTTCTGTTTGGCGCACAGAGGGTTGACTGGGTCATATACCTACGGAATGCCTCCTCATGTGTACGCAAGAATTCCAAAAGGTCATTCATCCTGTTCTGTGTGGCAGCTGGCGTGTTCAAAAGACATGCATCGACTTGGTCATGGACAGAAACAAAATAGGTAATGACGATGGCTGGTCTTGGCGTTCACATGCATCGCGCTTTCCTTCCGCGTGTTGTTGGCATTCTTCCGCATTCATGAATTACTAACTCTACCACATCTACCTGCCTCGAAACCATGCCTCCTCTCCTCGGTCAAACTTGGGGAAGAAATCTGCGGCCATTGAGTTCTGCGACTTATACCCCTTCCCTCTCATCTTGTCTAAGAGCCGTCTTTTCTCGGTTTGCTCCCCATGCCTCATCAGATGATACTACCATCGTGGGCCAGGAGAAGGAACAATTACAACATCATCATGATTCCAGGGATAGTCAGAGAAGACAGAAGCTGGCCGATGTACCCCGAATGAGCCACGCAGAGCAGGAACGATTGCGCTATCAGACTGATCCTGAACATCGCCAGAGAAGACTGCAAGCAGCCAAAGAGCGCTATCATAAGCTCAAGCATGATCCAGAGTTTCGTCTGAAATGCGCCAAGGTCACACGACGTTGGCGAGCAGACCACAAAGGAGACGTCGAGTGGTATAGGCGATATGTGTACGCTGCTGTGACACGAGCCCGTAATCGCAGACTGGCAGACGACGCTGTCCGCCTAGAAGCTAATGTTAAAAAATCTGAATGGGGTCGACAGCGTTATCGAGCCGATCCTCAGAACAGGTTATATGTTGGCCTCAAAAGCTGGTATCACAGGCACAGAGATCACCTCAGTCAATTTGTTTGGGAACACTGGCAACCCATCTATTTCGAAGATAAAGTTGAGAAGACCTGCGCTACTTGTGCCATGACTAGGACAAATGGGACTAGGATAAATGGCCGTCGCTTCTGGGTATGAATAGAGCTTCCGAACGCGTGGCATCCAATGAATAAGGAACATGCTAACTATACGCTTGCTTGGCAGTTTGAGCGTAAGAATACATCCGAATCTGGTTCTGCTCTGTACGAATGCCTTGGATGCTACGCCGAATCAAAATGGTCCAAGATCGTACCCACGGAAGCGAAAGGGAAATGGCGCTTCTACAAACCTAAGGACCCAGAAATCCTTNNTTTTTTGCTTGAGGCTCGAGAAAAGGAATAAGCCCTCTACTCTCACATTTGACTGAACTCAATCTCATCTGTCACGAATCCTGAGGTATCCACGTTGATCAAGCTTCTTGGTAAATGCGACAGGAAACATTTCATTGCAGCTTGAACGATCTGCAGTCAGCAAGCTGCAACAAGTCAGGACAACGTGGATCCATAATTGGCTTCTCCTCCCAACTCTTCTCGCCGTGTTGCAGGCCTGCCCCTTCCCAAGTCGAGGCAACCCAGATCTTATCTAGGAGGATTCACTATCTCGTTGGCCTGGAGGTGTGTCGGCAGCGGCCTTTGATACCATGTCTCTTCGCAGATACTGCTGTGGTCATAAGAAACATTGTGTATTCGAACAACCCCACAAATCTCCTTAACCCCTGAAGAGGACAAAATCACAAATGGCTATGCGTTTTCGGCTTCTCACAGTGGCTCGTAGCACCGGTCGCGATGATGTTGATTCAACGAGTTGAAAATCTTGTAAGTCATGATGCGCCTGGCGGCATATCCTACTCAAAACGCAAATTCTTGCGAAAGTTTGAGATAGGGTGACTGTGAGTATGAAATGTAGCGCTTACACGAAAACTGAATGTTCGCCGACAATCTCCCCTGCCTTTGGTTTTGGCTGTCTCTAAATTTCTGCAACATGCAAGCGGTGCTCTCGATTTCTATGCCCTGTTTCTTGGACGTAGTACCGTAGCTTGGAACGAACGCTCGGCACAAAGGATCTTGAACACTGGCTTTCTGTGGACACAACTCTATTCCTGAAACCATTGTGCGTTCTTATAACTTACGACCTGCTCTACATCGAGCTGGGTGTCTTCCTTCGGAGCTGCTGCATCTCAAAGCGCGAGGCCCTGAGGCATACATCCATAAAAATGCACAATAATCTATTGCAACAAAGATCTTCCACTGAGAGCCGTCATTTGTATGAGCTCTCTCCGGACACGATTTGGAATCGAAAAGAACTGTGCAATTTGATAGCTCAGGAACTGCTTTGTATCGAGCTGGAAACTCTTCTCAGGAGTTGCTGCATCTCGATGCGTGAGCCCCTAGGGCACATACCTATCAAAATGCACAATAATCTATGCAATAAAGACCCTCCACTGAGAGCCGCCATTTGCATGGGCTCTCTCCGGACACAACTTGAAATAGATAAGAACTGTGCATTTTGATGGCTCATAAACTGCTCTATGTCTAGTTGGGAGTCGATCGAATCAGGAGTTCCGCTCTGAAAGTGAAGCGTGGTTCTCAAAAGCTTCACTTGATACCAGTTCGCACGCGCTCTCACAACCACAACTCTTGAATTCCTCGTCTCGGCGCACTCGCAGCGACGACATCTTAAGAACAACCTGACACCATGTCATCGTCCACTCTTGCCTCCGATGCGCAGGCGCTTCACGCCAACCGTGCCCACCAACTCATCGTCGCTACTGTTTTTGCCATTCTGCTTCCCACTGTCTTCCTCGCACTGCGGCTGCTTGCCAGACATGTTCTGCGCATCCGTCTCCACTTTGATGACTGGTTGATCATCATTGCTTGGGTAAGTCGGTATCTATTCAACTCTGCGCAGTCTACTGATTGAATCGTANNGTTCTTCAAGATTGGTCTCGACATCAGCGGCTCTCTGCTCATCGAGCATGGTATGGGCCGTCATATCCAAACAGTCAGCACTCCCGACCTCGTCGAGTTCTTGCAGATCCAGTACACGGGCGTCATTCAATACCCGCTCTGCATCACCTTCACAAAGCTGTCCATTCTCTACGAGTATCGCCGTCTCTTCCCCAAACATCGCGACTTCAAACTCATGACCTCACTCCTTATCACCCTTATGATCATGTGGTGTACTGCAGTGGTATTCACAGGCATATTTATCTGCACTCCCATCCGCAAGGCCTGGAGTCCGTGGTTGAAGTATGGCAAGTGTATTGATTTGGTGCCTTTTTACTATGGCATCCAGATCCCCAATGTGGTCACCGACTTGCTCATTTTGCTGTTGCCCCTGGGAGAGGTGCAGAAGTTGAAGCTGCCCCCTAAGCAANNAAAATTGGGCGTGGCATTGACTTGTTTGCTCTGGGTTATGTGAGTTTCCTCTACCATGTCCACTTTTTTTGACAAACTTGCTGATGTTTGACAAACTAGCTCTCTGGTTTTTGGAGTCGTTCGTCTGGCTGTTATGGTTCAACTCAGCGGCGAAGGCCAGGATATCACTTGGAACTTGGTTCCCGCAGCCATTTGGACGACAATTGAACCTGCTGTTCAAATCATCACTGCCTGTTTGCCTTCGTTGCGTGTCCACTACCACAAATACATCGATCATCGCACCCAGAAGGCCAAATCTGCTGCTGCAAGACGTCTGCGCAGCATTGAGTTGACCCATATTTGAGTGGGATTGAGGCGTTCTGATAAAAAATGTATACTAGTAAAAAATCAAAATCATGGCCTTCTCTGGACATGGTGCTGTTTTCTAAGAGATTGTGCATCTTTATAGTAGTGTTTTTCAAGTCATTGTCAGCTGGAGCATGGATAGGATGCCCCCTTTCTACCTCCTTATAATGCCTCCTTATAACCTCCCGAGCATGTTGGAACGAGTAAATCTAGTTGTAAAAATGCACAATAACATTCTGAAATCAAGAGATGTTCATTGAAGATGTTGAATTTGACTGGCTTTCTCTGGATGCAACGCTCGTTTCAATAAGATTGTGCATTCTTATAGTAATATTTGTTTATGCTATTGTGCGCTGGAGCAACGAAATCAGCTTGCCCGATGTGCCTCCTTATAGTGCCCCCTTTCGACCTCCCAAGCGTGTAGGAGTGTATATATCTAGTTGTAAAATTGCAGAGTAGTCTTAGAGATAGAGGAGATTCTAGTGAGAGTGCATAGCTTGCTAGGCTCTCTATGGATATACTCTCTTATGTGACTACATCGTGTATTTTTATAGCAGTATCTATTTATGTCATCGTGTGCTAGAGCAATGAAAGAAGCTTTGCTAGGATGCCTCCTTTGTACCTCCTTGTAGTGCCACCTCTAGACCTCCCGAGAGTGTGAAAACGAGTAAATCTAGTTGTAAAAATGCAGAGTAGTGTTAGAGATGGAGAAGATTCCAGTGAGAGTGCTCAGCTTACCAGTTTCTCTGTGGACACACTATCTCATGTGATTACATCGTGCATTTTTATAGTAGTATCTTTTCACGTCATCGTCAGCTGGAGCTTTGAGAGGATGTCCCCTTTCGACCTTCCTAACATATACGTAGCTGTTGGCGGCCGTAAAAATGCAGAGTAGCGTTGGAAATGGAGTAGTCTTAAGTGAGAGTGCTTAGCTTGTCAGGCTCTCTGTGGATATACTCTCTCGCGTGGTTTAAATCGTGTATTTTTACGTTACTATTCTGTAACAAGATGGGCACCGGAGTACGGAGAGAGAGACATGGCTGTCAGAAACCCGGGTGCGCAATGCCTTTGTAGTTTTCTTCAGCATCAAGATTGCGCTTCACTATCGCTAGAGACTGGTAAGTGAACAGACTTCACTTACCACTCTGAGCCTTCAGGCGCTCTCTTCGTCAACAACGCCGCCGGAAACTCATCCAGCAACCTACACCTGCATACAAAATGGCATCGTTCATCTTCTTTTCTCTCTTTGCGCTTCTCTGCGCTCTTTCGAGCGCTAGCACCATAACACCCATCACTGCGCAAGCTGCTGCTGTACCAGTTTTGCACACACCTACATCAATTACTCCGTTCAAGACATACACCACCACAATTACTGCTACTGAAACGGTCACTGCTACTGAAACGGTTACCGCTGCCACGGTTACTGCTACAGAAATGGTTACCATTACTATCCAAGACCCCCGGATCAAGGCTCTTGAAGAAGAATACAACTCTCTGAAAGAACAGCTTGCTTCGTTGGAGAAGGAGATCGTCTTCGGCGGCTCGATGCATAACAACAAGAACTTGACAACCTCTCGTCAATCTCGCCGGAGTTTGTTGAACGCTTTACCGTATGTATTCTTTCTTTAGACACAACAACAGTGACTGATCAGTATACAGTACTTAAAAAGTCATCTACTTTGGTGTGTTTGCGGTATTGAACAAGCAATCTTAGTACTAGAGGGAATAGAACTCCAAAGGCATTGTGCTATCAAACCCACAACAAGAACTGGATAGCACTTCTTCTTTCCACGGCACTTTTGTTGTGTTATTGTTTCCTCGAGGGGACGTCTCCCTGTGAAGGCTTTTGCTGGCACCACAACCATAGTGAACCGGTCGTGGGCTAGAGAAGCGAGTAGGCTGACTAACTCCAGAAGAGAAGCAGCAGCAATAGCACAGCGCGTCATGCAAGCGCACCCACTCCAACACAGTCTTTCCTGGGAGCATTCTTTCCAGACGAAGAGTTTTGTCTGAGCATCGATGTGCAGCAGGATTGTTGAACGCCAGATCCACACGGCCAAGACGTAGAAAGAGAAGGTCGCAAGTACACTTGTGGGTTTGTTGGTGGAGAAGCAGCGTCAGCGCGATATTATCGCAAATGGTGTTGAGGGCGGCTTCTGTGTTGCTCTTTGGCTGTCTCAACATTCTTTTGCAGGTGAACGTCAGGTTTGGGCTGGAATCTGGTCCAGACGGCTTGTCGACTTGTTCATGTATATTGATACCCCATTGTGTTACATCGCACTGCTCGAGCTTCCTGCACCACACACCATTTCCTGTAGCAACCCAAGGCTCTTTCACCTCTACTGGCTCATAGGGTGGTGGCTGATCAACTGGTTGAAGCCTATCTGCCACAGCGGAGTTGCGATCGTCGGAACAGCATGTGTCAGCTGTGGCAGGTCCAAGTACTCCCCAGATGATGTGAAAATATGTCGTTCCCGGACGCTGTATGTAGACTCCGAGCTTGGTATGGCCGTCGACTTCTTCTCTGACCATTTTCAGATACGCAAGAAAAATTGCTGATGACGAGAGTCTGCCGGAGGTAGTCGTGGTTCGTAAACAGGAGCTTCTTGACTCAAATGATATGAGTGGCTTCCTTGAGCGACTTGCGGGGGTTTGAGCAAGAAAATGGGTGGACCGCATGACCTTTGATGTCTGTGTTGCACCCAGGAAACTAGCAGGAGAAACAAGGCATCAGGATTTCTTTGAACGAGGACGATATATCATTGCAGCGCCTTGACTCCAAGCAACTTCTCGGCGTTCTTGTAGCAAATCAACTCCAAATCCTCCTCACTCACCATGCCGCTCGCCTGTACCTCTTCAATAAACTTCAAGCCTTTTTCATTGCCACTGAATGGGTAGTCTACAGAATACAAAATGCGGTCCTTGGCACACATCCTCAGCAAACAACTCAACGGAGCTAGACTGAACATGCCGGATGTGGTGATCCAGAAGTTCTCTTTCCAGACTTGGGAGAGGCTGCGTTTGTTGTCTGGTGCCCAAGAAGCAGAAGAAGAGGTGATGCGGTCGAGTTGGTAGGGTAACATTTCTCCCATATGTCCAATAATAATCTTCAGCTTTGGAAACTCGTCAAACAGGCCGGAAGCCCAGAGACGAAGGACGTGCAAGCCAGTCTCAGAGTGCCAACCCCAGGCTGCTATACTCATCATCTGCGCGGCTTTCTCGCCAAAGTTGCCACGGTAGTGGGGCATCCATTCATCTGCAGCAAAGGTTGGATGGATGTAGATGGGCACGTCGAGCTCTTCGGCTTTGGCAANAACAGGGCGGAAGGATGCGCCATCGTAAAACGTGCCATTGCAGTGGTTGTTGATCAGCGCACCAACGAATTTGTGCTGTTTGACACATCTCTCAAGCTCGGTGGCTGCCTCTGAGGGAGAAGCCATGGGTAAGAGGGCGAAAGCGGCGTATCGAGCCTGGTCTTTGATAGTAGAGGCCAGGTTATCATTTGTCGTCTGGCATTCTCGAGGAGATGCATTCAATGGGCTGTGTGAAAGGATCTGCANAGAGACTTTGCCAGAGTCCAGCGCTGCTAGACGGTCTGGGCCCAAAGAGGCGAGTTTGTCTATTAGGGGAGCTGGGAAGTCGGCATAAGGGTCTTTGCGACCCGTATCGGCGAGATGCTTGCGAACGTTCTGAGATAGATAGTGCTCTTCTAGGGTAATCAATGGAGGGACCATATTGCTAGGTGAAAGTTAACGACAGCGGTTGGTTGTTGGTGAGATGGGTGTTTGCGAAGGTCAATGCAGATACGAAAAGGAAGTGCTATCAGGCAGCAGCTTCCATCCATGCCTACCTCGGGGACCTTTATAGTTCATCGGGGTTGATCCTCCGAGCGGAGGGTGACATCACGGTCAACTCTATCCCCTGCTCGTAGGCACCCAATCAACCCCTGTATGGCTTCTATCTCTACGCCTTGTAGTATAGAGATGGGCATAGGAGTTACGACCGGACATTGCAAGGTTATAGCGGAGTTACGGAGGGATGGAGGGAGGAATGTCGAGGTGACGCGGACATCTCGGAGCAGGTCTCCGCACTCCCTTCCAGAATCCAACCTCCAAAGACCGTCATCAAGGTACCTAGGTAGCTATAGAAAAACACAATACGATCAGAAAACAGGGCAGTACCACTGAGAGGCAGTATCTTGTGCGCTCTCTTTGGCGACGGTTTCGCTCCCGGATACCACTGTGTCTTTTTATAGTACACTGTTTGCCCTTTGCTGTAATCGAGAGGAGAACCCCACTAAGAGCTGTCTCAATGGCCAGGCTCGGATGTAGAACGTGTTTGCATTTTGATAGCTTATTATTTTCTTGTCTCTTGATGAGATGTGGATGGAGGAGTGAAGAATATACAGTTGTTTTTATGTTTGGGGGTATCTACCATGAATTGATTCGTGTCTGTGGATTTGCCTGACGCCCAGAGGAAAGATGCGAAAAACGCCGATGCCAACCTTCTATGTGGCAGCTTTTCTGAAGAATTGAAATCATGTTCGTCATCAATAAGTCTTTCTCCATGTCTTGCCGATGTCTACAAGAAGTAATCGGCGACTGGCTTCTTCGCAGGCATTCCCCTAGAATCCTGCGGCGCTGCCTCAAAGACACGATACCTTCGGCCTGGGCCTTGTTTCAAGACCATGTCGGTGACAACGCCTGGTGACCTCTCAATTTCTCCGTTGCTGCGTGGTGTGTATCCGCCATTAGCTCCATCTTCTGACAGCTCCAAGATGGCAGCGACGTTTCCACAGCGGTAGCAGTAATTTGGCGCACTCCAGACGGTGACGATTGTGTTGTCGAACATTTCCTTGAAACCCTCCATGACCAGCTGATGTGCTCGGGCTATCAAACTCAGATCGTTCTTGTGATTGAAGTGCTTGACGATATCAGCACCAAACAGGAAGCCAGCTCCTCGTGGTGACAGACCCCAGCCGTCGATATCGTCTGGATCGGACCACAAGAGGTCGCACATAGCGCCTTCGTGGGGCACCTCTTGCTTTCGATCAATCAATCTGATCTTATCGATGCTGTCGATCAGCGGACTTAAGCCGCCGTGTACACATAGCACGGCACCGCCTGGATTTGAAGCTGAACCGCCGCTTGATGATGTTGCGCCTGTGCCTGCAGGACCAGTGTTTGACGGACTGTTGGGGACGGAGGATTCGGTCGAGGTTTTCGGACGAGGGAAGCGGTTCATGACTTGGTTGTGCGAGTTGATGATTTCGATCTCGACGTCTTCGAGCGATTCTGGAAAGGGTTGTTGTATGTCTGAGGGAAGCTCGGCAGATGTGGGACTAAGTTCTGAGGCAGCACCAAGGATCAAAGCGCCGAGAGCGAGGTAGTCAAAGACCTCGCAGCAGTATCGCCAGACATTTGCGCTGCCGTATTTGCGTAGACATTCGTCGTAGAAGCCGTAGACGGTTGTGATCTGTCTCGACTCGTGGTTTCCGCGGATGAGGGTAATGCGATCGGGGTAGCGGACTTTGAGGCACAGGAGAAGGAGGAAGGATTCGAGTGAGTAGAAGCCGCGGTCGACAAAGTCGCCNNTAGATTGTGTCAGTGGCCGTCAGAATACGGTGCAGAGGAATGAGGCAGTCGCTAAGGGAAAGGCGGTAGACGCACCCATGAAGAGGTAGTTGGTATCGGGAACATCACCGCCGACGCGGAAAAGCTCCATCAAGTCGTGGAACTGGCCGTGGATGTCACCGCATANTCTGGGGCACATCAGCATTGAAGAAGCGAGCAAGAGAGTAGAGCATGGTTGACGTACCGTGACGGGGGCGTTGACTGTGACAACATTGCCCTCTTCTATCAATAACTCTCTGGCCTTGTAGCAGAGCTCGCGGACTTGAGTCTCAGGGATGGGACGACATGAGCGCAGTTGCGCGATGGCCTTGTCCAGGTCGCTCATTCCAGGTTTGATGTCGCGTGCGCCGCCGATCAACCGATCGTCGCGTAAGATGATATGTCCAGAAGTCGATTCTTGTCGCTTGATAGCACGAAATAATGGCGCGTTCTCGTTCACCAGCTCTACCAGACAAATATCCACGAAAGAAATGCGATGGCTGCACCTCTGAGAGTTGACGCCTCTTGTCTCGACATGTCCGAGCGTCTTCACGTATGCCCAGCCCGTTCCAATCGCCGGCTGCTCCCGCCAACTCCGCCGAACCCTAAAAACTTCGTCAATCCCATGCCAAGACTCTGAGCAAACGCATATCCAAATGTTTTCTGCAAGGCCTGCTTGTCCATAAGAACATCGACTTCAATAAAATGTCAAAACGTTTCGCCGAGTCGGATGGCCATGAATCTAGAGACAACAAGCGCACCAAGACCCAGCCTCCGGTCGCTGTAATCCCCGCCACTGATATTTTCTCCGCTCGTCAGCTTCAGGAACTTCTTTCATTCAGCCAAGATGGTGTTCAGGATTTGAGGAATGGCATTCAATCCTTCAAGCAACTTTTGGAGCTCATCCTGTACCAACCCGATGAACCAAACCGTCCGGCTAAGATCAACATCCTCAATGACTATCTGGATGCTGCCAAATTGAAAGCTGCCCGTGACAAGGATGCCGAATATCTACCTGATTTCATGCAGGCATGGGGCTTTGCTAACCAGACTAACAACGATTATCTGGCTACCTCGGTTGCATCAATCTTGGCTCTGCTTCTGAAGACAATTGCTTCTCTCATCGAGTCTCGCGAATATGGCATTCTTCTCATCAAGACTCTTCTTAACCATGCCCAGCTCAAACTTATTTCAAGAAGTGTCTCTGCTCCCAAGCACAAGGAACATGTCATCTCGCCTTCTCTGCGTATTCTTACCGAGATGGTCTCTTTCGATGCCGGTCTCATGGCTAAGCAGGTTTATGCAAAACGCGACTTTACATTCGAAACAAAAATTGTTGCTCGCAATCTCTGTATAGTAAAGAGTGGTTCTGGGCCTTCAATCCGCTCAAACGCTGTCCGCTACCTACTCGCAAACTTCAAATACCAGGGAGAAGGTGCCAAGATTGATATCCTCAAGAACGGCCACATCATCAAGGCTTTGTTTGACCACCTGAAAGACGACTCTGCCGATGCTCTACAGGAGATATTCAAGGTACTGGAGACTGGTATTTTACGCGATGAGACCATCCCTCGCGCAACCAAGACTCAGACCATCAGCGAGCGTTCTCTGGCAGGCGTCCTTGCCGCCTTACGCACATTCGCCGCCACCGAAAGCCCGACAGGCGACGACTCTACCTTGATCCGCGGNAAAAGTGCAATCGTGTCTTTCTTGAAACTCGTTAGCACTACGCCTTCACTTGGTCTGCTCCGTCCTAGCGGATGGTATCCTCCTGGAAGCGAACGTCACACTAGAGATCAGAACGATGAGGTCGAAACTGATCTCGCCCTTGACCTTGGCCTTGACTCTGTCGACTGGTACAACAAGTTTCAAAGTCAGGTTCCCGTACGAAACACAATCCTTTCTGGCTTTTCGCAGACTTTGAAGCCATACGCAAGCGAAGATGAGAGAGACATCCTACTTTCCATCTTCGCCGCAGCACCTGAAATTATTGCAGACTACTACTTCTCAAGAGGAGAGAAGTTCTCATTTGAACCCAAGCTCACCAATACCTGGATAGGATATGCTTCCTTCCTCTTCTCATCCGTCCAAGTGTCTTTCCCCAAGTACTTTGGCGCCATAGATCACTATGCAAGCTGCCCTCCGCCCGTCTCAATCGCCATCGAAAACATCCTTCCTCTGCCTCTCACTCAAAGAATCCTGACGAAATCCTTGAACCAATCTTCCGACCTCATCACACTTTTCGCCGTCCGTATTCTAGTCGTCGCTTTCCAGAAGTTGCAACAAGTTTTGCAAGCGTTCAATGTTGCAGCCGCCGAAGGCAACCCTCTATGGAAAGAAGGATCTATCAGACTGATTGCCGAGTTCTGTCAAAGATGTCCTCCTGTCAAAGACGTGATTGCCGCTTTCCGCAAGATCTCTGACGAAAACATTCTTCAAAAGGAAGCCATCTCAAGACTACTTCGCATGTACTATCAAGTCACGCCTCAAGCAGCACTGGAAGAGAAGTTCGACGTCTCTCAGGCTTTGACTGTTGCCATGTCGAGAGTCGAGACCATGTCTTCTGATAGTGAAAACTACGCTTTCCGTCTATTGGAGCTGCAGCACTTGCTCGTCATTGCCCAATGCTCTGCAGGTATGCGTTGGTGGCACAAACAGGGCTCGCTCAAGTTTTCTCCATTTACTACTCTTCTTCGTCTAAGCGCGCAGACGCCTGTGGACCAGTCTACTGGGTCTGAGTTTATCAATCTGCTTCAGTCAGTCATTGATGAGCATAGCATCCTTCAGCAGCAAACTAAGGAGTCCCCCGTAAATGCGCTGATTGCCAGTCTTGCGGATGGTGAGTCTTGGAAGCCGAGTGAGGCACTCTACACCTTCATCGATGACTGTCTCGGTCGTCTTGTCAGAAAGCCGATCAAGTATCTGGACGACCTCGATGAGTTGGCTGGTGGTTCAGACCATGGCAAGATCCTCAGCGCGCTGGTCATGGTCTGCTTGGAACAAATCCCCTTCACCTCGAAACTGCCAGAATCAGACCGCTTGAATGTGTTGACGTGGTTCTCTCGCTTCTTGGAATTGCTCAAGGTGATGGGCGAGGATGTTGAGCTATTGCAGCTCATCAGACAGAGAGTGACAGACTTACCTGTCGTTTCTTCTGTAGAGCTCGAACCGATATTGCGATCAATCACTTCTCGCAGACAATCCCACGATGACAAGACCTCAGTTCCAGCATCCTCATCCGACAAAAAATCCACAAGACAACCTCTTGCATTCTCAGACCCTCCTGTCGAAAAGCAAAACCATCCCGAGTTGAGTAGATGGCAACANAAAGATCTGGACGAGTCTCTTGAAAACGGCGATATTGACAGCCTTGTTCTCTGCCTGTCTTCGCAAGACAGCTCGGTCAGATTGCAAGCACATGCCGCTATTCGCAAGCTCATGGCTAAGGTTAAAGAATCCACCAACGACGACAAAGATCAGATCTACCTATTACTCGGTGAACTCTCCGAGACCGTGGCCGAAATGTCGCCATCAACCATTGCACAACAACCGCTTCCTTATATCGTCACCGTATTCGCCACGCAAGCCCTGAATATCCTTCAAGACCCCTCTCACTTTATGTACCCCAAAATCAACAAATACCTTAACAAAGGTCCAGTCTGGAATATCGGCAAACTGGCAAATCACTGGATCGACCGAACAGTTCTCGAAACTCCTGAAGAGGATGACAAACACTGGGCAGAGATTGAATTCGTACTTGAGTTTTTCGCCAACGGTACAAGGACACTGCAAGATGTACATATGCTTCTCCCACGCAACTGTATGGAAAAAGTCCTGGATCTCTTCGCCAGCCCATCGGCGCCCAAGGGTGTCAAGGACGCAGTATTGAAGGTGGTTTACCGAATCGCTGCTGTAGGCGGAGCTACCAGTCTTGTCACTAGGACAGGCGTGTTGGCTTGGTTGGATATGAGAGCTAAGGTCGGCGATGTGGATGCAGCGACACTGGAGGTACTGAAACACAAAGTGAATGATGGACTTGACGAGACCAGAGTCAAGACTTGGAGTAAGGGTGCTTTGATGGCTATTCAAGCGTAGCGAAAGATGTAGCATGATCAAGATCAAATGCACAACAGCATTCAGAAAGCCCTCGATGCAAATATCAATCTTGATAACTCTGAGTCCACCACTCAAAAGACAAGATTCTACGATGGTTTCATTTTGCCAAAGGAAGCAGATAAAACGATGCTCCCAATGAATGATCTATCTTCTTGCAAGCTACTGTGCAGTTCTTCAACTGTCACCTCCTGTGTGGCTTACCATGGCACAGTGAAGAGGACACACTTGCTCATTTCTCACATATCGTCCATTCACATTTCACAGATTTTCCGCCTATCTTCACACCGCTTTTCTTTCTTTACGTTGCTCTCATACGCATAAACCTTTTCTTTCACAGCTTGAACGCACAGCCTTTCCAACATCCTCCATCATCTGCGCCTCCGGTTACAGTCAAACAAACACACCGCTGCTGCTACCGCAATGCTCAAATCTATCCTCAAACCCTACTGGACACCCTCGCCTCCACCCAATGACTCTGCTCTTCTGGGTCTACGCACTCAAATCCTTGGTTTGTTTTCTTCTTTTCCCCTTTTCCCTTTTCCCCTCCCCTCTTACCCCTCTGTCCTTTCCTATCTCTGCACCACTGAAATCCACTAACTCAAGTGGTGTCTCACAGAAAACTACCGCTACCTGTGTCCAGAACAGCAGAATGTGATGCTGGTGACATCGAGCTATCAAGGACGGTATGCAGCACATCTGGTGCTACACCCCAAAGCTGCGGGACCTGATGGAGGTAAAAGAGTATTGAGCAGCAAGTTTTGCATGAGTGGAGATAAAGCTTTGAGGGGGTTGTTGGAGGTTACGGAGGAAGAGGTTTATAGGAGATTGTATGGGTATGGAGACCTAAAAGTGCAGGGGGTGAGGGAAGTGATGGGAGTGGATGAAACGGGAGAGTTGGAAGGACGAGAGGAAATAGCATGAGAAGCAATTAATATCCACGGCGATGCTTACGCATAAAAGGACAGCAAGAGCAATAAACAATCAAAGACCCTCGTTATAAGCAATGGGAATTCACCTTCGACCCATTCACAAGGAATCTGAAGAACCGATTACCTCCACCCTGCCGCTTTCCCTCAACCATCTGACCCCTAGCCCACTCACTGGCCAGACCCTCAACTCCTGCTGCTGTGAACCTTCGGTCCAGCTCCATGGACCCTGCCCCAAGAGGTATCCAAGGGCGTCCGTCTAACACCCCATACCGACAATCAATATGCCACACCCCATTTTGGTCTGATGTGCCAAATCGAATTATTCGCTCGCGACGCCAGATGGAGTGGGTGCGCCAGGTCTTTCCGTTGGAGTGTTTGTCGCAGATGTCGAAGTGGAAAGAGGAGTACTTCTCATAGTCGAGGAAGGCGTGTAGAGCGTTTGGATGCCATTGTTGAAGAATGGTGGCGATGTCTTGGGCGGTGGTCGGGTCGTGGTCCGGGTAGGGGACTGGTTCGTGCACAGAGTGGTAGTCCTTTATTTCTTCGACGCACTCGACTTGTGTATCGTCTCTTGGCCATATGATGGTTGTCATAGCACAACTAGAGGTGTGTTTATCTTCTCTTTGTGCTTTCGTTTGCTTGATACTGTGTGAGAGTTGGAGAGTCTGTGAGATATCAGATGCTTGACCTCAAACAGTGAAGCTTCAAGAGTTTTGTCTTGACATACAACTGGTTATAGCGTACATGTGATGATAGGGAGAAGAGAAGATGAAGAAAGGACATCCTAAGCCAGCTGTATATCTACATACGGCCATCAAGAGGCTCCTCAAGGGCTCGAGGAAACAAGGAGCTACATGCATGACCTTCTTGATGAATTGTGATAGATCTAATGCTGCTGGGGATGCTGCATGATATGTGCAGCAAAGACTAACACAAGTGCCGTAGCTAGCGGCAAGAGGAGTTCCTTTCGGAAGCAAGTTTCTTGCCCCGGCAGATTGACTTGCGGCTTCGCATTGTACATACAAGGATCTCAGCGAATCGCGAGTGTTACCAAGTCGAACTTGGCAGCGATGGATGTGATATCCGCTGATACAGGAAGAGTATGTGGTGGTCGGGCAAGTATTCGATGCGCATGGTATAGCGTTCATTTCTGATGACAGCAAGGTTCAACAAAAGGCGGCGACGATCAGATTCCAACGACAACAATGATCCCCTAGCCGAACAATGAGTGCAGCGACGACGAGAGATCTTGACTGCTGAACAGGATACTAGGTCCACATATCAAGGCTTTTATGAATATGATGTTGTTGTCTGATCATCATGTCCGATGGTCGTTGAAGAACTTTTCGAATCTTCGATAAGGCCCCAGCTGATACTGTACCCGGGTTTGAACAGAAGTCATGCGACAGTTTCTGTTCTGATACTCAGTCTGTTGACCGTGCTTGTGTGGTTGGATCCACGATGGAGTAGCCGATCTAGGCTGTTGTCTTTTGTGGGGAGCTTGCATGATTGGATCTCAAGGTCGCAGAACTACTGCAGCTACTGTTAGCTAACATCGGGCACAGAGCTTCTTGTGGTAGAGCTACATGTCGTGTGTCCGGATGGGGTGTTCTTGGCCTGTGAGTGAAGTATCGAAATGTCGGTGAGGTGCGACGTTCCGGCTGAATGCATGTCGGTAACAATTTGTTTGTTGTTCTATTATGCTGTAGCAACAACACAAGTCCAATTGAAAGTCGACTTGATCTTCAGGAGGTTCGACACGTGAGTTGCAAGTGACAATAGACTCGGACACCAAGAAGCCGAACCGAACATGCAAGTTCGATGGCCATGGTACGTACCCCAACTTTCAAGTTCCTGATGACCAGTTGACTCGAAAAGAAATGAGGCTTTGTCGTCGGGCACATGCTCCACGATAGCGCAGTCTCGAGACATGTCAGGATGGTTTGGCTTGATGCTGTCACACGAGCTCGCACCTTCGTACGCACCGCAGAATCGGCTTGAAGGAAACGTTCGGCTGGTTGCCTGGGATGCTTGACGCCTGAAATGGTTCGCTCGGACCTCGGAACAGGCTTTCCATTCTCCTAGACCACAAGCCGGCGGTGCGGAAATTGCATGATGCGCTTCTAGAAGGAGGTGATGGCTTTCCTATTCTCCGGATTCCTTGTTGACTATTTCTCCGGATTGGCAGGAGAGAAGAAAAAGGAGCTTTGATACTTTGGTTGCGAATCAGTTGATCGCGCAACGGGCTTGGTCATGTGTCGAGTTCAGAAGCCCGCTTAGGTCTACTGTTTTGTTTTGAGTTTGGTTGTCCAGTTGAACTGTCTTCGATCATCGTGATTCGGATCTATCCACGAATCTGTTTACAAGATCTGGTTTCAGTATCTGCCTATGACTGGTGATGAATCAATAATTGTGCAAGGCTGACAGGTGACTTGTCAGCAGTGCGCATAAACAAGCCGAGGTCACCGTTGCCAACGGTTATTCAGTAGATTCTTATCTCGAAATAGCACGATTGTTAACAGTCAACAACGATGCTTTCGGCTCCTCGAAACAACGAGTCCGCGAAAAGCATTCTAAACCAATCGCCTACTCGGGTAGGAACACCATGCGAAATTCCCTCCGTGGCAGCAACAATGATGAACGATGTGATCTGCGACACGTAAAGGACGTTATATCCACAGGGGGGCAGCCTCCAACTTTAGCGGATGCGGCACTGCATGTACACGTCTCCAAGTATCTGTCGCAAAGTCGCTGCCTCATGAGACTCGTCTCGCCTTCGGAGGTCGGAAGCATTTGACTGTTGTCTCTCCGTTGTCGCAAAGGCAAAGTGCCTTGGGCCCCGAGTGGCGAGAACAAACACGTTCGGGAAGCGATGCCGTTGTCGACATCCCTATTACTCACCCTGTACGTGTCCAGTACGCATGACCAAGCCAAGATGTAGAGGATGAAAAATCACGTCTCTCACGGAAGCGACGGACAAGTGTGGATGGGAATGGCGCCTGTCTGATGCAATGGGACAGGGGAACTTTGTCCCCCCGCCTTACGAATGATTTGTTTTCTGCTTTGCATATGCAAAAGTAGACGACTTTTCGAGCTGAAAATTGAACTGTAAAGATAGGTGCGTGTCTATTCAATGATCGACAACAGGACATACTCGAAGTAGCAAATCTGATAGTCGACTGTACCGTCGTGCGCAAAGGGGAGGATCTGTCAGCGATTCTGCGAGTCTGTTGCGTATCCAACGTGGCTGATACCCATTGTCAACGTCCGTCATGGAACTCTTCGGCCTTGCACAGTCTGCATGACGCATATTTCGAAACACAGGCTTGCATTGAGAGGAAATGAGACGACATGGCTGGGGTGCCTGAGTACGTAAACCTCCCAAGGGAGTGNNCCCTGTTGATCAACCACGACATCATCTCGAAGATCTGCTCTTGCGNTCTCCGCGAAGCGACCTGTGTGTGTGGGTNCCGAAATTTGGTGCTAAGGGTAACGTGAGCCGAACTTTAGGCTTTCCAATGGTCCACCATGACCGTTGTGCCTGCAGGAATGGCTGGACCCTGTAGCGTGCCTCGTGGTACAGATGGAATGGTACAAATGATCTGGTTGATCCCTCTTCTTCTTGCTCTGATTCTCCTTTGCATACTCCATATCGTCCTACCAATTTTATACCAAAATCTCTCGANCTCGCAAACCAACCAACAATCCAATTCGACAACACTCACACCACAACAACAATGGTTACCTCGAAGTTTACCGAGATGCTTGATGACTGCTCGCCACCATCTCTTCCCTCGGCCAATGTCACACTCGAAGACTGCCTCGAACACCGTCAAAGATCTCCTTCATCCAGCAGCAGTTCAAAGGGCTCCATTGAGGGTGTCAAGTTCGCCGCTTCGACACACAGCCCTCCTGCTACGCCAACTTCGCCCATCTCCGGACTGATGCGAGCTTTCTCCACTAGAAGAAGAAACAACGCCCCTTGAACGAACGCCGTTTGGAATTCCAAGACATCACAACACACCTTCTTTGTCGCTCAATCATACACCCACCAAAACATTCAGGACCATGGACCAACAGTTCAACCATCACACCACAGCAAGGCTTCAGCCTTCGCCTACGACAGACAAGCTTGACACCGCTATATTCTGATCAGCTAGATCAGCAGAGCAACCATTGAAACTCTCTTTCAGTTTTCGCCTGGTAAAACTGCATCAGGTGGGCCCCCGGACTATGAGTCAGGGTCTAGCAACCAGACGGTTTCTCCCATACCGGTGCGTGCGTCCGTCCGCCACCCCGACTGAACCGAGTCAATGCCGCGACATGTGTCCATACAGCGCCCAACGACTCAAGGTCAATTCGTCTGCGGTCGCCCGGAAACAGAAAATCTTTTGTGAACTTTGTCCGAAAGACCTTTCGTGGTGGATCTTGTCGACCATTCTCTTCAGCTTCTTCCAACGGCCGTATCCGCTGGATAGCTTTTCTGTCAGTTTCTTCAACGCACAGCTTCGTTCGTGTGATTGAGTCGAAACAACAGACTTTTCATCTTCGTCGCTACTATTTGCTCACTGCATTCGGGCAGTAATGTCAACTGCCGTTTCATTCAGCATTTTCATGTATAATTAATCTTTAATCTATTATTTTATCCTCCATATTCATTCCACTCTTTGTATGACGCACTGTTCAACGGGGTATCTAGTGATCTACAGTATTTTCGCTTCGCATCCACCTATTCATCTAGCATTGCCGTGTGTGACGACGTCTTCTCCCTGCGATGCTGGTGTTGTCTGGTCCCATCCAAACACAAGCTGCGCATCGAGAAAAAAGGACAGCGAGCGGAGGAGGAAATTGCACGAATAGGAATCCAAGTCTGTCTAACCAGTTTCATTGAGGATACGAGCGCATTGTTGCACTATACTTGCTCCACTTCACTACTGGAGAAAAAATTTCTATTGCGCAAAAAAGCCAAGCCGTCCGTCCTTGAGCTTGTCTTGCGGTCGACGGTCGCATTGGCCTCTGTAGGGCATTCTCCGGGCAATTGAGATTTCTTGCAAAAGGTCGAGCCCAATCTGCAATATAATTGTGATAAAAAAGCCAGCAGACGAGCAAAAGAAAAGGTCGTACCCGGGATCGAACTGGGATTACCGGAATCAGAATCCGATGTGCTAACCATTACACTATACAACCTGTTGTTGAGGCACTTTTCGGTCAATCTATATCTAATCACTGCGGAAATATCGACAGGAAAGCAGATTTTTGCCAGAGCTCTCCGTCGTCTTCGCTTCGAGGACAATCTGACACCAAGGATTTTCGACTTGGTCATCAATATGCTTGAAGACATCATGCGAGGATCTGATAAACTCCTGCCGAAGGAATATTGGAAATAACTCAATCAAGTGAAGTAAGTTAGGACGCACGACTCGGAAACAAAGAGACCCTGGATCAACGTTGCCGGTCACGATTGCAAATCATCTCTATACAGAAAGATCAACACACTCGCAAACGTGTTCAGGCAACGTCAGCTTGCAAATCCTCCATCCTAAAGATGTCTGCCTCTTCAGCCTCCACCACCTTATGCAAGAAAAAACAAATCATCGGACTTGGTATGGGCAATAGTGTCCGAGAAGAGAAACGGGTGACGCGTGCTGGAAGGAGGCTGCCACTACGTCAGCGACTCTCAGTCGGATGATGCTCCGGGAACATGCGTCAGCGCCCACCTTTGCCCTTCCTTTTCAACTCCACTCCATCTTCATCACCTTCGGCCACTTCGAGGCCTTCCGGACACGGAACACACGGTTGGTAGATTCGCCTTTCACGCCTCTCCCGACTACCCGTCTCTTATCTCTGTTATATATGATGCAGACCCTGTGGGGAAAGAGAAGGATCTCAGAAAGCTACGGCTCCAGTTTGTGACGCGTTTTTGTCGGCGACTTCGACTTCAGCTCTTGAGCTCCTCGGCCGACCTTGCAGCATTGTATAATCTTCTGTGCCGGATTCCCAATGCAATGAGGACACTGTGGGTTCAGTGAGGAATGCATCCCACGCGCGGGTGGATCAATCCACATTCCAGAGCGCACGCATTCGTCCAAAAGAGCCAACGTTGTGATGCGCGCCTTGCGTATGATGCTGCTTGTGTCATGGCCCATACTGTACCATCGCCTTTGACTTCAATTCATACTGACATGGAAACTTGTAGCATCGACTCTTCCAGAATGAGCTGATTGGTTGCTTCTTGGCCTGGTTTCTTGACAACAATGTCGTTGTATACAATCCATAATGGGTGATCATCTACAGGAAACAATGCTTTGTACTGACTTGACCGCAAACGGTAAGCAAATATCGAGTCAGCCAAACACACCCGCAACCAGCGAAACTCCCATCCTCTGCTTTCGGAAGTTGTAGAGAACAATGGCTCGAGCAGAGATGCGATGTTCATTTCTGCTAGTTGGTATTGCTGACAGTTCCCGCTCTGGTTCCTCTATCATTTGACATCGCGAATTGACCATGTCTACACGACAAACACGCAGCAAGAGTCGAGGTCGAGCTGTCAGAACGCCTGTAAGACCTCTGTCTCGTGTTCGCACCAACACTTCNTTTTCGGACCCTGATTACGATCAGCCGACACCTGAACCGAAGACTGCATCCACTCCCTCGCCGACATGGGGCAAGCTTCCAGACGAGAAAAATGTGGTCCGGAAGTTCGAGGTGCCAACTGGTACACCTTCGGTATCTCTGATCAGACCAGATGGCCGCCGTTACTACATGAGCAGCGCTTGCGGTCCTGTCAACTATTCGTCAACGGGCAAATTCCAGGACCCTGTCGCTAGATCCAATGCCTCTCGCGCGAAGGCAATGGTTTACCCAAACTTCCATGAACCATCTAGACCCTACCCAAACCCCAACTTCCCCAGGAGATCTGCATCGCGCCCGAAGCGAGTCGAAATATCAACTGGACTGGACGAGGACGAGGAAGAGCGCTTGCGAGCATCTCCAACTTGGAGAAAGAAGAGACCTGATACCCCTACTTTCGCTCGAGCCACCATGTTTGGCTCACCCAAGAACAGCTTCTTGCACTGGCTTGGAGGATTCGTACCACGATCTGGTTTTGTCTGGCTAGTGCTGATTTTCTTCGGCATTCTTTTGGGCTTGTCTACTCCTCCGGAGACAAATCCAGTCCAGGTTGCATACAAGGAAGTATGTAGCCGTTTTGGCAATCCTGCTGATTGGAACTGCAACGGAAACTTCAACGTCACGATTGATAATGTTGTTAGCCACTGTCACAGCGCTGCTGACACAATCTACGACAAGTTACACATGACTGGCGCAAAGACAAATGTCGAAGATCTGGTGAACTCATGCCAGGAGTCGATTGAATACCGCAAAGACAAGCTCCGGAACATGTTTGAAGGCATGGAAACGGCGACCGCGACTTTCAAGAAGTCTCTGTGTGCTCTTCCGGGGGCGGAAATGTGGGACGGATGTGTCAAGAAGTCGGCTTCGAAACTCAATAAGCCTTTCGCAATGATCGCAAGTGTGTTCTCGAGCCCAGTTACCAGTACCAGGATCAGAGTTTATAGGCCTACCAACCCTTCGAACCCGAGACTTGTGCAGAGAATTGTCATAGAGGAGATCGCCAAATCTCCTAGCATGGATCCGACCGGTCGCGCCGAGCACGTAGCTNNAATAGCGTTGTCGCGTCTCTGGCGAGCCAAGCAAAGAGTCAGGCATCATCAGCGCTATCTTCCATCAGTTCTGCCTACTTTCCACTTGTTTCGAGTTCTAGCAGCAGTGACCACATCGCGGAGTCTATGGAGACTGGATCAGCTTCCGTAGGGTCGAGCTTGTCCCCCAGCATCGAANACAGTATCCAAGATCAAGGATCTCGAGCTCAAATACACCTTGGCACTCGCTAAAGCAGAGATCAAGATGTTGCAGGACAACGACACTTCCATCGTTTCGCACACAACTTATACTAAACGCCATCTCAATACTCTATTGACAACAGCATGGGATCTGCAGAAGGAGATTGATAAATTCTCAATCTGCATGATTAGGGAATCTGAAGCTGCCATCAGTGAGCTTTCCAAGAAAATCTCCTTCCAGCCGGAGTCGTGGTATAGCCTTGCTCGCTCAGGCTGGACTGTTACGTCGGCGGATTCTGCTTTCAAAGCACTCGGCAGTCCATCTACTGAATGCCAAACATTCTTGGTCCGCACACACCAGAAAGTGCTCGGCGCACTCGAAACACGCGAAGGATTGCTCAGAGAAATCGAGCGAGTCATCAATCTATCCTATCACCGCGACTTCAGAAAGAAGAGCCCGCTCTACATCCCCATACCTCTTCCCTGGGTCAGAGCTCTGGGACCTTTCCCCAATCTTCCCGTCATCCCACTGCCTACCATTCGTCTGAACCCTTGGTACTGGTTCCGTGGTGAGACTTACTGGTATAAGGTCCGCACACACGAGCAACGCGAACAGAGCCTCAAGCTTCACCGACTACGCGTAACACTCAACCAAATCCGTGAGGCTAGCGAAGGCTTTGATGACATCAAGAACCTCACCGAGCGTGCCATCGTTAGCTTGTTGGATGCACACAAGGACCTTCAATCTCGCAGTCAGGAAGTCCTTAAAAATCCTGCATTTGGCACATCGTTCTTGAAATCCAAGATCCAGACTGTGAGAGAAGATCTAGCTCTGGCTATCAAACTCAGGGACCAGAGAAAGCGTGTCAAAAACCATATCAATGCAGTCGTGTGGGGCAGATATAATAATGGCAATGACCAGCATGCTGTTTATGTTGTTAGGGAGATGAGGCTGTGAGGTGGGCTGTGGGATGGGGTTTTCTGGGATCGTCGTTCTTGTTTAGCTGTCAGGTTTGATACTCTTTTTAAGACGGTCATTTATGCAGATCTTCATTAATTTGTGCACGCTCGAGATGCTTTTGGTGCCACCCTAATCTTGCCTTTTGGTCTTAATATGCTCACTACCATTCCCTTGTATGCCACTTCTGGGTAATGGTGACATTCTTTCGATGCCAACGTGGTCCCTCTAGAAGCTTACGTCTTGTAGTCGCTAGTATCGATATTGCTGTCTGAAATCCATGCTTGTGCTCAGTTTTGACTTGATTTCATCAATTTGTGCTTGTCATTCTCAAAGTGAGGTCTTAAAATGTCACTGAAGCCGATAATTCAACAATCACGCAGCATATGAGCGTGTGTCACCTCTGCGCAGAGTGCAGACAAGCTAGAGTACCCGTCAAACAGTTCTACCAGAACCAAAAGTTTATCATTGTCGAGAATTTACCACTTCTGACACAAAATGCTTGTTAAGGGTGCCACCCTGCCTTCTTGACTGCGAACGAATCATGCTTGACGTCACCTTGTTCCTTCTCTACAGAACACATACACAACTCTTTACTGTCTAGTTTTCTCCTGTCAAAAGTCTTATAATATAGACAAGAAACAAGCCATGCAGCTGCTCAAAGCGCTCTTCTTCATTCTCTTTACAGCAATACCGCTGCACGCCACACATACACTTCTTCCTTCATCAGCAATGCACCCCATCGAGCCTGCAGACCTCAACTGGCACCTAAAAGTATACACACCTCCCGACGAATACGAGATTCATCTTGTACCAGGCTACACCATCTCCAACCACTTCGAAACAATCGGCAAAGACTTGAGTCACCGAATCCGCCGGCGCTGGGAAGACCCTGAGGATGTTGACTTTGTGCACTTTCTGATCTATCTGCCCGAGAAAGAGAATTTGGATCTTGTTAGGAGGGATCCAGGGGTCGAACTTGTGGTTGAAAGTGCGGAGTATCAGGCGATTAGTGATCCTACTGTGGAGGAAGATTATCATGGCAAGCATGTTGAGTTGTAAGATACGGACACATATCATTTGTTGCTAGCTCGTGGCTGCCATTAGACATGGAGAGTCCAACCTGCTCGAGTATAACCGAAGACAATGGAGGACCAGATGCAGATATATGCGGTATGTCAAATTAGGAACTCAAAGAGTTCAACATGATAGTCTGATGCGAAGCTACATATCGGTGACAACAAGCTTACGACGCCAATTCAATACGCGGGCCTTTATAGTGTTTTCTTGCATAGAAGACCCAGTTGATAGAGCTGAACAACGCCATTGCGGCCAGCACTGCGCAAGTATAATNCTGTGGCATCATCGTCAGCAACGTCACTTATGACTCACACATAGAAGAGCAGACAAAAGACTCACTCATACTGGATCCCGTGGTTGGGACAGAAGTCGGCAGATCAAAGAAGACGACTTCGATGATGGCGAACACGACAACAGTCGCATTACACGTCCATCCCAGCCAACCAGGCAAGCGAAACCATCGGTCTTTAGCAAGGAACCTTTNGCTTCTGCCTCTAAACATCAGTAGCATGCAGGGCATGGCAANAGAGATCATTTGCAGAATGATGGTTGTGTTGATCAAAGCATTGAACGCAGCTGTGGACGCGAGATAGATGCACCCGCAGACAAATATGACCGCAGCATTGGCGAGCAGAGACCAAACAGGCACTTCTAGACCCGGGTGCATCTGTGCCAACTGTTTCGAGAGCACGAGACCGTTGTCGCGGCCGAATGCCCATATCAGATGTGAGGACGTCTGCTGAATGGCATTGACAACGAACAAATTGATGGTGAGAAGGACGACGAGGAAGACTGTTGCTGCGGCGTCGCTGCCAGTCGCTTGGCGCCAGAGTTCGTAGATGGGCACACTAAAGGACATGGTCAGCCTACTTTCGCATGCCAAGTTCACGAACTAAACCATGACTTACGCAGTTGAGATGAGATCGTTGATGTCTTTGATGCCGTAGCACATTGCGATCGCAAAAATAAATCCTGTGATGAAGCCAATGACTATTGTCGTGCACAAAGCCTTCGGCACCGTCTTCTCAGGTTCTGTGCATTCTTCTGCGAGGTGAAGTGAGGCATCGAGGCCAGCAAAGATGAAGCACGATGTTGCAAAGCCCGAGAGGAACGTCACACCAGCTGGCCAACCTGTATTGCTTTCCATGGTCGCCCAGACATACTTTGCACTTTGTTTCTCAGAGCGGGCCAGACAAGTAACGGTGACGACGACAAAGGAGCTAAGGGTGAGGAATACNNTGTCTTATGGTCAGTCGTGTCTAGGTCAAGATGCTGTTATAAACTTACATCCGATGTTGTGCACCCACGGCGTCTTTGCAAGAGCGAAGAGGTTGTATAGAAGGAAAATAGAATTTATGGCTTGGTAAACGAGAAAGTAGTGCCAGGCCTGAGGTGCATAGCTCGGATGGTAATATACCACCAAAGCCAGAAGAAGTTGTGTTGCAAGAAGAGTGGCAGCAGCTCCCAGCGCTATCCAAGAGAACATGGCAATTGAGCCACAAGAATAGGAGAGGCCACGACTGAATCGTTTCGGAGCGAGGATGGATGCAAAGTGGTACCTGAAGACGTTTAGCTTGAGTAGAGCATGAGGATTAGTGGTGACTTACTGTCCGCCGGCAGTAGGATAGCAAGACGCCAACTCCGCTAGGGATGCCCCAGTTGCTGCATACGCGATGGTCGCCAAGGGGATACCATAGATCAGAGTGGCAGTGCCTCCAGCACTGATAGCGATTGCAAGACTCGTCGCTATGGCGACCCAACTGTTGCAGATGTTGAAGCTCAAGGCGATGATGTTGAACATGCTAAAGTGTCGACGGGTTGGCGCTATGCCCAAGTCACTGACATTACCCACTGACACAGAGAGCCTCTCGGGATCATGTGTGGTATACTTGGCAGCCGTAGAGTCGGCTCGAGCTGTTGTGTAGGAGATGTCAGCTATGATATAGCGCAACTGAGATAGTATGAGAGAGAAGCATACTTCTGGAAGACATGCTCTTCTGATCGGTCGATACCATGTTGAATATGGCAGTAAGCCAGGTTGATTATTACCCATTGCGTTGGAGGATATCAGGGATACTTATGTTTGACCATCTCAAACGCTGGAGATAAAGGAACGATTCCGCCTCGTGAACAACTATGCTCGAATTGATACCATCAAGTCCAGACAAACTTTACCCCGCTCGAAACCAGTGCGGCTGCACTGCGCCAGAGCGTGCTGTTCTGGCCGCAATCGTATCTCTCTTTCTAAATCGACCAAGGGCGCTGCTGACATCTTCAACGAGTTGCCTATCAGTGCTACAATATGGTCCCCTATCTCGCTGATATACCATGCTGAGTTGTGGTAGCAAGGTCAGAGCGATATGGGGCAGCGTTCCCAGATAGGTGATGGAAGTGAGAAAGTCCCAATGCGGAAAGAAAAAGGAGAACTAGGCTCGATCGGGAAAGAAATGTGAGAAAGCTTCATAGCCTGGGCGTGTGCATCCAGGGATAGGCTTGAAACAAGGCATGATAGGAGGGATGACCATATTCATTGGTCATGGAAATACGAATGGTGGAAGAGGCAAGAAATTCGCTCACAAAATAAATAGTCAGGCGGCTCTCAGCGCTACGATCCAGAGTATGCACACTTTCACGTTCGATTGACACCTGAAATGACTTCTCGAGACGGTTACCAATGGACAAAGTCCTCTGGGCTTGTAAAAGGTGTACCCAGTATCGGTGTTATACAGCCGCCTACAAACATTAGAGACGAACAGGGGGCCTACGACGTCGTTGTTGTCGGAGCAGGTTATTGTGGGCTTACAGCAGCCAGAGATGCTGCGTTGTCAGGTATGTCATAGGAATGAGCTTGTATGTCGCGAAAGCTAATCCGAGAGTGTNNAGGCCTCAAAGTGTTGCTGCTAGAGGCTCGCGACAGAATTGGTGGTCGTAGCTGGAGCTCAAACATCGAGGGCTACCCATTCGAGATGGGTGGCACCTGGGTCAGTTGGGGACAGCCTCACGTTTGGAGAGAGATCTCGAGATATGACATGCGCAATGAGTTGGAGCTCTCTCACGACTATAGTCGAGGCGTGAATCATTGCTCGCTCAATTCCTCTAGCGGAAGCCGCAGCATGAGCCATGAGGAAGAAGTAAGTCTCAGCGGACTCCCAAGCTTGATACACGTGCTGAACGTAAGTAGNGATGAATTGATGGACTCCGCTTTGAGAAAATTTGCCAACGTTGATGGTGAGCTTGGGCGAAAAGTCATGCCTTTTCCGCACAGCGAAGGCCACAATCCGGAGGCCGCAAAATACGATAGAATGTCTGTCGCAGATCGCGTTGCTCAGATCAAGGACGACCTCACACCAGATGAGTACACTGCTCTACTCGCATTTGTTCTGCTTTGCAGCTGCAGCACACCGGAGAAGACCAGCTTCTACGAATTTTTACACTGGTGGGCACTTTGCAACTACTCGTACGAGTATTGTATTGAGTACCTCATCAAGTACAAGTTCAAGGGAGGACAATCGAGCTTTGCCATCAACTTCTTCAAGGAAGCTTGCGCGACAGGCAGATTCTCATATGCTTTCAACACTCCAGTCGCAGCCATCAAGGACAATGGCAGTGAGGTCCATGTGGCCGCAAGAAATGGAAAGACATTCAAGGCGGCCAGACTGATCTCAGCGATCCCCATGAACATCCTGAAGGACGTGACCTTTAGTCCGGCGTTGATTCCAGGCAAGCTTGACGCCTCGAATCGTGAACACGTCAACAAATGTGTCAAGCTCCATGCTGAGGTCCGCGATAGAGATCTGAGATCTTGGAGTGGCATTACATACCCCAACGGAAGCTTACTTTATGCCATCGGTGATGGTACGACTCCCAGCGGCAATACACACATTGTTGCCTTTGGCGGGTCGCACAATCATCTTCAGCCGGAGAAGGACATCAACAAGACCAAGGAGGCACTCCAAGCACTGACTCCCATGGATATTGAGAGAGTGGTAAGTCGGTCCACAGCTTGTGCCTTAATATCGTCGTTAACGACTTCCAGNGTATTCCACAACTGGGCGGATGATGAGTTTGCTAAGGGCGCTTGGTTCTTTTCTCCTCCGGGTCTCGTGACGGAACATCTGGAAGACCTCCGGGCTCCACAGGGTAACATGTACTTTGCCAACTCCGACTGGGCAGTAGGTTGGAGAAGTTTCATTGATGGCGCTATTGAGGAGGGTACCCGGGCTGCGCTGGCAGTCAAGAGAGACCTCGATAGAAGTCGTTCAGCAAACCTCTAGAACTAAATGCAAATTGATGAGAACATGAACCATTACCGTATTGTAGTCGAACGAAATTTCATTCATATTATCAGGACTGGCTCCACCAAGCTGGGATTTCGAGCCCACTCGCCGTTCGGTTGCAGTAGCCATATCTGTTCGAGACGTTCCAGGGCCACAATGATACTGTTCAACTGTGTTTTCTCATAGACCTGGGCAAGTCTACCGGCAAAGAAGTTTCTATGATCCTGGCTCTGGCTGGAAGCCGCTGCGACGAAGTAGACCCACGGCAGTGTGTGCATGCAAGGACTATCCGCATGGATGGGCAGTACCAATTGACGCAGTTGCTCAATGTCGGTATAGAGTTGGCCTTGTTGATAGTCGTCCAAAGCTTGGCGCATGTATATGTTCCTTGCTTGGTTGATTGCCTGACGGAAGATGACTGTGTTCTCAAAGACACTCGGGTTATCTGGAAATTGTTGACTGAATATGAAATCGAAGTAGAAATCTAGATCTTTCTCAAAGGTTTTGCGGCCTTGGGAGAGATCAAGAAGAGGTGGGGTGAAAAGTTGGANACCTAGACAGGATGAGCTCAGTGGCAAAATTTCAGTCAGGCATACTCACATTCTAGACTGTTGTAGCAAAAACCCTCGTTCGGCTGACGGTTCTGATTCTAAGAGTTTGTTATGACTTAGAAGATTGGTGAGCATAGGATAGAGATGAATGAAATCTCGAGAGCCAGTGACCGTTTCTCCGACCAAGAGAAGGATGAGCGTCGCCCAAGTAGACGTGCTAAAGACTTTACTGCTTTCTTTAGCGAACGCGTCTGCACGTAATCTCTTTATAATCTCAGAACGTCCAGTCTCTGCAAGAGGGAGAAGATCTGGTCTTTTCGTTGACAGGTGAAAGGCAGCGACAACTGACACTGCACGCTGTACAAGGTCGTCCTGGTAAGCCATTGGAAGCAAAAAATTACGATATCCATTGGAGCCAGTGTCAAAAATGACCATGATAGATGCAATGCTGTGCGAAACTGTTTGCTGTCAAACGCCTGGCAAGAAAGCAAGTAGCAGATGCATTGGCTTACAATGATTGAAGAGCATCTGTATACCAGGCTTCAGCAACTCCAGTCTCAGATCAGCGCCGGGGTCAATGCTGAAAGAGATGGTAGTGCTATCGTCCAGTGGGGTGTATGTTGATTGATAATCTTGTCTCTGACGAGTGACGGGTACAATCTCCTCAACATCTTCGTCGTCAGCGTCAGCTCCAATACTATTGCCTCCGAGGTTGCTGATAGTCTCAACAGCTGAATCAACAATGGCGATTTGCTCGGGTGCTTCTGTTTGTGTGGCTGTACGTGACCTTGCTACGGGCGCGATTTGCAGATGCTGGCTCAGACGTGTCGCAAAGTTTTGAACATCAGGAATCGTTTGCCCTTTGCGCTTTCCCTTNNTTGAGATGGCACCCTCGACAAACCTGATATGGCGGCCGATACCGGTACATTTGATACCCTTCTTCAGACACTTCGCGCACTCAGGCGTGGCTTTGTCGCACTTGATGCGACGTCGCGAGCATTCTTTGCAACCGTCTCTCGGCATCCCGCCGTCATCTATAGATCAGTTGATCTCATACGCAGCACATTCATAGATACTGTCGGCACTTTCAGATGGCATACAGGACGATGTTGAGAGAGTTGAGATAAGATCTCGCCGTCGAGGTGCGGAGAGAAACCAATCTACGGTTAATCTTCGGTTCAGGGCGCGTTCTTGCCTTGTGCCTGCTGCCATACTACGAGTGAAATCTGGGCGAGATGTCAGATGAACAACTGTTGATGGAAGTTTGCAAACAACCGCATGATCCGTCTACAATTAAGCAATCACGAGGTTGACCTTGCTTCGCTGCAACGGCAATACACCTCCGCTCCCTCCAGTACGACCGGGGCCCTAGTTGAGTTTATTGACGACGAAGATACCGACCCTGACGGAACTGATTACGACGATGAAGTTAAAGACGATGAGGATGACGATGAAGCCCCCGGGCCACTTGCTTTCCTGTGCACCCAACCATTCCCGGACTTGAGTCTCTCCGTTTATGGCTTCCTTGTCGCTATCGTGGACACCGACGCGTACGTTAAGGAAACCAACAAGACAAACCTCACTACTGCCATGGCTACAGCTACAATCCTCTGGAACTGGCACCCGAACGCTGTCCGCGCCTTTCTAGACCATTAGAAATACTCGGCCTTTGAGTACTCTACAATCGACAGAGCACCTAGAGCTGAGAGATTTGTCACGCATATAATTAGTCGCCATGACCGGGCCATTCTCATCGGTCACTTCGATCAAGACTTCGACTAGGGCTATCAAGTTAGCTATGGACTCCTTAAGGACGGCCGTTAGAAGCCACTCTAGGGATCTACGGACGTGTTGCCTAGTAAAGACAATCCAGAATGGGTCAACAAGATGGGTAACATGTGGGCCAAAGACGAGCTTTATTTCAAGCCATGGCTATCTAAAAGCATCGCGAACAGGAACTTACTTTGTGGGGTGGTAAGGTGGACCCTGCTTCATTGTACTAAGAATTGTCGTGAAGGTAAGATAAAGCCACTAGTCCACAGCTTCTATTGGAACAAGATACAGTTTTGCACGTCACTGTAGCCAAACCGCATGTAATCAATTGGTGTTTGTACGTGCATGTGCGAAAATCAGGCATGAGAGTAGCCAGCCGACCACACGGTAAATATTCGGGTAGCCCACGGGCGCAATTCGAGGCTTCATAGCTGTTGTTTGCAGTCATTCTCGATCAGCACAAGGCTTACAGCCAGGGGTGCCCTTTGGCAGTGTTCTTTGACGGTGCTGAATCGGCTGGAAGCGTACAACGAGGCGTCACCGCTGCAGAAAGACTTGCAAAACTGTTCACCACACTCACATCGGACTCGACATTTCTCCGCCAATTCTACTCCGATTGCGCTCGCAAGCAGCGCATCATGATCGCAGAACGCCCTTTGTGCGGGCTGTAACTTGGAAGCGTCGAATTTCGCCCAACTTTCGTGCTGAAAAGTGAATAGACAAGGCTTCCTCACTTCAAACTTCGGATGCGATTTGCGCACTCAGTTTTTGTCCGTTCGAGAAGCCGAGTACATTAATCAAAAGCTTTGTGTTTCCTCTATACAACGGTGCTTTGGCCGAGTGGTTAAGGCGCTGGCTTTAGGCTGTATGGAAGGATTCGCTTCGTGCGGAGAGACTTCTTCCTATGTAACTTAAATCGCCAGTTCGAAAGAGCGTGGGTTCGAACCCCACAGGCATCACTATCTATTCCTTTTGCACTTTTGAGCTACTCAGGAAGTCTGTAGTGCAAGAGGGGATGATTTTATGACGATTTTTCGTTGGTGAAGCCTGCCTGAAAAGTGCGAGTTACAATGAAGCCTGGACCTCGGCTTGCCATCGAGAGCTGAGTGTAGTGGCAGATCTCATGGCCGTTCCATGCTGGAAAGCTTGACTCTGTCGTCCTTTGGAGACTGGCGCAATGCTACAGGACCGACCCTCCGAATGCGAGTCTTTGAAATGCGAGCCCTCCGAAACCGAGACCGAGCCCCCAAAGTTATGGTTTTGATCCGCTGATTATCGTAGAATAGCCTTCACCAAAAACCGCCGGTACACTCCTCCGGACTTGATTCCAAATCTGTATGAGAAAACGACAGTGCAGATTGACCACGAAGGAAGGTTTGATGAACAAACTGGTCCATAATTTGAAGCCTGCCGTACTCATTCTTGGAGGAAGCGGGGAAGCACTCTGACAATCCCCTCAGTAGTGTGTGAACAGGGTTCATAGCACGCTCTCAACTCAACTCGCATCACCTAGGTTCGGCCCGCCTAAAAATCAGGTGCGTACCTCTCTTATAGTACCCTTCGCACCGCTCGTACCGCGGGCACCACCCGATATGCTCGGACGGTATAGAGAATGACTGAGACAGACTTCATGTTTTGTCGGCAATCTTGTCAAGATTCGATTGCTAACACCCAATTGATAGCCCTAACGTTATGTGGGAAGCTGGGGTTGCGGGGTAGGCCACTGCTTCAAACCATATACTGGACCGCTACAAGTAACCATACTGCCTATCACAACAAAACGAACGAGGCGGGGCATGTGATCGTCAAGCAGCTCACTATCGCCAGCCAGAACGCTCGTATTTTACATCCATTCCCCCCTTTCTGGAAGTACTGTTCTTATGATATATGTATTGTTGAAAAGCTTGATCATGGTTGGCCATTGGATTACTGTGCAGATAGAGATACTTTCACCATCAAGCAAGATATGGAAGTCACGACTCTACATTGTCTGCTCGAAAACAGTCGCGAGGAAGTAGGGCTGCTAAAACTTACTCCTTGCTTCCGAGGGCAATATCGTTTCCTCCTAGGTCAGATCCGCTTCCTGAATGCTTCGTAAAGCTTGTCAAGATGCCGAGGGGACAACTAGGTTCGAAATACACTCGCCGTACTCCACGAAGGTGAACCATGATCGTATCGAGAGCGCCACGCTTGACGATCAGCGACGTCGAGCAATTCCAATAGATCAGCCCTCGATAAAACTACGTGAAAGTGAGACACAAGCCGAGGTCAGGATCAGTTCGAGTCGATTCGCACGTAACCAATGTGTGCAATCATGCGCCAGGAACTCCATCAATCGATATAAATTGAGCCAGTTGGTCCACCATCTCGTCCACCACTTTGGAGAAGCAATCTCATCCCTGCACACACCACTATCATGCTCTTCTCATTCTTGAACGTTGTTCTTTTTTGCCAACTGGCGATGGCCAGCATTCACCGCCGCGTGGCACCTCTCNNCCCTCCTGCCCAGGATCCCTTCTACCGTGCACCGCCAGGCTTCGAAAATGCCGCGCCAGGAACAATCCTAGCCTCAAGACCTGCTCCTGCTAGACTCGAACTGCTTAACCTCATCCCAGTCAACATCAAGGAAGTAGTTCAGCTTCTGTACCGCACGACCAACGCTATGGGTCAGCCAGAGGTCACCGTCAGCACTGTCATGATTCCAAACAATGCCTCATATGATAAGGTCGTATCATATCAGGTAGCCGAGGACAGCGGCGGTCAAATCAACTGTGCCCCATCATATACTCTTCAGACTGGCTCTCAAGCTTCGTACGCTGGTACTGGAGATGTCGAAATGTTCTTGATCATTGGCGCCCTGAACGAAGGATGGATTGTAAGCAGTCCAGACTGGGAGGGCCCCAACTCAACTTTCATTGAAGGCTTCCAGGCTGGCCAAGCCACTCTCGACTCTGTCCGCGCTGTGCTTTCCTCTGGTTCTATCACCGGTGTCAAGAGCGATGCAAAGGTTCAGATGTGGGGCTACAGCGGAGGTGCTCTTGCATCTGAATGGGCCATGGAGCTTCAAGCTTCTTACGCTCCAGAACTGAACTTCGTTGGTGCTGCAATTGGTGGAGTCACCCCCAACGTGCCTAACGTCTATCAATCTATCAACAATGGTCCATTTGCCGGTCTTGCTGCCGCAGGCTTGTTAGGCATGGCCAATGCGTTCCCGGAGTTCGAATCTGCCTTGACTAAACAGCTGATTCCCGAGAAGGCAGCAGAATTCTACCAAGCAGGGAGTAATTGCTTCTACGGAGACGTGGTCCTTTTCGCCGGACAGAACATGTCTTCGTACTTCTACGATGGTGACAACATCATCACGGAACCCACCATAGCCAAATACTTCCGTTCAAATGCTCAGATGGGTCTTCATGGTGTTCCTTCAATGCCTTTGTTCGTCTACAAGGCAGTGGCTGATGAGATTTCACCCATCGCTGACACCGACGCCCTCGTCGATCAATTCTGCAACGACGGAGTTTCGATCACCTACGTCAGAGATGCAGCCGGCGAGCACTTTACCCAAGCTGCCACCAGTTTCCCAGACGTGATCAACTTCCTCCGCGCTAGATTCTCAGGTGTTCCCATCTCCGGCTGTACGCGCCGCAATGAGTTCTTGGACATCTTGGATCCTGGTGCTCTACCCTACTTTGACGAGACTGTCGTTCATGATTTGCTCATTATCTTGGGCGAACCAATTGGCCCACAGCACTTCTAGAGTCGCTCGAGAAAGAAGAGTGGTCCTTGTTCGATGATCGATATACCTATACTCAGAAATGATGGACGAGGACTGGTCGAATCACATCACGAGCACTCTCCGCAGCTTGGTGGTTATAGCGATGTAGGATGTGGAAACTGGCACAGACTGAAGTGCTCGATATCAAGAAAATGAGATATCTCCGAAGACTCGCGGCATGTTTGTTTGGTGCGGTGATCAAGTGATTATGTAAAGTCAATCTGCTAGATTGATTCATCTCTATATACATCCTCACCCTATGTCTCAATGCGTCCTGAATCTTCCTAGAGCAGCAGGAACAGTCTCTCGAGTGATCCGTTGGGAACAGACGTCTGACCTTGCACACCATATAGACTGCTTGGTTATTCAGGCAAATTGTGATCTGGATTCGGGTCGAGATTCGCTTGCTGGTGTATGCAGCTAGCTAAGCACGAACGTCCTGCATTGTTGAGGATATGAAATTTCTGTGTGAACCGCGAATTACACCTTTGCACATTGACAAGCGATGATTTCCATGAAGGAAGCGATGACCATACCATGAAGCTTGCGATCAAGATATCTTTGTTGCAAACTATTTACTACCTTCCACAGATCTCTCGACTGGTATGCATTCAATGATGCTATCCCGCTGACTCCCTGTGTATGTATAAACTTTGGAAACCTTCAGGCCAGCCTTCGAGATGAGGTCACTCCATTGCTCTCGAGTCCGCTCGCGGCTCGCACAACAAATCATCATCGTCAGGTCGATCATTGTAGCTTGCCAATGAACGTCCTTGTCCTCCAAAAACATATCATCAATGAGGATAACACTACGAGGACCGAGAGCATCTTTGGTATTGCGCAAGATCTGAATGGCTTTCTCGTCTGGGTAGTCGTGGATAACTTGGCGCATGTAATATATAGCCGCCTCGCGAACCTGCTGAGGCTTGAAGAAGTCTTGCTCCATGACTTCTACGCCGGGATAACTGATAGCGTGCTGAAGAGTGGCGGGGATGTCTTGTAAGATGATGCGACCAGGCGCATCAGGCACCTTCTCTCTGAGTGCAATACTCTGATGCCCGAAACCTCCGCCAACGTCGACAAATATAGGCTTTCCTGATGGCGTGTTCTTCGCAACTTCTTGGTAAGGATACACGTCCAGCCACGTTGGCATGTCCATGTGCTGTACAGACATGTATGCATTGAAGTGTGCAAACAGCTCAGGCTGAGTCTGAAAATGGGCGAATAGTGGCAGGTCAGAATCCCAACCAGACATGAGTGCAGTATCCCTTGCTGACTCTGGATCTTTGTAGCCGGTTCGCTTGAGGAAGTCAGGCAAAGCCTTAAGGCCTGGTCCTACGTAGTCGCACATGTGATAAACACCACCCGCAAATCCTGGAATTGCGAAAGTTTTGGTGACGTTGTTGGCAGCAAAGGTGTTGGTGTCAACCTCCTGGACAAGGCGCACAGAAGCCATGTAGCGAAGCAATCGAGCCATAAGTTTGGGCTGAACACCTGTACTACTTGCAAGTTCATCAACGGTGGTTGGTTGTCCAGTCTTGGTGAGTAGGTCGAAGAGCTTCAGATCGCAGCTGATACGGGAGGCGGCCAGGGGGAANNTTTGAGAGAACAGCAGTCGTTGTGCGACGTCCTGCGGCTGCTCCAGTGAGATAGCCAGGTCATGAAGTTTATCAATCAGCTGCTTGCGGCCATGTTCGTCGGCGTCGCGTGCCAGGGCTTCGATCTGTGGGATAAGAGCGTCCATGTCGACTGTTGGAAAATTGGATGGTGTGAATGCTGTGTGAGCAGATAACCTGACGGCCGTGGTTGTCTTTATAGTCTTTATCCCGCGAATATCTCTGAAGGATCAAACATGAGCTCCACGCCCGTCGACAGCTGATAATCTGGTTCACTTAGCGTCGATCATACTGCTAGGCAAAGGAGATGAGATTTGGTGATGTCAGCGGCTTTTCAGCCGTCGGTCCATATATTCGTACTGCTCTACACATCAGTCAGTCACCACGGTATACACAAGACCATCTAGCAGCTCCAGAAGCAGGGGGACAAGGAGGATGAGTGGAAGAAACATCCTTCTCGATGAAGATGAGATTCGGCTGTTGTGAGTTTGATCGAAGCTTGTTTCAGATCAAGAAAGCTTAGCCTGCCCCAAGCTTATATTAAGCTAATACATCAAAAGGTCTGGACGGCGATTGAACGGCGACTCGAACAATGAACGGCGACTGTCACCGCAGCAAGAACTCGTTTGCAGTTGAGCCGCTTGATAAACAACCGCTCGCGCAACTGTCGACTCAGATACCTCTGTGTCAAGTGGCTGGAAGGGTTCGTAACAAAGCCACGTTGATGGCTAGCTCCCCGCATCCCTCAGCACAGACACAACGATCCTTATTATTCACCACTGAGTCTTTCCGCCTGGATGAGTTCATCTCTGACATGCGTCTGTTTGACATGAGACTGCTTGAATCGGTGTTGGCTGTAATTGCAAGCCTGAGCGCCTGATTCTTGCGAGAATGCTCCTGAGTGCGCTTGGATTTCTGACAAACGAACCATGCTCGTTTGTCCCTGGGGACAGACGTCTGACTTTGCATATCATATTGGTTGCTTGGTTATGCAGTCAGATTGTGGTCTGGAGCTCATTCAAGAATTCCACATTGATCGATACCGCAGAAGGAACCAAGGTGTATGATTGTTTCGAACGCGGCCCATGTCGAGAGCCTTCAACCGAAGATCTGCCAGGACAGATGCCGTGCTCACCACCTCGGGACCTTGCACTTCAGGGAACTATCTTCCGCTTGCACATCTCAATACTGTCCACCATGTCAGCACAAACAGTCCATCCAGGCGAACAGTCGCTCTCAAAACTTCTGGCAACATTGACGGCAACGCTACACCCTTCAACCTACGTTTTTGCCGTGTTTACCGATGAGTCGACGCTTCCACCGTTCTCGGAGGTCGAGATGCTCTTCCGCGAAGCCAAAGCAGAAGGTGTCACTGTAATCACCACTCAAGAGTACGCCGAAAGTCATGGATTTGAGTACGCTTTTCCATGTCGCAAGATTACACTCGATGTAACGTCGAGCTTGGATGCTGTTGGGTTCATCGCTGTTGTTGCGACAAGACTTGCGGCTGCTGGAATGGGTGTGAATCCGATCAGTGGCTTCTACCATGACCATTGTTTCGTTCCGGTTGGCAGAGAACAAGATGCGCTCAAGGTGATTGCTGAGTTGGCTGAAGAAAAGAAACAAGAAGCTCAAGTTTGAGCCTCTGAGGAGTCGCGACCACCGACGCGATGGGCGTGAGGCGCGATGCCCAGCGGAGTCACGGCCCGTGAAGCCACGAGATTATCCGCCTTGGCATTCTTGCTCCGCATCCTTCCTGGCAGTCTTCAGGTCCCCACGGTCAGCACCAAGGCACATCTCACGTAACAATATGAACTTTCTGTCGCATTGCATGAAATTGACAAAATCCATACCCTTGTTGCTAGCGAGCAGGATCGCTAAAATCGCTACCCCTCTCGCAATCATTCTTGGCCAGCGGCACGATGACGCGAGGTGCACCCCACAGAGCATTACCAGCCTCTGCCCAGACGGTTAAACACTTCTTGGACATTGTAGAGGATTGATCAACACGAGCATGCTTCAACATACATATATACATACTGCCAGGCCGCATTGCATCTTGCCCAGTTCTTTGTACCACTTGTGTGATCATGCGATTGACCACATTCACATTTGCCCTCGCTGCTGGTGGGTCGCTGGCACAAGTCAACGAAAATCAACTTCCGGTAGGACACTCTTCGGTCACGAATCTACACAACCTCTTACATCCTCCANNGTTCCCAGATGTCACATATCCAGACGCCATTTCTCCGAACCCAAATGCTGTCGCTGGTGCACACACCAATGAGACCTCTCCACCAAGATATCCCAGTCCTTGGGGAAGCGGGGCAGGCGAATGGGCAGAAGCATACAAGAAAGCAATCGAGATTGTCGGGCAACTGACTCTTGAAGAAAAAGTAAATTTGACAACAGGTAAAGTGCGGCATTGCTGGAAACTTGGATATATGACTGACGAGGTGAAGGGAATTGGTTGGCAGCAAGAACAATGTGTCGGTCAGACTGGTGGCGTTCCTCGCCTGGGTATTCGAGGACAGTGTCTTCAAGACTCTCCCGTTGGCGTAAGATATACAGAGTAAGTGCATGCACAAGCATGACTTGACATACTGTTATTAACGACTGTGCAGNNCTTTGTCAGCCTCTTCCCTGCGGGCATCAACGTTGGTGCTACCTGGGACAAGCGCCTTGCATACGAAAGAGGTAGAGCTATGGGCTTTGAAAGCCGTGACAAAGGCGTCACTGTCCAGCTGGGTCCTGTCGCTGGCGCACTTGGCAGGGTGAGTACTTTGCCTTGAACTTCGTGGCCAGTTGACAATACTGATAAATAAACACCANNGTCGCCTGCAAGTGGCCGCAATTGGGAAGGCTTCAGTCCTGACCCCTATCTTACGGGAAAGCTATTCGCCGACTCTATCCGAGGCATCCAAAGTACAGGTGTTCAGGCATGTGCCAAACACTATGTTGGCAACGAGCAGGAACACTTCCGTCAGGTTCCTGAATCCCGTGACTACGGCTTCAATATCACCCAACCTGGATCTTCCAACATCGATGACCAGACCTTGCACGAACTCTATGTCTGGCCTTTTGCAGATGCTGTCAAAGCTGGTGTGGCATCGGTCATGTGCAGCTACAATTTGGCCAACAACTCGCAGGCCTGTCAGAACAGCTACTTACTGAATCATGTGCTCAAGTCCGAACTTGGTTTCCAAGGTTACGTCGTGAGTGACTGGCAAGCTACTGCAAGCGGTGTTCCGGCTATTCTGGCTGGACTGGACATGACTATGGCTGGCGACATCCGTTTTGGCGATGGTCTGAGTTACTTTGGTCCGAATCTTACCATCGCTGTATTGAACGGTACCGTACCGCAATGGCGTCTTGATGATATGGTTGTTCGCATTCTGGCTGGATGGTATCTTGTTGATGGTAACGATACCATTCCAGACCCAAATTTTCAGTCCTGGACGTCGGATACCTTTGGCGCTGTTCACGCACATGTCGGCTCGACTTGGGGAACTGGACTCGTTAACCAACATGTCGATGTTCGCCGGGAGCACGGTAGATTGATCCGCGAGATCGGCGCTGCGTCTACTGTGCTTCTGAAGAATGATCGTGGCACGTTGCCTCTGAAGAACACGGCAAGGCTGACGGCAGTGTTCGGCGAAGATGCGGGCTCCAATCCTAATGGGCCCAATGGCTGTAGAAATCACGCATGCGATGTCGGTACACTTGCTGTCGGTTGGGGCAGTGGACAAGCCAGCTCTCCATATCTCATCAGTCCGGATGCAGCGATCCAGCACGAAGTCGTCTCTCGCTTTGGTTCTTATGAGTCTATCACCAACAACTCAGCTTTGACTCAGATAAATGCATTGGCCCGCCGTGTCAATGACGTTGCCGGAGTTTGTTTGGTATTCGCTAATGCAGATTCAGGGGAAGGTTTTGCTAACGTTGATGGCAACTATGGTGATCGCAAGAACCTGACAATGTGGCAAGGCGCTGACGCTGTGATTGCGAATGTGTCTGCTACATGCAACAACACTATCCTCGTCGTTCATTCTGTTGGAGCAGTTGAGATTGAGCAGTACAAGGAGAATCCAAACATCACTGCCATTCTTTGGGCAGGGCTACCTGGTAAGTAAGCTGGACCGCTCAAAACACACTTTGACTGACGTGTCTGTNNAGGCGAACAGTCAGGATATGCAATTGCCGATGTTCTGTTTGGCCGCGTCAATCCTGGAGCAAAGTTGCCTTTTACCATGGGTCGCAACAGATCCGACTACGGCACTGACGTCCTCTACACCCCGAACCAGGAGGTCCCACAATTAAACTTTCAGGAGGGAGTCTTCATCGACTATCGCGGATTTGATCATCGCAACATCACTCCAGTCTATGAGTTTGGCTTCGGATTGAGTTATACGACATTCAATTACTCTGGCCTTACTGTGGAAAAACTCGATGTTACTGACTACAAGCCAACAACAGGTGCTTCTGGACCAGCACCTACATATGGTACAATCAACAACGACACTTCGGCGCACACGTTTCCAGAGAACATCACTCGTGTCCCTCTATACATTTATCCATGGCTCAACAGTACAAACCTTAGCGAATCATACGGAGCACCAAACTTTGGCGACAACTCATTTATCCCTGAACACGCACTCAACGGCTCTAGCTTCTCTTATCCTCCATCCTCTGGCCCTAACGGTGGCAATCAAGGACTTTGGGATATTCTTTACCATATCCGCGTTAACGTTACCAATACCGGCAACGTTGTCGGCGACGAAGTACCACAGTTATACATTTCTCTAGGCGGACCTTATGATCCCAAAATCGTTCTCAGAGGTTTCGATCGTGTGAGGATCGATCGTGGCAAAATTCTGCAAGTCACATTCCCGTTAGCGAGAAGAGATCTAGCGAATTGGGATACGGAAAAGCAAGATTGGGTTATTAGTGAATACGTCAAGACGGTGTATGTGGGGTCTTCGTCGAGGAATTTGCCGTTGAGTGTTGTGCTTGTGTAGATGTTTGCATATAGCAAGGCTTGTCACGGTTATAAGTTTGTTTCCTTGGCCAGGTGTAGAGATATGGAATTTCTGTTTCATGAGAATGCAAAGTCTTATGGCAGAATAGATTGTATGACTGTATGAAAAATCAGTGTTTCCAAGTAGCGTCAATCAGTAACGAAAAAGAGGAATGATGACAATGTGGAAAAGACACCAGCACCATCACAATTGTCCAACAAACTTTGTGAAGAATACTTTACTGACTACTAGCACAAAAAAATCAATCTCTCACAATATACCCAACTACATGTTCGCTCGTACATTCAACCCCACAACCAACGATTAAACCTCCCTCCACGAGTCTTGGGCTCCGGCTCTTCACCTTCATCCTCCCAATCCTCGGGACACCGTCCAGCCATTAGATCGACTTTCGCAAGTGGTGCCATCTTAGTCCTCTTAACAGTCTTCCATCCAACAAGTGCGATAACGAAAAGCGCGAGAGCGAAATAAGCAAAGATGAAGTCTGAGACGGACCACTCGCCATGGATGAACACTTCAAAGCCATTGGTGAGTACAATGATACCGTATAAAAAGGCAGAGATAATGGAGTAATAGTATTGATGGCGGCGGAACCAGGGACGTTGGCTATCGGTAATGCCTTGTGCTGTTTGTGCGCGCCGGAAGCGGATGTAGGTGATGTGGAAGACGAAATAGGTCACCAGGTTTCCTGCGCCGACGATAGAGGTAATCCATGAGAAGACCGTCAAAGCGCCGTGAGAGGCAGTCATGAAGGAGATGAGCGAAACAAGCCAGACACCGATAACACAGTAGATGGGAGTCCCGCGCCATGTCGTCAACAAGAAAGATGGAGCATAGCCGCCAATCGCCATCGCATACGCAGATCGGGAAGCTGCATAGAAGATCTCAATTCCACATGACCAAGCGGATGTTATGAGGATGGCGTTGATCAAAGATGGCAACCNCCTAATCCCCAGTCTAGTGACTCCAATGACAAAAGGCGAAGATCCAGCACCTTTAGCTCCAGAAGTGAGTGCAGGATCATCATGTGGAACGAGAATGCCCACGCAGAGGACACCAAGAACATAGAAGATTACCAAGCGGTAGATGACACGGCTGAACACACGCGGCATCACGCGACGGGGAGATTGTGCTTCGCCAGCCGTCAAAGCGACGAAGTCAGGTCCTCCAAAAGCAAAGGCAGCTTGCACAAACACAGACCAGAAGCCTAGGAACCGTCCAGTGGAGCCGCTGACTATGTATTCGGCGAACGAACCGGGAGAGTTCCAGAACGTGAAGCCAAAAGCCCAGTGCATTGGGTTACCGCCAACCATGAGAATGACNNTTTTTTCCCACAGATTAGTGTCGTTTAAAATGTCGTGGATTGACAGAATACACTACTCACAAGTCATGATGATGAGGCCAAGGATCAGTAACACCTTGAATATGGAGAAGTAAAATTCTCCCTCGCCATAGATACGTGCTCCAGAAGCATTCAATGCCAGCATGGAGGACGTGATAATGGCTACCCAAACACNCTGGAAAGATGTGAGCCTAATTACCGCAAGTCAAGCAGTGTAAGTATGCATACCATTGTTAATGGATTGATTCCAATATCCTATCAGGGAACAAACAGCCGAGATCTCGCTAGCGACGAGCAGTGCATTGTTGACAGTATACAGTACCCCAATAGCAAAAGCCCAAGCTTCATCAAGATAAGCATGTGCATAGACTACAAACGCACCGTCAACCGGCAGCCAAGAGACCATTTCACCCATAGCATTGAAGGTAGACCATGTAAGTACGGCATAGATAGAATAGCCTAGAAATAGACCACCAGGTCCAGCACGAGCGAGTGCTCCACCAGAACCGATGAACAGACCTGTACCTATGGCACCAGAGATTGCCATCATCTGGATGTGACGTGGGCGCATCGCTCGTCGTGTGCTTTTGCCGTGGGACCTTGAGACAATCTGGAACTCCTCGACTTGGCCATGTTCGATTGGACCCTCGTTGGCGACATTGGCAATGCTGTTCTCGGGGTTCTNTTTGTCGTCCATACTAGCAAGATATCAGAAGATGGACAAGGCTTCCAGACGGAAAGTTGGTTGGGTAAGAGGAAAACCTGCAACGAAGCAGTATGGTTCCACAAATTGCAAGTTACCATGATCCAGCAAACGCGATCACATAAATACACTTCGGTGTTGTCCATTATCTGAACTCGCAGGGTAGATAGTCAGCAGGGTAGATAGTCGCATGGTAGATAGGCCAGGCTTCAACTTGCAGGCGTACCTGATAGTGATATGGATACTAAGTCTTGCCTATCCTGATAGATAAGATTGTGCAGCCACGCTTCCAATCAGATGCCCTTGTGCTTTTGCGATAAAGAAAGATGTTTGAGTATGTCGATCACGGCAGACACATCCGACCGTGCCACATTGGTCCCCTGGTATGAGCGCATATGATTCGACAACTTTGACTGCATTATTATCGTAACAAAAGACGTTTGCAATACTCCTTTAGAGGTTACCCTTTCTAGTATATCATTGATCGCACTAGGCAAAGAGTATGCTGGACCTCTCTCAAGGAGTTTACCGTCAAGTCTGATGTTTCAGTAGGTGTTTGCACACGCCAAAGCAGCAGGAGTGCCAAAACAAGGCTCTCTAGGCTGTACCACGAACCATTTGGTAAGTGAGAATGAGTGATTCTTCTTCCTTGAGCATGTCCTGAAGGACAGACCCAATCGAGTAGTACGTCTTATCACCAGTTGCGCCGGATTCGATGTCAGCGATTCCTGTATCCTCGTCGAATGCAGACAGGACAATGCTGCTTTCGATAGCTTTGAGTTTGGACAAAATTTTGGTTTTGAGTTGTTCTTTTGTTGTGGACTGATGAACATAGAGTTCTGATTTGGACCATCTCGCACTCTGAACAAGATGAGGTTTACAGGTTGTTTGAATCTGTCCCGTGGGCCCGTAATATTTGATGCATTTCGGACTGCCAGGGTATGTCTGGCGGGTTGAAAGAAAACAAAGTGGGGATGCACGAAGGATTTATAGGCTGACGACTATGTGCAGATATGACGATGCATGAAGGATCCGCAGGCTGATCGGGATCGGCAGACAACACGACCAAGGACAGTGCGATGAATTAAGCCAACAAGGATCCGCCATTCACTTCAATCAAAGAACCAGTGGCGAATGAGCATCTCATTAGGTAGATATAGGCTTCAGACAGCTCTTCCGGCGTGCCGACACTGTTCGTCAAGCTTCGTTCACGGAATTTCTCCAGAACAGAGGGCAACCTGTCAGCCGGAATATCCTCAAACATTTCGGTGTGTACAGCGCCAGGAGACACACAGTTGACCCTGATGGGGGCCAAATCTACAGCGAGACCCCTCGCGATACCTTCAGTGCCAGCACCGTAGCCTGCGACGGTGGTCCACCCTTNTCCTGGCTTTGTGATGTTTGTCACGCTGGTCAAAGTGATGGAAGAGGATTTGGAGGGTCTCATGTAATTCTTTGCGAGACCGCCGAGTAACAGGGGACCAAGGAAGCGGACGTTGCCCATGTTTTGGATGGTGTCGACTTCAAGGTCAGCGACAGGTCTAATCTTGATGCCATCGCCGGCGGTGAAAACAATATGGTCTAGCAGGTGTGTGGATGTGACCTTCTTCAGCAATTCCCCAAGATTTTGTCGGAGGGAGTCAACATCAGACAGATCGCAAACTTGGCCGTCGACATTTGCTGCTGAGTCTGGCACGGAAGTTTTCAGTCTCTGAAGAGCATCTTGCAGCTTCGACTGGCGTGAGGAGGAAATTGTGACAATGGCGCCCAGAGACAAGGCATGTTCAGCTACACAGAAGCCAATGCCTGAAGAGCCTCCAAGTATCAGCACACGAGAATTTGCGAGCACGCTACTGTATTTGTTCGACATGTTTGATGCTGTCGAAGTTGAGTTGTCAAGGATAAAAAGGGGGTCCGGGTGATGACGGCGCCAAGGTCAGGGACGGACGCGTCGCGTAATCTTGACGGCCAACGACAGCTTGTCGCATCTCGCCTGACCAGCATCACGCATCGCCTTGTCTCATCGCTGTCGACCTTGAAGATTCATAAACTCTCAACAATCCAGCAGTCGCCAGCTCGACTTGTGTCTGCCATGACGACCGACCCTTACTGTGAGCATCTGGCGTCGCCAAATGGCTGGGTGCTCGCTCTTTCCGTGTAATGCTCTCCGCACAAACCACGGCCATCAAGGTGCTGACTCTGTGACCAGNNCCAACTCGTGCTCGGCATTTTGATCTCGTACATCCCACAACATGTCAAGATTATTCGACATGGCACGTCGGCCGGTCTTTCGCCCTGGTGGGTCCTATTGGGCACCATCTCATCTATCGCCGCGCTTGCGAACATCTTGGTCTTGCCGACCAGCCAACATGACATGGCTTGCTGTCGCGAGATTTCTGGCAAGGCCTGTGGTGCTGCACTGTTGGGTGTTGTGCAGATTGGCGTCCAGTGGATTTGCTTCATGACCATGTCAGTCTTGCTCTCTCTTTCCTTTCAAATACGCTGACGAGTGGGATACAGTATGGTGCTCTTCCTCGTCTTCTTCCCCAGAGACGCCTTTGCGAACCCCCCGCCCGAACACCTTCCTCCGGACACACCCCGCAAGCGCGACGCCGTCATTGTCGGCGTAGTCTCCCTCGTCTCTCTCCTCCTTGCCGGTCTCATCTCAACCTTGTTCCTCTACCGCCTACCTTCGCACCTTCTCAGCTGGGCAAACTTCCTCGGCATCCTCGCTGCCATCCTCTCCTCCATTCAATACATCCCGCAACTCTACACCACATGGAAAGCCAAGCAGGTCTTGTCCCTGAGTATCGCGAGTATGCTCATCCAAGTGCCTGGCGCTTTTGTCTTCGCCTTCAGTCTGTGGCTGAGGGTTGGCTGGGAGGGCTGGAGTACTTGGTTCGTCTACTGTGTCACTGGCGTCTTGCAGGGAGCCTTGCTGGTCATGGCCATCATGTTTTACCAGAAAGAGAAGGGAGAAGATCATACCGACCAAGACCCTACCGAGACGGATCCTTTGTTGGAGGCCTCGCGCAGCACCTCTTGATACGAGTCGGCCAACTTCCACGCAGGTTTATACTCCCACTATCCACCATCTACACACTTGCCATCTGCGATTCATGTCCGTGGCCTGGTCTCTGTCCATACTCAATGCGGCGAATCTTCCAATGCGCCGTGATTCTATAGTAGCCCCGCCAGCAGTCCCAACTTTCCCCATGAAACAGAGACAATCAAGGCAGCTTTTGTCAAATCTGAAAGACCGTCGAAGACATGTCACAAAAGCAGTGGGAAGCGGCCGAGGACAAATGCCGACATCCAACGAGTCTGACCGCGTTTCTCTTGATCAGCTATCAGCCAGGACTGTGTCCACACCACCACGGACTTCGCTCCGTGGATAGTCCACGCCGTTTATGTCAACGCGGACAATTCCAATATCCATACTGACAGATCGTCGTGGTTGTCACGATCGACTTCGTCGACAATCGCCTGCGGTGCGGGTATTCTCCTTTCTATCGCATATGCAAATGGCGATGCTAGAGAAGAACTGACATCGGTCTGTCCATCAGTCTGCTTACTGCGCATTTTGCTGTTCGTAGTCAATATCAAGAGCGCAGCGTACTGTCGTTCGTCATAAATCTCGAGTCATGTGTCAAGTCGCGTCTTTCTCTGCTCAGGCAGCACAGCAATGTTCATCAAGCCGCTGATGATGGCGACAATTGTCTCTCACATCGAGGACTCTGGTCGGCTCTGTTTCAATCTTGTCGTGAGAATCCAGATGCGAGAAATGAGAAAGACGTTGCTGCTTTTCGTCGCAAAAGAAAAGAAGGAAGAAGGTCGTCGGCGGTTTGCGGCTTGGCACATCACACCACAAACAGCGTGCACGGGGCACCTATCACGCCGCTCATCACCAGTTCGCAGGATTCTGTCACCTCACCCATCACGTTTTCTGCCAATTTTGCATGCCGCTTCCAGACTCCGTGGTTCGCAAACCGCAGCCGCCCGATGTTCCGAGGGCTGGAGCTATCAAAATGCGACGTTTGCCTTGGCGAAAGCAGGGGAACTGTCGGATTGGGCATATCGCCTGTCATCTGCTGATCTGGTGATACCTGCCAAACGAACGAGGTAGACCGGGTATGTGGAGTGAACCACTGCTGTGGTTCCGAGACTCTATATCTCTCGTACGCAAGCAGTTGTAGGTAGCCAGCTGTCTATAAGTATACTATACCTTCATTCTCGTGTAACACTTTCTCTTCCATCATCAACAATCACAATAACCACATCTCCACTCTACCAATCTCCACTCAACTCGAACAAATCAATCGATCAATTCGATCAAGGGAAACCACTCTCCACAACAAAACTTCAAACCAAACATCACAATGGCATTCAGACCAACACAATCCCGCACCTTCTTCCGCACACTCAGAAACCTGATCCGCGAAGAACATCCCTTCGCACGCAACACCTCTACTCTTCTACCCCACGCTCACGACAACTCTGTGCTTTTCCGCCGCACTTTCCGCACTGCTGCTGCGTTTATCCCTTTCTACATGTGAGTGGTCCTGCCTGTGCCTTGTCCTACTTGGGATAAATAGTTGCTAATCCCTGGAATAGTNACTGTATTAGGCTGGCCCTGGATGGCAGCAGGCGTGCTCAGAAAAACCGGCATCTGACTCTTGATGCCTGTGTATGTTCTTGTTGACGGCATGGGTCCGTCGGAGAGGACTTCTTTTGTGGTGGGGGATACACAGCCGAGCGATCTTTTGGATCGGTATTCTTGAAGAGATCTCCAAAATGAGGATGAGCGATGGAATGACTCGTCTTTTGCAACAGTGGAGGATGTTTACGCGACATGCCTAGGCCTCTTTTTTCTTTTTCTGTGTTTTTTGTTTTGCTGAGTTTTGGGGCTTTGGGGTTTTTGTATATATGCATGGTTTCGGGCGTATTTTCTTCCTGTCTTTTCTGTTCTTTGCTCTAAAGTAGAAGGGAAGATTCTTGTCTAGTGATAGTGGTACTCCAACTTCGAGATCTTTGGGCAATAGAAACATATAACATATACTTTACTTTTGGGTGTTTTGGTTCTTTTTGATCCAGTAATCGCCACATCCATAGCAATTCTCAAAGTTTTCTGATTGCGTGACAGCCCGAACGCGATTCCCGCGTGCTTTGAGAGATTTCTTCAGTATAAATAGCGGAAACCGAGACTCTGCTTGTCTGTCGTATCCTGGAGTCCTGCAAGGATTGCATCACGCTCAATCCGATCAACAGTTTCACCCGAGGCCGCCAGCTTCCTGTCTCTGTGCTTGTTCTCAAAGTACATGTGTGCCCAGAGACTAGCCTTTGTTACAATGACGATTGCATAACAGATGTAAAGCACAGTGGTTGCAGTGGGATATCTCGGTTTCTCGTCAGACAAGAAGATCTTTGGATGTGGCAAAAGGGTATCAGCAAAGATGGCTTGTGCTAGTGGGTTTGAGAGGCAGACAAACTTACATGCGAACCACCGATGTTTCCGGCACCGAAGAAGACAAACCATAGACCATTGGCAACCGACCGCTTTGTGTGTCCGCCAATGTTGGCTGTCATGATGATCCAGGTCAGACAGATCAAGCCCAGTACAAGGAGTTGCAGCCAAGCGCAGCCTAGGAGATCCCAGCGCTGTTCGAGACTCAGGACTCTGCAAGGGATATCATTAGCATATGGATCGAATGTCGTGTATGCACAGCTTTCGCCTTACTTGATTCCAATCAATCCGCCCAAAGGTGGACAACACAGCAAGATGGTAACGAGGCATCTTGTGTTGGGCACAAAAGTAGCGGCCAAACCAGCCAATGGAACGACAACAAACGCAATGGCTCCAAGCGGAAGTTGAAGAAGGGTAGCGCGAATGCCGCTGTAGCCAAAGCCCTCAATCAGCGCTGTCATGAAGTTTGTAACGCCGCCGATGATGATTCCGACAGCTGCTCCCAGCACGGTCGTGCACCATACTTTGTAGTTCAGCACAGCTTCAATGACCTGTTCTTTCTTGTAGTACTTTGACTTGCACCCCGTCCCGTTTCTGGCCACTCGCCAGGCCGCGCAGACCTTTTGTTCGTGGGTCAGGAACCAAGCATTCTTGGGAGAATCTGGCACGCAGAGAAGGAACACCACTCCCCACAAGAAATTGATGCCGCCGACGATAAGAAAGTATAGCTGCCACGGACGGACGCTGGCATACTTGATGTGACCGACTCCATACGAAAGCAGAGAAGACACCATGGCTGCGAGACCGTTGCATCCAAGCACAAGACAAATGCGCAAAGGAGCCTCAGCGCGTGGGTACCACATAGCCACGATATTCATGGCAGACGGCGCAATAGCAGCTTCGAACATGCCAAGGATAAATCTTACTGCTAGAATGCCACCGTAGTTGCTTGTCGCAGCGGTGCACATCTGCAGCAAAGCCCAGACAAAGATGACTGCGCCGGTATACTTGCCGATCGGGACTCTCTGAATGATCAGGTTGGTAGGGAAAGACCAAGCAAGAAAACCAAAGTTGAAGATCGCTGCGGNCCTGCTTCCTCGAGTCAGTCGGGAATGCAGCTTTTTTTTTTTCTCATTCTGTGGATGGAAGCTACTTGCCCAAGCTTACCTGCCATTCTCAAGATTGAGATCCCTGACCAATGCGTAAGCGTTCGCGTAGTTGAGTGCTGTTTTATTCATGAACTGAAGGGAATGCGTAAGGGCGACCTGGCAAAGACTTATCAACGAACGAGGAATAGACACGTAGATGTTCGGATTACTGACAACAGGCAAGACAATAAGATCCAGCTTCCATCGTACAGACTTGCTCAACATGTCCAGCTGGTCTTTGCTATAACCACCGGATTCTGCAAAAGTTCTGCGGCTACGTCTGTGCTGCTGGACTTTGTTTCTCCAGAAAGTTCAGGATGGCGGGTTTCGTCGTCTCTGTGGTCTGCGTTTGTTGGCGTGGTTGATCTGCAAGGGCGACTGCGTGACGAGTGTGCCTTCAGTCCTGCAACAGTCGAAACCATCTTCTAAAAGGTGAACAACAAAACACATCAAAGAGCATAAACCCCTCGAGACCGGAATTTTTGAGGTGCAATAGCAACATCAAGACTTCTTGAACTATTTTATATGTCCACAGATCAGTAACAACGCAATGGTCCCACTACCCCAATAATGGCGTAAATCTACGGCATCTTCATCCGATCGTTGCCGGCAAAGCAAGGTTTTCGAGTCCTGTTAGCCATCAAGGTGGAAACCCAATAGCTGATCAACACGTAAAGTTATTCCCGAAAGTCGATTGTGCCTTTGAAGAGCAAGCAAGGAAGTGATGAACTTGGTTGTCCGCGACGACAACAATAGGTGTATCTAAGACTTCCTGTGCGAGTCGGGCTGGGATGGCTCTGCAACTGAGAATCATGCTTCAGTACCCACGCGAGGCTGATGAGAATACCTAATTATCGGCTCGGTAATTTGGCTTTTATACTTGCCAGCATGGACTAAAATTATTGATGTCAGTGGTAGTAGCCATCATTTTCAGACGATTTTTCATTCTACCCGCAATGTTGGTTGGTACCAAGGCAAATTGCCATAACGAGCCCAAGCAGACAAGGAGAAATCAATGCTGCGGCCAAAAGTTGTGGAAATGTTTTAGTGGCAATTGTGTTTATAATGTTTGCATAAACATTGTCATTGTATGCATGCTCACCTAAAAGAAAAGTCACAAATTGCACACCAAAAACATGAAAGCATGGTATAGAAAGATCTGATTTCTGCATTCCGCTTCCCACTAAAAACCCTCTTGTGTCTGGGGTTCTCACAAAAAGGGAAAAAAGAGTAAGCAGAAATCCCCGTCGTAAGAGTTACATTCTATCTTTGATCCTCCTCAAAACCCCTCTTCTCTTATTTGGTCTGATGAAAGCCACCTCTTCCTGACTTCCTTGAGTCTCCGATACAACCACCAGATTTAGTGCCTGGATGGCTGTTTTGTGTAACTGCTTTCTCGGTGTGCGGGTCGTACAGTTACTGAACAGATTCTGCATTGCTGAATGCGAAAGTGTTTGATTTATGGCATTGGGGATGCTGCGAGCAGAAACGGTATCTGCATAGCAGGGTGGTGGCGGTGTAGCAATAGCTTCAGTATATCCAGGTGGTGATGGAGCAGTGGAAGCATTGCTGTAAAGCAGCATATCCAACTGTGCAGTCGGTGTTATGGCGGAGGTGTATGGTGGTGGAGCCTCGTTATCGGTAGATGTGTATGGTGAATTGTTGGCAGTTGCAGTATATGATGGCGGAGGCACCTGCTGTGCACCGCCTCCCTGACCTGGTCGCTGTTGTTCTCTGCAGTACCTGAGATAAGCTCTCTGTACTTCTTGAGCACTGGCTCCCGAACCAGGCACTGCGTATTCTTGTCTGCGAGCGACTTGGCTTCTGACAGCGCGACGAAACTCCGTGGCGCGAGTGTCGTTGGAGAAGATGTTTAGTATGTTGCTGGAAGGCATGATGGTAAATTTGTTTGAGGTAGAGCTTTCGGGATTGCAGAGTTTGGTGTGTTGGGTTCAGATAGCTTGTGTTATTTGTGGAGTGGATGACAAGCAAATGGGATGAAGATGAAGAAGACAAGGAAAGATGCGAAAACAGGAAGATTTTTATACTTGCTTAGGCACCGACTGCGAAAAGAAAAACTTACTGTAGAAAATGCTCTCATGCGGTGAGTTGGTATGCGAACCAGCTGTTTTCAGAGCGAGGCCTATCATCCAACCACTCCAAAAACACCCAACACCGAGATTAGTGTCTCAGACTCGACAAAACCATGAAACCCGAACCACAGAAACAAACCAAGCCTCATATATCAGGAGGTTTTTGTTATCGCCATCTCCCAAAGCTGAAATATCAAAACTCCCGCAAGCGTCAAATTCACTGCGAGAATATTCGGCCCCTTCCGCCACAACAGCACCGCCAGGCTCCAGTGGAGGGTAGCCTCAAAGAGAGGATGTCCAGGAGCCAGTATGTGTGCAGAGTCGTCTTTCGCAGTTGATATGGTCTCGAGTGCTTGATTGTCTGCTTGCCAAGATCTTTCCTCAGTGTCATGCTCAGGAGAGAGTTGACGGCGGTCGCTGCTTTGTCACTATGAATACTCATAGACAAAAAGGAAAATAATCGGAAGCAGACGATAAATGCCTTGGTGCGGTTGCACTTGGGATAGAAATGTGTCTCGGCAGCTGTCGCGACGTCGCAAAGGTGGAAGAAAGCACCAACGTTGGCGAACGTCGACGGCGAACGCCAAGCAAAATGGTCGATAGGTATCTCGACGGTAGGAGTGAAGGAGCCACCAGCAACGACTTGGACGAAAGATTAATTTATGATAATTCTATCCCTACAAAATCATTATATAGCTACAGAAAGCCAAAGATCGAAAACTCCATGCTTGTCAATACCATCCCAAATGGTATCTCCTGAATCACACCCATATGCCCCACCATGACGCCTTCGACTATATACACATGCGACCGTTTAGTCATACAAAAGAAGCTTCTCATCATCTTCATCCTTTCACAATAGAGGATCTGCCGGTCTTGCCCTGTTGTACCCTGCTGACCAATTCCTCCATCTGTGGCACCAGCTCAGGGATCCTGAATGGTTTCGTGACAACGCTGTCCATGCCATGATCAATGGCAACGGCAATCTGTTCACTCCTCGCGTTCGCCGTTACGGCGATGACAGGAATGTGACCGATTATACTGCCTTCGCTCTGCAGGCTTCTGATTCTTTTGACTGTTTCAAGACCACCAAGAACTGGCATCTCCAGGTCCATGAGGACGACAGAAAGAGGGATAAAGTCGGATTGCGGTACGGTCCTCGGACTCGGTGCTTCTTCATTACGTGCTGGGAGTGGGCGGTATGCCCAGAAAGAGGTCTTGCGAATGAACTCCAGAGCCTCAAGACCATGGTTTGCGAGATGAACTGTACAGCCTAGTCGGCGCAACTGTTGAGACATGACCTATGAAGCAATATTAGCGGAGATGCAACCATTGTGATATTTGGAACTCACCCGTTGGTTGATAATATTATCCTCTACCACAAGGACATGGAGATGTGGCTTCTCCTGGGTAAGATCGTGAGCCACCGCAGACATCTTGCGGATCACATTTTGGGTCTTGTCGTGTTGAACCTGGTCGACAGTTGCTTCGAGGGAGTTGGAAGCAGGGTCCCGAGTATAGGTAACGGACGTGTTGAGTGTTGGAGTAGTTAATTTCCCTTCTGTGACTGTCTCATCGTCGTCAACGGCTCTTCTGGCTTTGATGTAGAAGCTGAAAGTACTGCCTCTGTCAGGCTCGCTGTGTACACCAATTTGGCCATCTTGAAGGTCTGTGAGTTCTCTTGAGATGAAGAGGCCGAGACCACTGCCTCCGTATTGCTTGTATGTTTTGGGGCTGGCTTGAGAGAAGCGGTTGAAAAGCAATTTTAGCTCTTCCTCATTCATGCCCTTCCCACTGTCTTGAACAGATATTGACAAGAATAATTCATCACCAGTTCCCCATTCTGCCGTGAAGTGATGTTCGGGCCTATTCGCGCGGAAGGGAACGAAAGAAGCTCCATACATGCCCTCCTTCGGTCGGGTCGAGGAGGCATCCAAGTGTACTGTAATCTCNNCCTTGCGGCTGGCGAATTGGGTAAATTTGATGGCGTTGGTGAGAAGATTGATAATGACCTGCAGTAACCGACTAGAATCAAGCATTACTTTGCCGACGGCCAAGTTGCGGAAGCCTTCATGAACACGGAGGGAAATGCTAATTTTGGCTCTAATCAGTTCGGCTTCATGCATCTTGAAGCATTTCTCCAGCAAACATGGCATATCCACCGTGTCAGGTGATACAACTAGCAGATTTGAGTCAAGCTTGCTCAGGGTCAAAATGTCATCCACGATACGACCCTGATGCTGTGCGCAAAGAATGATAGTTTGAGCCGCATCGAGAACGGTTTCGAGAACATCACCACCAAAAGTTGTTGTTCCAGCTGTGATGCCTAGACGATTGTTGTTCTCGAGGGTTGTCAAAATGCCATCGGCAGATTGTAAGATGGCTGACAACGGGTTGCGCATCTCGTGAGAAGTCATGTCGATGAATCGGTCTGCTTGACGTTTGTGTTCGAGAGCGTCCTCCAGCTTCTCGCTCAGCAGACGCTCAGAGGCCTTTTTCATGGATATTTCTGTGACAAAGCCTTGTATCGCAACGACTGAACCATCGATGCCAATCTCAGCTATGGCTGTACCCTGAAGCCAGGTCTCGCCACTCATCTCGAGACCAGTTGCCTCGTCGAAGTATTTCCAGGGTTTCTTGATACGATATTCGAGGTTTAGTGGAATGCCTCTCTCAGCCAAGGCTACCCATGCTTCGCCGACCTTGGCTTGATCATCATCATGGATCCTGTCGCCCCAGCCGAGACCTCGTCGCTGAGCTTCCTCAAACTCTTCTCTAGTGAAGCCGAGTATTCCAAAGTATGCTTCATTGAGATATAAAGGTTCACCAGTGGGCTTCAAGAGATACATTCCCAAAGGTGCATCGGCAGCTAGACGAGCAAATCTTGTTTCCGACTGTTCGACCTCGATCTGTTGAATTCGAGTCTTTTCATGATATTTGCGATCGCTGACGTCGAGCAACCAACCCTGAACATGAACGATATTACCATCTTCATCCATTTCCGGTGCTGCGGTGGCCAAGACCCAAGTATCGCCTTCGAAAGTCTCTCCCGAGATGGGATCGGTCAAGGACCATGGACGGATCACGCGATATTCGAGAGTGAATGACTGCTTGTCCTCCAAACACTGGAGCCNAGCATTCATGACTCTCTCACGATCGTCAGAGTGTATGTACTCGGCGGGATCGGTCTGTGCCTCGATTGACCTTTCATTGATACCGGTGATATCCAGATAGGCTTGGTTGTGGAAAGTGGTACGCGAGTCTGGGGTAATGGCGTACATTCCTATGGGGGCCATCTGGGCCATGCGTGCAAATCGACTTTCCAGACGCTCGGTTTCGAGAGTTGTTGCACGAAGCTGTTGAGCCAAGGAAGCTTCAATTTGTTCGAACTTTTGACGAGCGCGACGTTGTTCATCGGGAAGACAGATGGCTGAGGCAGACTTGACCAGGATATCGCGGAGGTAGTAAGCAAACATGGCGGCTTCGGAATCGTATGGTCGACGCGGAGTCATTGCCAGAGTCAGGAAGGCCATTGTGTGGCTTCCTGTCATGTCCGGTAGAGGAATGATGCAGACGGTTTGGACTTTGTCACCCGAGGCTCGGCCAGGAACACCTTGGTTGAGAATTTCTGGCAGACTGCCATCTTTGAGCTGCAAGACAACAACGTCGTCGGATTTCCAGGCCCTGTAGCAAGCACGGGCAAGAGGGCTCTGGTCGTTTGCGCAGTCGGCAAGATCAAAGGTCAGAGGCACGGCAGGATGACCAGCGGCAAGGCCGATAGAGCCTTCAAGGGCGTAGCGTTGTGGACTGGAACCGGAACAGGCCGACATGCTGTCTGGTACAGACGAATCGGCGACAGCAGCGTGGTTTGTGTGGAGAAGGGCATATGGAATATCGTCCTTGCAAGACTCAAGACCCTCGAGGAACTCGAACCACAACTCTTTGACACTGTTGACTCTGGCAATCGACCTGTTGATCTTGACAATGGCGTCTCTGCGACGGTCGCTGATGACTTGATCTGTGACTTCGGAAAACTCATCGGTGATGCCAATAGTAGAACCATGCGCGCCGATGACTGGAATCAGGTTGAAAGACCAGAAGGTGTCCTCGGGGTATCCATTGCGCTCCATGACGAGAGGCAGCTTATTCAGACGGGTGCCTCGTCCTTCGGTTTGCACGTACTTGAGCAAGTTTTGCATGTCGGGCCAGATGTCAGACCAAGTGTTTTCAGCCTTTGAGCCAAGGGCACGGGGGTGTCGCTCGCCGAACATGGATATGCAGGCCTCGTTGTAGATCATGATGTGGTCGTCACCCCAGAGCAGTAGACGGGGGTCTGGGTTGGCCATTGCCGAGAGGACAGCCTGGCGGAGGGCATCGGGCCAGGAGTGGATGCTGCCGATGCTTGTGTCTTGCCAGGGGAAGCTGCGCACGAGGTGCATGTGGGCCGACATGGCGGGAGAGGGAATGCGCGTCCAGTCGAGGTAGCGCTGGCCACCTTCATCCGAGACGGTGCGCCATGACGACGAAGCGACCGACTGGCGACGCGAGTCGGATGAGGATGTGCCAGTGTTGCTGCTGCTGTGTTGGGATGCGGCGCGGGTATTGAGGCTGTTCTGCGACGAGGTGCGTGCTGGCGCTGCTGCGCGGTGCGTGATGGGAGGGGAGGGAGCGACGGGACTATCTTCTTGGGCGCTGGCGACGAGCCATTTGTGGTTTTGCAGTATACAGTTCCATGCTCTTCCTCCGTAGGTTGCGGGTTGTGGGTGTGGTTGTAGTTGTTGGCTCAAGGCGGTGGCCCAGTCGCGAAAGTGCTGGAGGTTCCATGTGCTGGCGAGCAGTCGTTCGAGGGCGGGATTGCGATAGGCGATGTAGCCGGCCGCCGTGTCGATGATGCACGTCGGTCGTGGGTCGTGTTGTAGAAAGTCGACGAGACCGAGTTCACCCAGCGCAGCGTCTTTGGCGGTGCGGATGGGCATGTTCGCCGTGCTGAGGACGTGGTCGTCGCTGCCATTGGGAGAGATTGCCTCGGGCCGCGCCCTCTTCTTGGACGTCCTGTCGGCCGCCATGACTGCAACTACTCGTACCTGCTCCTACCAGCACTCTGCATGTCCAGATCCTGTGTGAGGGCTCGACGTCCATACTCGTACAACCAGATCGACCATCGGCCAAACTTAGCCTTTCAACTGCAGCAACGCGTCCCGGTCTGGGCCCAGGTCTGTCAATTACACAGGGCCATCCCGCGGCCAACCGCCTACCTTTTTTGTAAAGACATTCCAAATCATCTGTCTTCCTTAGCACGCCATCTGTATATATTCATGTCAGATATGGCAATTGCAAACTTTCTGCTGCGATGAACACGACCGTGGCTTTGGGAAAGAGCGACCCTTCGGACCGCCGACCGACTGGCCCAAAAATGCCCTCAGACCCCTCGCTTGGCAGGGACCATCTTGCATAATTCTTCCTGCACTTTGGAAATTGTGAACCTACGAGACTTTGCCGAACATCAACAACGGCATGCTCTCCTGAACAAACGTCTCTAGTGGACTTTTTCATCACCATCGCTCGTCAAACAAACATCTTCTTTACTACGATAGCAACATCGTAGCCCTCAGAAGTCAGCAACAGCCTGACCGGGCCTGCATCATGTACCGCACCACAAACTCTCCCCTTGCGCATCTCATGCAGCGAGGTAAATGCGTCAGCCACGCTCCTGCAAATATCTGAGGTTCTCCCTCTCGCTCGTAATGTCTGACTTCCATTGTCTTCTTCTCTCAAGCACATCGTAATCATGATATTATTCGATGAACTTCCTGAACTCATATTCACTTCGTCATCAGACCGTGATTCATTGACAACTGCAACACCAGTCGACTCTTCTGACCTCAGCTCGTCAAGCAGAGGGATATCATTTGAAGAGCTGCAGAATCTGCCCCAAGAACCTCCCACAGATACAACTCGTCTCAAGACTATATCTCCTCGGACAAGCACTCCCGAGACCACTCCCGAGACCCCTCCGCAATCTCGCCCGTCATCATCAAAACTCCAGCCGGGTACTCCGGATACTCCAATCTGGACATCTACTCAATGCATATGGTTTTTGATACTGTTCACCGTCGTTTCTCCGGCCCTCGGTGTCTTCTTGCGCTTCGAATTCAACAACCCCTCGTACAGAGGCGTTGGAGATAATTCAACACTGGGATGGAGTCACAAGCCTGTGGTATCGCCTTCCTGTCGCGTCGCTAGGAAGTACACAATCGATCCTGATAGTTTGCCAGTTGCTTCGTCGGTGCTGGATTGCGAAGTTCCTGGTTATGGTGCAAGAGTTGGCGGTGATGATCACCACATCGCAGACGCTGTTAAGGCCTTGTCACATGTTCCCGATCGACTCTTCCAGGCTCAAAACTTGATACATCGCTATCATCGCGATCTTGGTGCCCTTGCAGTTGAATACGAATTTCCCATCAGCCCTCAATCGATCTCTGCGTCCTCGATAGATTTACTGACTGATGCCATGACCAGCTACTACATTCACATCCACAGAATGCTTTGTCAGATACGTGATACATCGAATGGAACACTCAATTCCCAGGCACAGGTGGCCCCATTCACTTTGACATGGTACAACAACAAAGTTTACCGCGACCTTGTAACAAGCATCGCCGCTTTGGAAACAGCGGAGATGATTATTCGAGGCAGACATACAGAATGTAGAGAGATCATGTACATGAGCCTGACCTCCATGGCATTGGAAGTTGTCTTTTCAGAGTGGTCCTTGACCGATACTCTGGAAGGTATCCTTATCGAGTCTCTGAGCTTGCTTGACCAAATCGACCAGGCCATCAAGACTGGAATCGCAAGCTTGAAAACAGTTGAGCAAAGTATGAGCTTCGTTGATCCGCTCTCGGAAGAAATCCACACCGTCAGTCACATACACATCAGCAACCTTCTTGTCGATGTAGAAGAGACTTCTAGATTATCGTCAGCTCTCGTGGTGCGGATGGAGAATCAGTGGAAGAACTCGACATTCAAGAGATAGGATCTTTAACCAGGGCTTCCATATGCGTACCTTTGATCGGACGCATTGCTATGCATTGATCCTCACCCTTACTCCCCGCACTCATGATCTCATAGAATGACGACTGGTCTCCCGATCTTTGGATCAGAGACAAAGCTTCTGGCAAAAGCAATCTGCTAGAAAAAGCCATATCGATTGAGATGGTCTTCAAACGCAGCCTTTGTTTACTTCTCTTACACCTCTTCTGAGTGCCTGGTCGGGTTCGACCGTCCAAGGTGATCTCGTGCAGCAAAGTATCATAGGTATTGAATGACATATTCGTGGCTGACAATATGAGTGCTATACGAGGTCTGCTCTTCGTCTCTGCAACAGATAGTGACATGGCTGCCTCCAGCTTAGGTATACATAGAGTGTTAACTGATGTGGTGATTGGGAATGTTTCCACTGAGTTGGCATCAGGTTAGATTGCTTGACAAACATGCAGCAAGAATAAGTTTCTAGTTAACAAGGGATTTAGGAAAATCTGTCGATATCGAGCAGATTGATAGGCAAGAGCTGTCTGTTTTTGTATTCACTGGAAGGCGCGATTGGCGGCCAGGCGGCGTCGTTTATAATCAGCTTTGTTCACATGAGTCACCATCCGAACAACAAGATCTAAGCTTTTGAGCATTCCATCACCAATAGTGAAGGCAGCGGCTCGATCGGAGCCTTTCATACTATCTAATGATAGATGCGCGAATGCTTGGCGTCTTTCCAACCCTACCGCACGCACCGATTGTATACGCGGTGGAATTGCTGCTTGTTTGTCACTTTCGCAACTCTGATTTTTGTCACTTTCACAACTCGGCTTTGTCCATTCCGGAACTCTTCTATTGTCGATTGCGCAACTCTTCTTGGTATCTCTTCCAATTCTTCTTTTGATCGCCAGCTTCACGACGGGCACCGCTCTAAGATCTTTGTCGGTCCTGCAACACTGAGATCCTAGTCGTTCTTGCGGCATTGCACCTCTGGCGCTCAACTATCCCTCCAGCAACTCCAGACGAGCAGGTACAATGAGACGATTCACCTCAAGCTCACGCAAGATGTCACCGAAACGATATCCTTGGGACAGTGATTACAACCCCAGCCAAGAGGACCAAGACATTGAACCTCTGGACGATTACAAGCCTGGTGGCTTTCCAGTAATCCACATCGGTGATTTACTGCATGACAATCGATATAAGATCGTTGACAAGTTGGGTCATGGCGGATCATCGACCATGTGGCTGGCATCGTGTGTGCGAACCAACGAGCTTGTCGCCATCAAAGCACTCAAAGCCACTGACTCGTCCGGCGCCGAAGAAGCCAAATCATGTCGCGCTTCACCGGAAAGTCCGACATCAGACAGCTGATCGAGTCTTTCAGAGAGTCAGGACCAAACGGAGAGCACACCTTTCTCGTTTTAGAGCCTGCACTTTGCAGTGTCCGCGATGTCAAAGGCCATACACTTCTTCCGTTACCCTTCGCACGCAGGCTAATCGCCGACTTGGTTGTTACTGTCCAAGACCTGCATGCACAAGGCATAGTCCATGGTGGTATGTTCATACGAAAGAAATGATCGGTTCTTATCTTCTGTGGCTGACGTGCAATCCAGATATTCATACTGGAAACATCTTGTTGCGTCTTCCGGATGAAATCAGAAAATGGATCTTCATGCTTTGTATGACCGCATAGGTCGTCCAGAGACAGAAGCTGTTACCAGAAAGGATGGAAAGCCGCTTTCTCGACATGTTCCGTCTCAGGTCGTGTACCCATTGGCTTCATTGGATTTCGAAGGACTCAAACCACGAAACATCTCTCCATCACTGCATCTGCCCGCAAGACTCCCTGGCTTTGGCGAGGCCTTCGAGCCATCTAAGACCAGGCGCGATTTTGCTCGTACTCTTCTGACTTCGATGCCACCTGAGTCCTTCTTTTCAGAGAAGGGTATCGGTTGTATATCTTTCCCTTCGGAGATCTGGACCTTGGCCTGTACTTTTATCGACATCATCGGTGATGGATCGCCATTCAATGGGGAACCCGCCATCGCTGTACAAGTCCTGGTCCTTGGCAAGCTGCCAGAACACTGGTGGTCTCAGTGGGATGATCGATCCAAGTATTTCGACGCCGACGTCACAACATATCTGCCTCACAACTGCAAGATAGAGGAACTAGGAGACACCAGTTTAGAGAAAGCCTATGATAGCTACGTCACTGGGCTCCGGGTCCGGTGCAAACAGCAGATATTCGGACCAGAAGAGAGACATGCATTCCTCGACATGCTGGCTTCTATACTGGTATACGACCCAATGCAGCGTGCGACCATTGATCAGATTGCCGAGTGTGAGTGGATTCAAAATGGGCCCGCTTTTGACGGCAACTGGAGACATTCAGCATTTGACTGGTGTCCATCCTATCTACCCTCGATCAGACATTGCATCAGAGCTCTGTCAGATCTTTCTTTGGCTAACAGGCCAAATACTAATGCCACCAAGTTCCCGCAGCAGTTTGCAGCACGACACACCTCCTCTCTTTTTTACCCCCCCCCCCCCCCCCCCCCGATCGAGTTGCGCATTCAAGCTCGATATGAAGTACCAAAAGAAAATCCTACCGCATTCTCTAATGCAGCACGGCAATTGAGAATCATCGTCAAGGCATACGCCTGTCTAAGCGCTCTGCCCACGGTCGAAACATCTTCTCCTTCCAATCTCCTCTCAGTCTCTTTTCACACCCCTCTCGCTCTTCTCAAGGCAGTATCAGCTGCGCCCACTATCATCCAATCGAGATCGACATTTCGAGCTTTGAGGTATCAGAAGGCCCTCGACTGCGAAGTCTCTGTTACTGCGTTCGGAGCTTGGGATGAGACTTGCTTGTCTCGTACGTCGTGTGGAATGTAAGCATCCTACCCGATGCCGAACACACCAGCCTTCCGCATCCGGAAGTCGCAACAACCATACTACCTGAACTGTAGCATCAATAGATAGCATCAATGATATTTTCTTCTATCACATCATCCCAAGGGCTCACCCAATAAATTCCTCGTGTCTGACCGTAAAGAACATAGAAACATGGCATACTGGTCCAGCACCAATTTCGACCAATACGCGAAACACGATTTGTGGAATGTAAAACCGCGATGGCAAGAACTCGCCGAAATATCCTCATCTTTCCCTTCCGCGACAACACCGCCATCGAGTCGTTTCAAAGCACATATGGCTCCAACTCCTGATCACGTCGATGGTGAACCTCGATACCTAACAAGGAGGACACGCCAACTGGACCGCAATGGAACAATCACAAGATCAGGCGCCGCCCGTTCTCGTTCGCGGTCGCGAGCTGTACAACCATGGATGCGGACTTCCAGAAACCCTTCCAACAGCAAACAACACAGCAAATCATTTCTGGGTTGTACCTACCAACACACGCCGTCGAAACGTACGATGTTTCTCTCGTTGTTGGCTCTGATCAACATCCTCCTATCTTGGTTCGGGCTCGGCTTCTTTCCTTACTTGTCTAGAAATATCGCTGGCTCGGTTGTGAGAAGAGTCTGGATGCCTCACGATAAGATTTCCAATGTAGATCTCAGGCACAGATTGTGTCAGATGCCTCTAGTGCCGAGGATCTGGCATTGTGGTGAGCCGACTGGGACAGATACGATAGCGCGACACCAATCGATTCGACGTGCTATTCCCGGCATTGCATTTGCCTTGTCGGAGAACCCGGATGCCGTTGACGAAATCTTGGATACACTAGAGGATATGAAAAGGAGTTCGCCACAATGCAAGAACATGCGCCTTTCTATTTCAAGTAAGATAACCGCAAACAAACCATCTCATCCCTCCTCAACTCCACAATCGACATCGAAAATCGGATCTTGAAGTGGGATGCAAACAAAGACCTCTTAATCAACGGCATATTTCACGACCTCAACACCATTACCGTCAAGCAGAACTGGGAAACAGCTTTGGGTGAAAAATGGGCAAAAGCGATGTTTCCTATTCAGGCAGAGTTCTCAAAGGCTGTAGCAGTAACTCTGGCTGATATTGCAATGGTGCTTGAGGACTTGCTCAATAACCTCGAGATTATGGAAGAGTCCTGGGGTGTTCTTTTGGAGCGGACGAGTGCGTTGATCGACCCCAAAGAGCATGTCGCAGACAACAGGAAGCATGGTCAGATGTCCTCACTCAAGGGTTTTCTGCTGTGGTCTCTATCTCTCACCAACACACAGCCTTCAAAGTCACAACGTCAGACCAACCTCCAACGGCAACAGCAACTCCTCAACAAAGTTCAAGATGTAGAGCCACAACTCAAAGCCATACATACATCAATCCACAAAGCACATGTGTTGGCCGTAATATCAAGAGCACTCATCGAGTCCCGGACAAACTCTCGGTTGGCGCGGCTTGAAAGCTTGATCAGAATCCTGGGTGGCCCGGATACCTTCCAGAAGGATTTGATGGATGGTGTGCGGGAGACGGCTCAGATGGCACTCATGCTGTTGGAGCAAAAGGTGCAACGTACGGACAGAAAGTATCAGAGGTCACTACTTAAAGCGGAGGCGAAGGATACAGTGGCATAGGGATTGAAGCAGAGATCGGAAAGGTTTATGTAGAGAGAGCCAAGTCAGGAATGTATGGTTATGAGGTCCAATCTTGTAGTGACTTCCATTCCAGATGTGTTGTCTTCTTGGACATCAGCCTGGTCAAGTTATCCAAAATCTAATCTTGATTTGCCTAAGTATGGCAAACCGTCAAACTTGAATGATGATATTCTGGGAATACTTAGCGTCTGCCAGAGGGTCCGAACAATCTCTCGTTGTAATTGATGCATCGCAGATTCGGAAGAGTAAGGACAGAGGTGCATCAATGCCTCTCGAACGCAGACATACACTGCAATCGCGAAGTTGACCAAGGAAACATGATGTAAGATATCCTACACCATCGTTTTGTTGAACAACGAGATTAAAATATCGTGTTGTCAAGTGCTGTAGTCTGGGGTTGACAGGCAAAGAAGCTTGACAGGCAAAGAAGCTTGACAAGCAAAGAAGCTTTGTGGAGAGAAGCGGCAGACCCGCGGGGCAGCCACGAGCCGCCGACCATGACGACACTCAGGACTCCGTCTCCGTTCGTCCATGACACCCCTCCAGATATGCTTTATGGAGTATATGTATCGCCAGATCTAGGGCAAACCCCCATCTCGATGAGATTGCTTCTTGGTAGATGCGTGTCACGACCCTAAACGTCATACTCGTATCTTGTTAACTGAATTCATCGAACTTTTCTTCGCGAACACTAACGAGACGTACAGATCTGTTCAAGTACAATTCACTACCTGTTGGTCTCCAGCGACAGCCTATGCTGACTCAGAGATGTGCTTTTGCTTGCCCGACATGTAGAGTTAGCCCGTCGACACACCACACGGCTTGCACGATCGAAGGTTCTGAAGATCATCACATGCGCCGCTGATGTAGAAGGAATTTCCGCATATCATGTTTATCTGGACAGAACTCCGAACCTTTCGTGGCTCGTTTGAGGGTTGACGGCTGGTTCTTTCTACGTCAAAGATCTACACGCAGTGCTATACATATTTAGTTCCTCTATCTCTATCGCAATCCTACACCTCTATCTTAGTTTTACTGATTTTGATAGTAACATCATATTCATGGCTTTTTCACACACTGGTTTTCTTGGGGATCGCATGACTGGCAAAGCGCTGGAGATAGGCGTTTGTGCTACAGCGTCTGCTGGATTCCTGCTTTTCGGGTATGGTGAGTACACACACACCTGTCAATTCTTCCAAGCATGACTGACACANCTCACAGATCAAGGCGTCATGAGTGGAATCATTACAGAACCAGGTTTTCTGGCCGTCTTCCCGAAAATGAATAGTAATTACAAGAGAGGGGCAATTCAGGCGCTCGTTGTGGCCATCTACGAGATCGGATGTCTGCTGGGCTCTTTCTTCATCATTGGCTATGGCGACCGACTTGGTAGAAGACGCGCAGTCCTCGTCGGTGCCTTGATCATGCTTGTCGGAACAGCTATACAGGCTTCATCCACCACGCTCGCCCAGCTGATCGTGGGACGGTATGACCCCTTTCCCAAGACACCGGTGACCTTCCTATTGAACCCTTGAGACAGAATCGTGACCGGAGGAGGCAATGGAATGAATACGAGCTCCATACCAGTCTGGCAATCGGAGATAGCACCNCCCAAAATTCGTGGTTTTTTGGTCCTCTTCGAAGGGGCGCTCATAACAGCTGGTGTAGCCTTATCTTATTGGATAAACTACGGGTTCTGGTTCTACGATAAGAGCTCCTTCCAGTGGCGCTTCCCCATAGCCTTCCAGTTCAGTTTTCCCAATCGTTCTTTTCGAGCTCATACTAACTCTGCCTTCTCGTTAGANGCCTTCTTCGGAATTATCCTTATCATCGGCATTTTAGCCTTTCCGGAATCTCCTCGATGGCTGCTCAAGCACGGCAAGGAGAAAGAAGCTATTCAGGTCATGGCGCGTCTCAAGCAATCAGATGTTGACGATGAGGACCTGAAGAAGGAGGTCAACGAGATCAAGAAGATCAACGAAATCGCAGCAGGCACGAAACTTACGCTCAAAGAGTTCTTTTCGAATGGGAAAGACATGAATCTGTGGCGCGCATCAATCGCTTTTCTGGCACAAGCATTCCAGCAGATTGGAGGCATCAACCTTGTCACTTACTGTGAGTCCAAAAGCAGTCTCTAGCGTATATGTCCATCTCTAATCATCTCAGATGCGACTGTTGTTTTTGAGGACTCTCTCGGCTTCGACCCAACATTCGCCAGGCTGCTTACTGGTGTCTTGGGCACAGAGTATTTCCTCGCTGCTCTGGTCGCTCTGTTCGTCGTAGACCGTCTGGGTAGACGCCGACTCATGATGTGGAACGCAGGAGGAATGGCTCTGTGCATGATGGTAGCCGGCATTGGCCTTTCAACAGGCACAAAAAGCGGTGCATACGCAGCAACCGTCATGATATTCCTTTTCAACACCTTCTTTGCCATCGGCTGGCTTGGAATCACCTGGCTCTATCCAGCAGAAGTCACTCCCATCCGCATCCGAGCCGAAGCCAATGGTCTTTCGACATCGGCGAACTGGCTCTTCAACTATGCTGTTGTACAGCTCTCGCCCATCATGATCAATTCGATTGCATGGAAGACATACTTTGTCTTCATGTGCTTCAATTTTGCTTTCATCCCCGTTGTATACTACACTTTCGTGGAGACTAACGGTTACAAACTGGAAGCAATGGATGAGATCTTCCACACTGCCCATCAGAATGGCGAGAATCCTGTCAAGGTCGAAAAGAGAGTTCGCAAGGGTAACACTGATGCGTTGGGTATCCTGGAGAAGAGGTCGTCTGTAGGAAGCAATGGTGAAAAGTTGGAGGACGAGAAGAAGGAAGATGTCAACGCAGAGTAATATATACTGCTGACCAGGTCATCTAGAAATGCCAAATACTCGACTTCCAAGAACCCCTGGTGTCATGTAATTGTGCATCACTGTTGTCCGAAGGGATATACCCTGAGATTTCTTACTGTCAGATGTGCTGTGATATTTTGGCTGGACGGTAGTCGTCAAGCATTAGTAACTGTGAGTTTTGTGAGCATAGCACAACCATTGCCTCGTTTCTTTCTTCCACATCCTGAACTTCGAGGTGCACGAGTCACCTGATCGATAACCAAGGCTTACGTACTTGAGTAGTTCAGCTGTCTCAAACCCACCTTTGCTTTTCCAACTTGTTCCTGCCACGTGAGATTTCTCCCCGCCTGCTCTCAATCTTCACGTCAGATTCTCTTCCCATTCGCTCGAATCCTCATTATTGGATCCTTTGCTTGCCGGCGAACCTAGTCTCGTGGTGCGCGGCATATATCTTGCTCCTAGAACTTCCTAACAATCCTTCAACACTTCAACATCCAACAGTTCTGTCGCATTCTGCTCAGGTAGAATTTTTGACATGGCCGTCGCGTCCGCGAATTCTACTCCGATGATAACAGGACTTCTTTCCATAATCCGAACAACGGTCTGGCTTCTTAACAAAACGAACCTGGCTTGTGGCTTTCCAAGTCTTTGGGTACTGTCACCTGTCAGTCCCAAGCATCGGGTTTTATTCGCACTTTGTTGCAGCCTTGTCACCACGACAGTATATGCCCTTGCTGAACACATCGCCGTTATGTCCCTTGGGTCATCGCCGCGCTCTCCATGGATCTGGATTGTCAGTCTGAGCCCAATGCACCTTTGGTGCGCTAATCTTGCCTGATGTTCCGCCAGGTGATCTGTCGATCCCAAATAGAGCACCAAGAGAAAAGCGATGGTGAACAACATCGGAAACACATCGCAAACGCCCACTCTTGGTCAATGGCAGTTTCACTTGCTCCCGCCGCGATTCTCAATGCTACTACTAGTGCTGCCATGCTTCTTCTGGAGAGAAGGTTTGATCAGTCCTGGTCCCATGGACAAACGCCACTCACGCAGATTGTCCTAGGATGCTTCACCATGGCGATCTTCATAGGATGTCGCTATGCTGACATTATGATCCTTCAATCGTCGCATGTGCTCTGCGGATACGACATACTCATCGGATTAATCGGACTTCTGTCTCTCTTCGCCGTGCGAATGCTATGTGGTGCACTCACGTCAGTGTCGGCTTTCAACCCACCAGCATAAGGAGGTCAACAGGTTTCAATCAATCAGTTAGATAGAGAGTGTGGTTATATATCAACTCCACATCGCGTTGTCTGCACGTACCTGTTGACAAGATCTTATGATGCGAGGACTCGCTCTGGCTATGCCAGATACTCATCCACATTGTATTCTCAAACGTACGAAGAGACGCCAACCGCCACGCCGCAAGATGCATCTATACCAACTGAATCATGATTCGCAAGTCACTATCACACTGATCAGTTTTCTTGGATTTGACAGAAAGTAGTGTTCGCGTCTATGCCTTCTGCTCGATCCTTTCCATCTCTTCAGCTGCCTCTCTCGCAACACCTCGACAATGATCGTCAATATCCATCTGCTCCGCCAGTTCCATGAATCTCTGTTTGACTTGCATCCACTTCTCAGGGGATGACCCATCCCAATTCCTAACTTGGCTCTCTTCCGTGGTCTCTTCCTTAAAACAAAGGTCATGAACCACTTGACCACTGATCGTGATCCACGCCGCAGCAGGAGGAATAAACATCTTCCACTCGTCAGCCATCTCTCTGGTCTCGTCGAAAGGCTGCATTATGTTTCCAAAAGCCCTGTCTGCGTAGTACATGCTTTTGGACATTTCGGGCCTGGTCAGCAAAGTCGCGGCGAACGTATGAGAACTAAGGTGGCCGGGTGCTTTGGCGTGCCATTCTGCATACGTGGAGTCCTCAGTGTTGAGATCCAGATCTGTAACTATTGTTAGATGACGGTTGGCTCACATGAAGTTTGGACACCATGTACCTAGGCCATGCTCATAGAAAACCCAACCAAATTCTGGGAACCCTCGCCAGATGATGTTGCCACCGTATGTCACCGCGTACCCAGCCTTGTTGATCACATCGGGAAGCTGCTTGATGGCAACAACCAGATCAACCAACTGCTGCGTGTGGGATGTACCGAACCATCTCGAGGCATCAGCGAGTTTTCCCCAGATGAACCACACACCGAACCTGTGGCCAGTGACAAGGCGAGGGGCGAGAATGTTGTTGAACTGTGATGCGGTGGCAGAGCCCGAAGTTTGGTTGTTGAGCAGTGACTCAAAAGCTGTAATGACAAGATGATCCTCTTCTTTGTCAATGGGGTTCTTAGCCCATTTCCCGATCGACTTGTGTTGATCCTCTGTCCAGGAAGATACCGTGGTGTACATGGTTGAAGTCAAGTAACTGTTCGGGGCTCTGAAATCCCTCCTGGGTTCTGTCGTGACTGGGGAATTCATAAGACAATAACACTTCTGTTCGATTATTTAATACCACTCCGTCTAAGTGGCGACGGTGTACGTTTTAGGGAAAGAATCGAAGGGGTGAGTCACGAGAGGGACATTTCTTGGCCCCGGATCCTACCTGCATCTTATATTCGCCCGAAACAGAAAGCAGTTCGTATATCGACGACCAGTCGTGGGTTTTCATCCGTCTGTGTGGACGCAGTGTGGCCGTCGGACGAACAGTAGTTCAAGAGGGTTAATAGAATGGTGTCGGGGGTAAAGTGCGGAAAGCCAGGCCGGCGAAACGTGTTTCCCGAACTCGCTTGAGCGGTCAAAAGTCGTGTCATCGTACTTCTGAGAACCACTAATCTCGCTGATATTCCGCTTTAGAGGTCCGTCGGTGAGTGGCCCAGCACCCAAATGCCCTCTTTAAGAGTTCAGGCGCTTGCAAATGATGAATGAAAATGTATGATTAGAAATTATGAATACTCAAGGGCTGTCGATCCGGCAGCATCATTATGCAATATGCGCTCCCCATTTGACACCATTCTCCGTCTTGTCCTCGTCCTTCCCAGGCCACATGATTTCTCCTTTCCAAATAGCTCGGATGTTTGCAATCGCAGTGATAATCCACATGATGACCAGCCCGATGGTCAAGGCACTGCATACACCGTTGATGCCCGCGCTTTCCAAAGCAGCTCCAGTCTGAATTGAAGCAAGGGTGAGGCCAGCGTTAGGGAATACAAATGCCCACCAATTCAGAGTGAATGACATCTGCTTGACACCAGCAATGACCGAAACTAAGGAGACGCAGAAGAACCAGAAGGAAAACAGGATTACGAAGAACCCCGCAAGGATGCCGATGACCTTGATCACGTCTCCCATTGGAAGCGAAGTAATGCCGAACAGCTCACTGTCACCAAATACTTTGGGAGCTTGCCGACCGAGGGAGATGAGGGCGTGTGCAGTATAACCAGCTGGCCCTACACTGACAAACATGCCAGGTCTGGTGGAGGGGTCCGGCAGTGCACTCACCATCAATCTCTGGGTGTAGATGGCGTACATCATGAGAGCGACACACCATCCAGCGCCTTGTAGCATGATTGCACCAAACCAGATCTTGGTAGCGGCGGAGTGTGGTTGGTACGGAACCAGAGTTTGTGCCAAGGGGCCGACCACAAGCAGAGGATAAATTGGAAAGATCCAGGCAGGCATAGCATTGTTGACCTTGAGACGCTCCAGCTGGAACAACACGTAGTATTGCAAAACGCCGACAATGATTACCGTAGCGCTGTACATCCAAAAGAGAATCTCAAGGGCCTTGATGAGCCAGGGTCCAACGCTCGGCGCACCGTAAAGCTGCATACAGGTGAGAAGAAGAGCAACCGTGACCCAATAACTTCCGAAGAAAAGTGACTCGACCGGGTGATGAAGTGAAGCGAGGAACTTTTCCGGTACCAGAATGAATCGTGTAGCGATCAGAGCGTTGAAAGCGATAAAGAGAACCAGAGCCAGGATGAAGAAGATTTTACCGATGGTGTCTAGGCCATGAAACCTGTTCGGTGTGTTGCCTATGACCACTGCGACAGCTGCCGTGGACATTGTGCAAGCAAACCAGGGCCAGGTGAAGTGAGCGATACGATCTCGCCATGTGACTACCTCTGGTGGGAAGCCATCGGTGCCATTGGATCCATTGGCGTTGTTTGCCCTTTCTGGGTCGTCGCACTCCCTATAGCCATTGCGTCTGCGATCCGGGGTTGCGGTCGTTGCCGAACCTGAGTCGGAGGACATTGTAAACGTGAGCACTGGTGTGAGGAAACAGTGCAGATGGGTGAAAAGGATGGAGGTGTTCAGGATTTTGAATGAGTGACAGACTGAAATGTCAAAGACTCGTCATGCCTCTTGTCCGAGGCTTTCCTGAGAGACAAGAGTCAAGGTCGCTCTTGCCAAACATGGTTTTACCCATGACAACTTGGCGGTTTTGAAACTTTGCCAGACGTCATTCCAGATCGGCCGTTAAGTTCAAATGCCGTACTCGTTCGTAGACAATAATCAGTCAAGGCCGCAAGCAGACATGCAGCACGCGACGGCAACATGTCTTCTGTCAATTCATTTCACTAATGCTTTCCCATCCAGATGCTCGTATCAGTCCGTGCAATTGGGGATCTCGAGCACAATCCGAACGCTGCAAAATCATTCAATTGTCAATCCACGCGTCATGTTGCCAAGACCTCTGACCTGGAATCAGAAGGAAATTACGCCCTCGCGCGCGATGCGCCGAGGGACAACCGGAAGCCAGCGGCACACAGAGAAAGAGAGCGAGTCGCGACGACAAATCTTGGGAGACCGCGACACTGTCGTTCGTCTGTCGGGAGTAGTGATGACAACCACTGCGAAGCAGCAGTAGATATCGAGGCCAGTCTACAGGCGGACCCTCAGCCTTGACTTGTCGACATTGTCTTTGAGCGGCCTCGATTGCGCCCCCTGCTGGCTTGTCGCGTCGTGGCATCCGGATCCTGGTTACGTGTCGCGATTCATGAGCAATATCCAGATGACCGCGTCAGGTAAAAGTTATGCGATCACAAAGCATTGTTCGACCTTCGAGTGGAGGTTAAGGGAGAAGCTGGTTCTTCAGTGTGAAAAATGGACGAGTGTTGGCTCTGTTGTGGCTGTGTTCGGCACCCACTTTCGAATGCGCACAAAATAACCACAACACTCCATTGCCCAACATCCATCAGGATGACGTCTATCCATTTCAGTATAGTGGTCGTACCAAAGTCTTGAATGTTTTCAGGCTTGCCGACTACTACCAAACATCATGTAAGTGTCTATCGGAATTTGAAGAGCGATCCGACAGACCGAGAACAACACAAAAGACAGCATGCTGCCGACGGCGCGGCCCTGAATTGCTCAGCCCTGAAGGTCGACCTGCATGGCAGAACAGCTCTCAGTAGTTATCTGATATCGCCATAAAGCCTGGCATTGCGTGCTCGAAACAAAGTACCACGCCTCGTTGCCCAGCGTCTTGTCTTGCTCCGTCCAAGAGACTGCCCAGGCCGGCAAATTTCAGCATCTGACCGCCGTAAACACGAGGAGACTTCGACAATAAACTTTTACAGCACACAATGCTCAGCTGAATGTTGCACTCATGGTGCCGTCGTGCAACACAGGTCCTGATTCTCTACGTCAGTCAGAGTTTCGTATCCATAGATTGCTGTACCTGGCCTCGACCTCTTCTGAGCCGCGAACCCTTGGCGATGTCGCCCCAAGACATCAAGTCGCTGTCAGGAACGATGAGACTTTCCACAGATACTTGGCCGTTCTCCTGTATGCGGTACTTTATACCTCAACCGATGGTTGTAGAAGAGCCTCGTTCATAGCCAGCGATGAGGTGATTTGACTTGGCAAGGTAGAGGTATTGGTATAAGAAGATCAAATTTCAGCATTGGGTCAGGTCTTGAAGAACGCCTATTTGCATTGTGACTGTTCGTTACTGCTCAGCGATATGGCAGATACGAAGACTGTTTCTCCCGATCATTACCCTGTGCCGAGAGAAGACGAAGAAGGCTTGACAATTGAACGAGATTGGACAGCAGAAGAGGAAAGGAAGGCCAAATGGAAGTCAGTCTACCTTGTATCATCTCCTCTCGACAGTTTCATACTTACGCAGTCGCAGNNACTTGATCTCATCGTCATGCCAATCCTCACCCTTGGCTTCTTCTGTCTTCGTATGACAACATCTGCTGTCTCCTTATAAGATTCACGCTAATTCCTTGATTACNNAGAGCTCGATCGAGGAAACATTGCTAACGCCATTACCGACAATTTCATGAAGGATGTTGGCATATCCCAAGATCAGTTCAACGTCGGTCAGCAAATGTTATCACTTGGCATTGTCCTCTTCGAGATTCCCTCCAACATGATTCTGTATCGAGTCGGCCCTGGAAAATGGTTAACTCTTCAGCTCTTTTCCTTTGGCGTCGCGTCAACCTTCCAGGCCTTCCAGAACAACTATGCATCCTTCATTGCGACTCGTTTTCTTCTTGGCCTGACCGAATCTGGCTTCATACCTGGTGGTCTATGGACTATATCTACCTGGTATACGAGAAAAGAGACGGCTAAAAGAGTCATGATATTCTACTTTGGCAACCAATTTGGTCAGGCTTCGGCCAAACTCCTTGCTTATGGTATCCTACACATGCGCGGTGTAGCTGGTCGACCTGGATGGTTCTGGTTGTTCATTCTCATGGGTGGTTTCACCTGTTTCTGCGGTTTCATTTTCGGCTTCTTCCTTCCCGACTCGTTCCGCAATCCTTGCTCGACATTTTTACCCAGACATACAATATTCACATCAAGAGAGATTCACATCTTGAGAAACCGTGTCTTGCTCGACGACCCGGCAAAGGGAAAGAAGAAAAAGAGAATTGGTTTGACAGCTTTCAAGAAAGCTTTCAGCAGCTGGCGCATGTGGGTGCATTTCCTGATCACCTTGACAAACAATGGCCCTCAACGTGCTTTTGATACTTATGCACCTTCGATCGTCAACAGCTTCGGCTTTGGAGGTCTGTCTGCCAATGCTCTGGCAGCTGTTGGTTTGTTCTTGCAAATCCCCGTCTCTTACACCTTCAGCTACATCTCTGATCANTTTGTAAGTGCAATTTAGCAAGTTGGTTGCAATATTTCATGCTCATAGGTCTCTAGTTCACGTCGCGGTGAAACAGTCATCGCAGGTTTAAGCATGCATTTGCTTGGCTATATCCTCAATCGCATCTTCACCGAGATCAACAACAGAGGCTTAAGGTACTTTGGAGTCGTTTGGACACAGACCTTCGGAACCTTCTCTCATCCGCTTAACATCACTTGGATGTCACTCACCTGCACAGACTCAGAAGAAAGAGCCTTAGCCATGGCGATGGTCATCATGGGAGCCAACATCGCCGGTATCTATGGCGCGCAAATCTTCAGATCAGACGACCGTCCAAGGTATCGTAGAGCGTTCAACGTCAATATTGGCGTACTTGCGTTTGGTCTGTTGCTCGCAGGCATTAGGTTCTTAGATGACAGGTTTAGAAGAAAGAAGGCCAAGGATAGGCTGCCAGAGTCGGGAAGCGAATCGGAGGCTTATAGCGATGGTGTGACCAAGGTCGCTGTTCCTGATGAACAACCGCAACCCATCGCATTGAGGGAACCAAGCACTTCGTTGTCAAAAGCAGATGTTTGATGAGACTAAAGAGGCGTCATCTTTGTTTGCTAGATATTGCACGGTCGGCAAGGTGATTTGATTCCGTAGTCAGATATTCCATTGATAGACTTGTTGTGTAGAACAGAAGCGCCATATTGTTTGTGTCATTATCGTTCTTTCCTCTTCTGCTTTTTCGTTGGGTTTGCAAGTGACACATTCAAAGGGGGAAGGAACCATGGAGGTTTCGAAATTCGTTCCTCACTTTCTGGAAATCCATCACAACAACACCAAGTTCTTGCGCGAGACCAACAACTCTGCAGACTCCAAATTTCGTATCTGTAATGCGACTCGTCGATTTCCACATCATTTTGGTCATTTAGCGCAAGGGACAACCAGATTGAAGGCTGGAAAGGACGTTGCACATGCGACCCTGCCAGGACTGTTTCGTGATTTGCATAAAAAGCTCACACAGCTCAGCATAACAATGCACAAAAGTCGGCCGAAGATGTCCTTGACAAGAGAAACTCGGCCGGGTTTGAGCGAAAACCCGGAGAAGAACACTTCAATTGCGAAGTCGATCTTTACCTTCTTCTTTCTTCCTTCTTGCCAAAGGCTGGAAACATACGTGACTGAGTATGGCTGCAGCATATGCAAGTATTCACGCGCCATGACTCCGACAAATACATCTTGCTCAGAGGTTCAGCAATAGCGTTAGGGATACTCGAGCCACTTTCGAGCAGAGCCATGCGACTGCCTTCTCGGACTTTGCCCGCTGGAGCAGCTCACTCTGGTCTACATACAGTCCGTGTGCAACCTCTTGGTCTCCCATGGATATCAATCTCTCGGCCTTTGCATCGAACATGAGGACAGGGTCGCGTCAAGCTCTGGAAGCGCTCGCTGTAGCCAAAGTGTCAGGAAAGAACTTTGCACCGATAACCACTTTCGACGATTAGTGGGCGATAACAGGCATGCGGATCAGGGACCGATTTTGCAAACCAACTTGAACGCATTTTCTGAAGTCTGACTTGACGTTGCAACATTTCCGTCTAGACCTTTCCCGCGGCGAAATCGTGCGGTCATTGTCCGTAGCACGTCGCCAGATATTGCCATCCAGCGATACTGGTTGCAGACTTGTCGAGTCGAGGTCATCAAGGCATGAGGCACGGACGGCCACCTGGATCTTCGAGGAATGAGTGATTAGTGATACTATCTGGTTCATGGTTACCTGTACAAGCCCATTTGCACCAGAGTTGCAAGATGATTGGACCGCCCACAGCACTTTCCTTGCCCTATGTCTCTTGGGGTACAGACACATGAAGCAGCCTCGTCCTTGACAGGTAGGGATATGTGTATGAGGACTTCACATAGCATGTTCGAAGGAAACAACATCCGCTCCTGGCAATCCTTTGCGTCTAACCTAGAGAACTACGACTTGCTGTACGCAAAATTGTCAACAACAGCCAAGGTGTCTCGAATCAAAGAGACCAAGGAGTAGCACTCCGGTCCGTTCTTCACAATCACGCTGGAGAGTGAGTGATAAGGTAGCTTGTCGGAATAAGCCTGCATCTCAGCCACCCGCGCCAGCCGCTGACAAGCTCATCCGAACTTGGCCGCCGTACCCAATCAGGACTGCTGCCGAAGCCGACCAAGGTCCCACAACCTTCTTTGTGGAGTGATATCGTGGGGTAGCTGCGGAGAGAGACAGCTGCAGCTTTGCAACCCGAATGACCCTTCAGAGTCGTCATTTTCGGTGCTCAGTTGTCCGTGAGAAGCCTTAAGCATCCTGGTAATCTCTACTCGATGACCGCTTCGAATGCTGACAAAACAGTTGGTTAGCCCTCGGAACAATGAAGACACTGACGGGAGCGGCAGACCCGAATAGGTAAAGCGTCTCATAGGGTCTTCATTTAGGCTGACGGAGCGACAAAGTATATCTAATCAGCTGCAAATCATGGACTCAAGAGGCCCGCCAAGCGAGTAAGACCGAGCCCCGGACCAAGCACGGTGGCAGCAGCTGTCGGGCGATTTTTCGACCTTTGATCAACAGCCCTGCCGGCCACTTGGGTCTTGTTCGCATCCGCTCTCGTTTGCTTGCGAGACCCTCCTGCCTTGCAGCGTTCGGCTTCAACAATGGATGAACAAAGCATCAGGTCGTCGCAGCGCGTATCCCGATCGTGCATCGAGTGCAGCCGAAGGAAGATCAAGTGCGACAANAAGATACCGTGCAAGCCATGTGTGCGCCGGAATCTTGCTCACGAATGCCAGCGGCCCATCACCCGCGTTCGGGGCATGCTTACAGTGTACGTCCAGGCTTCAACACTGCGTCGTGGAACTGTCCATGTGAACGTCAACTGATCATGTCAGGGCGAGTACCGTTGATCGTTTGTCGGCAGATAGCGATGACAATTCCGTCGACCAACTACTCAANNGGAACGATGCGCCCTGCAAGCACAAATTGCAGAACTGGAAACAGCCTTGGCCCTCTCGAAACCATGTGGACACACTCATGGTGGCAAACCCGATATACACCGACCTGGTCAGACGTCCATACCCGCATTTGAAGAACTTGTACCCGCGCTCGAGCAGTTCGATCTCCAAGTGTCGCATGACTCGGATCCTGTCGCCATGTCGGAGAAAGACATGGCCGACCGTCTGTACGAACCCTCGACCGATCCTGTCTTCCTCCTGCTGCCCTCAAGAGAAATCAGCGAACAACTAGTGACATTTTCTCTTCGCACCCTCGGCTGGTTGCATGGCGCTGTCAACGCGCCCGAGTTTGTTACGGAACATCAGGAGTTTTGGAACAAAATACACAGCGGCGTTACTCTCGACGTCAAAGACCGGCCATGGTTGGCACTATATTTTGCTATACTGTCAACAGGTCTACTCTACCTCGACCCAGAAGAAGTGCCTGCTATATCCGATCTGCCACAACTCAATCTCCATCAGTATCAACAGCATGATGAGATGAGGTATGCTGTTCACACGTCGCGTCTTTGGTACGAAATTGCGCTCAAGGAGGTCGAACGTTACGGTTGCTCTGGAACACCTTCTTTGCGGATCGTACAGGCCTTGTCGGTACTGACTCTTTGCCACTCCAATTTTGGCGAGCCTCAGCGAGAGTGGCTGTTCACCGGATGGGCCGCCAGTATTGCACGTTGTCTTGATATGCATCGTCTGGGCAGTGAGGTCGCCTACTCGCGAAGCGTCAGTGCCAGACCTGAGTGGTTGTCTTTCGAGAAACGCGAGCTCGGTCGTCGCGTGTGGTGGACGTATGTCATTCGAGACTGGTATGTTCAGGCAATGCGATCTCGCTGAAGAATGCAGTGTGAGCTAATCTGATCACCTCCAGGNCTAGGAAGTTGGTCTCGCCCGCCATCCATCACACCGGCTAGTTTCTGCTGCAAATTTTCGACCGAAAACGAAGCCAATCATGATGCGATCCTTGAGACTCCCACACACACTTCCAGCCCGTCTCCTCTGGTCTATCAGTCCGTCATGTGTCGCTTGTCCTACATTTTCTACATTTACATCAAAGTCAACACCCATCAAAATGCTTCTAAATTCATCAAAGCATTGGAAGAAATTGAGATCGTCAAGCGAAATTTACCCCTACACTTGTCGACAAAGTTCCCTGCGAACATCGACGATGAGGAATGGGAAGCTACACATCCTTGGATCACTTTCCAGCGTTATCTGATCAACCATGGCATTGAGTTCATGATGCTTAGCATTGCGCGCACTTTGGCCATGGGCAACATTGGCAGCGAATCGACTCGTTACCGCGAAGCAGCCATGGCAGCAGCCACAAATATCATCCACAGCTACCTGGCTCCGGTCGCGCGAGTGTACAAGCTTGTGTGGACAGTTTCCGCCTCGACTGTGGCTGCCGCGGTTTACACCTCCCTCGATATTCTGATGAATCCCCAAGACTACACACCTCAGAAGCGGCAGGAACATATTGCCATCCTTAAGCAGGTTATTCAGGAGCTCAGCAAATACTCTCATGTCGCCATTCACGCAGCCAAGGGCTCAGCTACAATTCAGAAGCTCATCTCTCGTCTCGAACAAGACTTTTCGATGTCTCATCTTTCGGTCCACGATATACTGCGACACCTTACGACTCAAGAAATGCCATCGACCTCTGCTGCAGGTGTCGCAAATGGTTACGTCTTGCCAGCTCAAAGTATACCGGTTCCTGTCGACGGCTGGAACGAAATGATGGTTGGACATGACATGAACATCTCGCACATGGATCAAGGACACATTGATGGCTTGCTCGGTCCGTCGGACACGTGGAACAGCTTCATGGAGTTTCCAACATTCCAGTCGCAGTCTCAGCACCAACACCAACATCAACACCAGCAACAACACTATGAAGGATGAATCAGTCTCATGTCACCATGTACTTCATGTATGGCCCAAGCATTCGCTTTCTGGGTGCTGAATTCATTCACTTCGAGTACGGCCTCGAGCAGTCCTCGTCCTGCCGATTTGAAATGCTATTCCTACTGCGGATTCTCTCACCCTCTGTTAACCAGTGAGCGCAGCTCATAGATACGACAATCTGATCATGCTATAAAAATCCGAACGAACGATACTCGACAGTAGTATGACATACTGGCGTCATCATAGTCTATCTCGAAACGCCTGATGCAACGATACAGAAGAAACCATCGAAACGACATGCGGCTTTTCACTTTGGATACAGCATAACGGTTCAGCAGTGGCTGCATCGTCACATGGAATCGGATGATCGTCATTTCGCAAGTCAAGCTCGCACTACAATCATCCCCGGATCCAAGGAATCTCCACAAGCAGATCCTCGTGCGGGTTTCAAAAGTGTCACATCCTACCAACTGTTACCATGAATGACATGAATGGTCACGCTGTGAGACAAGATTCCAGTCACTTCTCGAACGACATCACAGAAGTCTCAGATAGCTAGGCCATTTTCTGACCTCAAAGTTCAGTACTAGCATCTCGAGCGACACCCTAGCTCGGTGCTACAACGCTGGGAAGCTCTCTCCGGAATATGATCCTCTCGAATAGCCACGCTAGAAGTCATCGTTCGTCATGCATTCGGCCGAAGACTGTAGGTGGTAAATAGCTTAGTCACTCTTACGAGTCCGTCAAACAAACTCGCAAACACCACGCTTTGCAAACACTGAAACACTGTTGCTTCACTTGTGACAAAGTAACGACATCCCCTACCCAGGCTTTGGCTTTTTGCAAGAGCTTGGACTCAACTTACAAGTGATTCTTCATCGACTCTGCTCCTCAGTTTAACTCGGTAGGGCTGTCGGAGTACAGTCCGTGCCCACCAAGGTGGTGGGAAAGGTTTCGGTCGAGAGCGGATGAAAACTTCTTCCCCATTAGCGACCTACTCCGCAATCCACTTCCTCCCCCACATACCGACGAGATCGTCAAAGTCGCTGTATACATAGACAAATGATGTCTGGTACGCGTATACAGCAAGTGAAAGTTGGTCGCGAACGAGACGGTGATGTACTGAGAAGACAAGCGGGCAGAGATTTAAAATATCAAGACCCCGACCTCTGTCGTTGCGTCTTGCTCGAGTTTCATGGGCTCATTTGGCGGCTACATGCAACCCAACACTGAAAAGAAGTGGCTGCGATGGGACCCTTTCTCAGAGTGGTTCGATCTATGGTCTGTTGAAGAGTCGGTGAACGAGCTCGTCGAGTTCTTCGACCACTTCCTCAAAGGCTATAACAATGACTGGCAAGAAATCACAATGGGGATGGCCTCTTTGCCTTTCGGCGACAAGGAAGCCGTCTACCCGATCGAGGTCCAAGACTTCATTTGACCCAATACTGACTAGAAGAAGCTGTATCTCGGTGAGAAGAACAATCTGCTTGATCCAGCGCCCACCGAAAAAAGCGTTGTATCGTACAACTCAGAGCCTGGCAGCAGTCCTGTTGCGCACGCGGCTTTCAACCCCCGCTTAGAAACTCAAAACCCCATATTCCATGGTTAGTAGAGTTGACTGTAGCATACTGTCGAATGCGCCTCTGCGACGTGCGAGGGAGGAGGTGCTGCACACCCCGCATTGTCGTCATGACAATCATGGAGAAATTCGTGAGGGGTCCCCATGCGAGCACATTTAGCCTGATCATTGACCATGCGCGATACATCACCATGAAGAACATCCAGTCCCGATGTGGTAGGAGACAACATGTTGTCCAAGGTGCTTGGCGATCTACGTCTAGGATAAATAACACACAGCCTGCTCACGAACACTTCGTGAATGTATCATCAAACACCACGCGGGTTTATCTCTACAGCAAGATGAAGGCCAATCATCTATTTGCGGCAGCCAGTTTGACAGGCCTCAGCTACTGTCAGCCAGCCAAACAACAGAATTCCACTATCTACAATCCCATCCTTCCTGGCTTTCACCCTGATCCAAGTTGTGTCTTTGTCAAGGAATGGAACAACACCTTCTTCTGTGCGACTTCCACCTTCCTTGCTTTCCCTGGTATTCCTGTCTATGCAAGCAAGGACCTCCAGAACTGGAGACTCGTCAGTCATGCCTTCAATAGACCTGAACAACTGCCAGCTTTCGGAAACATCACAGGGCAGCAAGATGGTTGGTATGCTCCGACTCTGAGATACCACAACAATCGTTTCTGGATCATCGACTCGTGTGTGGGATCTGACACGGGATATCTCAGCACTTCAGACCCCTACAACAACACTGCATGGACGAACGTCACTCCTACCAACATCCCTGGATATGATCCTGATTTGTTCTGGGATACTGACGGTACCCTCTACTCGGCCTTTGCAAAGACAGTACTGAGCGATCCCTTTACGACCGAGATTCATCAAGTCAATATCAGCATGCCTTCTGGAAACACGACCACAGATCGTTTCTTATGGAATGGTACTAACGTACAACCTCCCGAAGGACCTCACATGATGATCAAGGACGGCTATCACTACTTGTTGTTGGCTGAAGGTGGTACAGCTCAAGAGCATCAAGTCACAATTGGTAGAGGCAAGTCTGCCCAAGGACCGTTCGAATCAGATCCAAGGAATCCTATACTCACAGCATACAACACGACCGAGTACTTTCAGACTGTTGGCCATGCAGATCTCTTCCAGGATGCTAATGGTCAGTGGTGNGGCGTCGCACTCTCTACCCGCTCTGGCCCTGACTACGAGACTTGGCCGATGGGCAGAGAAACTGTTTTGTACCCTGCAACATGGGAGAAGGGACAATGGCCTGTTTTAGGAGGTCCTGTCCGAGGCATGATGGAGGCGCCTCTACCTCCGGTCAACAAGAACATCCGTGGCAACGGCGCTTTTGTGAAAGATCCTGATCACTATACGTTCTCTCCTGGCTCCTCAATCCCGTCTCACTTCTTATACTGGCGCTTCCCTCAAACTCAGAACTACGCCGTCTCTCCCAAAAGTCACCCCAACACTTTGAGATTGCTACCGTCTCGTGCCAACTTGACTGGAGACTCCGCTTTCGTCCCTACCGATGGCATTACCTTCATTGGTCGTCGACAGACAGATACTCTTTTCACCTACAGTGTGGATGTCGATTACTCACCCTCTGAAGTTGGAGAAGAATCAGGGATCACTCTGTTCCTCACACAAAGCTATCACGCTGATCTCGGTATCGTCCATCTCAACAAGACTGGCAACTACCTCCGTTTCCGCGCCGAAGGAACCAATGCACCAGAGGAAACTATAATTTCAATCCCTCAGAAATGGTGTGACCAAGGCATGCATTTGCAGATCCAAGCCTACAACATTACGCACTTCTCCTTCTCTGCTGGTCCAAAGGGTGGACAACTCAANAAGATAGCCACTGTCCCCGCCACACTTGTCTCGAACGGATTCACTGGTGAGCAATTTATCTTGTCACAAACTGTTGACGGGGTCGCTGACATGAANACAGGTTCTTTCGTCGGTGTGTATGCAACTAACAATGGTAACACTAAGGGCAAGACACCTTCATATATCAGCAACTGGATTTACCAAGGTCAGGGCCAGTACATTGGCAACGGGGAGTTCTACCCAAGCAATGGTCAGAAGTCAGGAGCAGGTTTCTAGTGTGATGAGATACGTACAGTCTACACATGAAGTTTCTTTCAGAAGCATCAATTTGAACTTCATCGGTATTTGGTATCACAATAGCCAGAATTAAGCCACGAAAGAAAGTCCACGTCAAAGCCCGAGATCGACACGACTCCAGACTCGAGGATTGCATAGGCTAAATTGAGACGGCGAAATTGCCCTCCACAAATCTGCATCCCCACATCATCAAAATGTGGTGTCCCGTCTACGGTATATCATCACCCCGCATACGATCCATATCGTGAAGAGGGAATATATATGTCCGCAAAGCCGGACGAGACAAGATTTTCTTGCTACATCAATATGCAGCTACTTCTACTCTTCGCATTCCTCGGGCTGGCCTTCGCAGAAACTGGCATCAATGGCTGGCTTCGGTATGCTCCATTGCCATCTTCGATATCGTGGCCATCAGTACCCAAGCACATTGTGGTCCTGAACACCACAAAAACAAGTCCTGTCTACACTGCAGGACAAGAACTGCAGCACGGGATTCAAAGCATTCTCGGTCAGAACTGCCGCTTTAACAATGACAAACCTGACGAGTCTATCATCGTTGGCACACTTGACGCCTACGTCGCTACCTATGGCAACCTTAGTCAACCTTTGGATCTCAAGGAAGACGGTTTCTGGCTGAGTACGGAGAACGATTCAGTACAGATCGTTGGTCAGAACGAAAGAGGTGCTCTTTATGGAGCGTTTGAGTATCTGTCTATGCTGGCACAAGCGAATTTCTCCTCAGTCGCATATGCATCCAACCCAGACGCACCCATTCGATGGGTCAATCAGTGGGACAACTTGGACGGCAGTATCGAGCGCGGCTATGGTGGCGCATCGATTTTCTTTGCCAACGGCACAATTGTCAGTGATTTGACACGGGTGGCTGAGTACGCACGTCTACTTTCCTCAGTCGGCATCAATGCCATTGTCATCAACAACGTCAACGCCAACGCATCGATCCTCTCGCCAGAGAACATCGATGGCGTGGGAAGAATCGCGGATACAATGCGTCCGTATGGTGTGCAGATTGGTCTCTCGCTCTACTTTGCCTCTCCCACCTCGGGGGTACAAGGGCAAGCCAACCTCACCACCTTCGATCCCCTTGACCCCGGAGTCATTACTTGGTGGAGAAACGTTACTGATCAGATATATGAACGCATTCCAGACATGGCTGGTTACCTTGTCAAGGCCAACTCCGAAGGACAGCCCGGTCCGATCACATACAACCGCACACTAGCAGAAGGAGCAAATCTATTCGCAAAAGCTCTCCAGCCTCACCGCGGCAATGTACTTTTCCGTGCTTTTGTCTATAATCAGCTGAATGAAAGTGTCTGGACAGCTGACCGAGCAAACGCTGCTGTCGACTTCTTTAAGCCACTCGATGGCAAGTTTGATGACAACGTTGTCGTGCAGATCAAGTATGGACCAATCGATTTCCAAGTCAGAGAGCCTGCATCACCGCTATTTGCCAATTTGTTCCATACAAATACAGCAATCGAGCTAGAAGTAACTCAGGAGTATCTTGGCCAGCAGACTCATTTGGTGTACCTTCCTCCACTTTGGGACACAGTCCTCGGTTTCGACATGCGCATTGACAACGAGACATCGCTGGTTCGAGATATCATAGCTGGCAGAACATTCAACCGATCGCTGGGAGGCTATGCTGCGGTCGTCAATGTGGGAACCAACCAAACGTGGCTTGGAAGCCATCTATCAATGTCGAACTTCTATGCGTATGGTCGGCTTGCTTGGAATCCTGCCGAAGACACTACCAAGATTCACGAGGACTGGACGCGCTTGACATTTGGTCTTGACCAGAATGTCGTTGACACAATTACTCACATGGCCATAGAGTCCTGGCCGGCGTACGAGAACTACAGTGGCAATCTCGGGATTCAAACTCTGACTGACATCTTGTACACCCACTTTGGACCCAATCCTCAGTCGCAAGACAACAATGGCTGGGGTCAATGGACTCGAGCCGACCACACGACGATCGGCATGGACAGGACTGTCTCCAATGGCACAGGATACAGCGGAACTTACCCACCCGAGGTCGCAGCAATGTATGAGAACATCGAAACAACACCAGACAATCTCCTGCTATGGTTCCACCACGTCAACTATACTCAGAAGCTCCATTCGGGCAGGACAGTCATTCAACACTTCTACGATGCTCATTATGCCGGCGCAGAAACAGCTCAAACATTTGCTCAGCAATGGCAGTCGCTGGCAGGCAAGATTGACAGTCAACGCTTTGATGAGCAGCTGTATCGACTCAAGTACCAAGCTGGTCATTCGCTTGTCTGGAGAGATGCCATTGTCAACTTCTACCACAACATTTCTGGCATCGCTGATGAGAATGGCAGAGTTGGCAGCCATCCATATCGTATCGAAGCTGAGAGCATGACCTTGAATGGCTACAAACCATATGCTGTGAGTCCGTTCGAGACAGCATCGAACTATTTTGCAGTCGTCACTAGCGACAACAGTACTACTGGTTCTATATCAACTGCATTGCACTTCCCCTCTGGTACATACGATGTCGGCGTCAACTTCTATGATATGTATGGAGGAATCTCGAAGTATGAGATGTCCATCAACAACAAAACCGTGGCAAGCTGGGCTGGAGACAGTGAACACTATCTTGGCCACACGCCCTCGATCTACTTAGATGGGCATTCGGCGAGGAGAATCACATTCACAAACATTACCCTAAAGGAGGGTGATATGCTAGAGATCGTTGGTACGCCAGATCGCATTGAGCCAGCTCCGTTGGACTATGTGGTCTTATTACCAAAGGGAGTTCTCGATTGAGAAATGCATTGGGTGACGATATGTTCAAAGGACAAATTACCAGTTCTCAAACATAGTCTGCAGCATCGAGATGACGCATGTACTGATTGTGTTTCCGAACATCTTCTTAGCTTAGTATCGACATGAAGTGGTTTATCGGTACCTATGCTGTCAAAATTTAAAACCTGTAACACGAAGATTTGCCGTGAAGACAAGTCATTAATTTCTAGTTCTCATCAGAAGTTCAAACACATCATGAAAGTGGACTATTTATTCAAGGTATTGTTGCAGATGATCACTTTACAGTGTCGGAATTGGTCTTACGGGTCGTTAAAAGGTGGCATGAACACCTCGAATGAGTTTGAAAGGTATTGGCGTTTCTTTGATTTGCATGCACCACTCAACGACGACGGAGAACTCATTCCTTGCAATCAAAATCTCGATTGAAACGCCTCTTTGGCACCAAGACAGGACTCTCTATAACATCACGCCAATCATTACGACCCATGGTAACTAATGTCATCTCCTACTGCAGGCATGCAGACTAATTCGGGCTGATTGCAGCTTTCCTTCTTGGACTCAAGTCGCAACCTATCACAATCCGCAGCTGTGCGACTTCGTTCTCAAGCTGCCTGATATGATCACAAGCGGCAAGCAGAACCTCCGCCTTGCTGGGTTTGGGATTTCGACCAGCTCGTGATGGCTGTTGGGTAGGGATATACGGGATGGCGCTTGTGAGCTTCCGAAATTGAGCCATGAGATTATGGCGATACCGTCGCTCAATGTCTGTATGTGTCGAGCGACCACGGCGACGGCCTCTGCTGGTCTTCCTTGGGGATTCAAAAGGTTCTGTAGCCAAGACAGGAGAAATTTCGAGCTCAGGAAAAGCGGGTTCCCTGATGAGAGGAGGTGGTGTCAGAGGTCCAGGGGCTACAGGCTGAGGAACGCGTGTTGGAGATGTGTGTTGGGATGCGAACGACTGGAAACGCTCAGATTGTGTGGTGCAAGTACTGTCATGTGCCGCGGTGAGCATGGAGTCGATGTCGCAGTAGCCTGTCAGTGTATTGATGCCAGCATCCACAGACAGTTTACTCAAGCGTGCGTCGAGACTTTCGTATGTTTCGTAGTGCTGGTATGTATACGGTAAGACAGGCATTGATTGTTGGTGGCGTAGCTGGGGTCTTGCAAGCTCTGCCTGCGAGGTGACGTGCGTATACGCAGGTCGTATTTGTTGCTCAAGTGTACTGTAATGGTCGGGTGCATATGACCGTGTATCGACAGGGAAGTGGGATTGGAACGCGACCTCGAAAGGATCGTTTGGACCACTTGCATATCCCGAATCTTGAGGAGGTCGAGGCCATGATCCTGAACCAGTCTTGCATGATTGTGGTAACCAAGAGTTCATCTGCTTGAAGTTCATGATGCCAGATGTGGAGTGTGATGTGATTGTAATATAGTTAGATGAGATGATTGACATCTTTCAGGCGCTACAGGCTGCTGTATTTATGTCTTAGTACAGAGTATCGATACCAGCTGCAGCACTCGAGTTCATCCATCCTGTCATGAACCTAGAAACTGCCATGATTGAAACCGTTCTATTGTTCTTCACAAGCCAGCAAGGGCCGTTGCCTATCTGACCATTCTAGTGAGCGTCGAATCTCGGATGGCTGTATAACCTCTGGGAATGATCCGGCCTGCTTATAGAGACATCCCCGGATCTCAGTCGAAGGGTCTTGATCGTACAGGCTCCAGCATGTCAGCGTGAAAATGGGGCATTCGAAGGAAGTCGATCAAATCAAGGCTTATTCGTCACCCCTCGAGCGCAGGAAATTCACACGCATTTTTCAGCCGTCTTGAAAGGATCGCGATCATCTCCATAGCCTCAGGTGCCCAGTTGACACAAGCCCTGACGAACAGGCGTTCACATCCGTCAAGTTGCTCGGGGTTGCCGAGATTTAAGGATTTTGTCAACGGTCGGCTTTCACAACGTAGAGCGAGCGTAGCTGAAGTTCTAGCCACAATCGCCTATTCTTGCCATAGAGATGATCATTCGGTCAATCAACACTTTGCTTGGATACAAACATTGGCGGAACATGTACTTATCTCATACTGAATCTCATTGCAAGCATCGAAGATTGACATTGCTGGTCAGTCGCAGTTAAGTAGGCAAAATTTGTTTTATTGCTCATTCATCCAAATTTTGAATCCTTTTGGACAGCCCCACCTGGCGCCACATGGCTAAGCAATCTCTGATCGTAACTCGTATCAGGTCGAACCACGCGCGCCGCACTCCTCACTACTGACTCCTAGTCATGCAGAAGGATTCAATCCCCGATTGGGTTCACCCTGCAGAGATTTTTTGGATAGTACGATGCCTACGTACGATGCAGAAGTGCCAGTCTATCGGGTCAGCCATCGTTTCCTGCATAGCAAACGAGTCTTTTGAGTAGTTCAGCTCTCCACGTCTGATAGAAATTCTTGGTTACGCAGCAGTCTACTGAGCTAAGAAGCCACGATCGCCGATGCCTTTCGAACTGACGCTCCAACGAGCGTGGCAGAAGCTGTACAACACATTCAAGTCGAAAAACACAATAACCCTGTGTATGTGAACATCCTTCTCTTCACAGCGTGTATCTGTAATCGGGATGACATTGCCAACGATGTGCCAAAGCAGTCACTCGCGTTCCCACAGCTGTACCATCAATTCTGTCATCTTCATCGCTAGCATGCTCGAGTTTTCTGTTTCTCCAGCCGAGATAGATGCGGAGGAGGGTGGCAAGTGCAATGCAAGCGGCTGAGAATGCGACATTGACAACGTTGGCCTGCCAGTAACGTGGTCCTTGAGACGCTGGATAGATGTATGAGGCATATATCGATGCCAAGTTTGAACCAGCATTGACAACAGCATATGCGACCGCACGTTTGGAGGACGGACGAGGCAAAGTCGATGAGACCCAAGAAAGGATGCATCCGAAGCTGCCGTAGACGGACATCATCATGAATGTTGCGGTGTATCGGGCTGCCACATTGAGTGTCACTGCAGAGATGATGAATCCTACGCTGCAGAAAATTTGAGGCCAGACAACATGGAGCCACCGCTCCCGGGTCTTGTCGGAGTGCCACGAGTTTGTGATGCCCAGAATGGCCGCGAAAACATATGGGGGAGCTGACAATAGCAGGGTTTGTGTCTTGTTGTACCCAAGTGTTTTGACAATGGTAGGGAAAAAGTTGGTGAATGCTGCAGCAGTGTTCAAGCTCAATTGCATGAACCACAAGATGTAGAGCGATGGGTCGGTGAACGCCAGCTTCAAGCCTTCGCGAGAACTGGATTTGTGGACATCTTGTTCATTTGCATCTTCCGCGATTCGAAGAATCGCGAGGCGTCTCTCTTGCTCAGTCAGCCTGCATGTCTGTTAGCTTATGTCTATGGAACCTTTTGCAGTTTTTGTACCATTTTGTGGTATCTGGATAGTCCGGCAGTATGAATGCGGCAGCGAAAGCGATTGGGATTGTGGCAGTTCCTTCGATGATGACTAGTAAAAATCAGTACTCCATATAAGAGAGCCAATGAATAGAGGAGAACTCACAGAGCCATCGCCAGGCAGGTAGTCCTGCTTTACCATCCATCTCACCCATGATGGCGCTTCCCAAAAGTCCCCCAAATGCGCCTGCCATCTGACCGGCTGCGTAAAGGATAGATATACGTTTTGCAAGCTCTTTCTTTGTGTACCACGAGGAGAATAAGAAGAGTGACCCAGCTAATGAACGTAAGTCGGGCTTGGAGAGTGCGAGGCAGAGAAGACGTCACCTACGGAAAAAGGTGCTTCAACAAAACCCAAGCAAAATCTTAGGAGAATCATCCCTTGGTAGTTCTGGACCGCTGCGGAACAGGCGCTGACCACACCCCAACAGCACATGATTAAAGGGAGGAAGATGGATGGCTTGACTTTGTCCAAGACCATGTTGGTCGGCACCTGCGTGAGAATATACCCAACAAAGAAGATGGAGATGATGGTGTTGTATTGAGTTCCATGGAGACCAAGATCCGTCTCGAAGGAGCCGAGACGAGCGACCGCGATATTGTTGCGATCAAGGTAGTTCAGTACGTCTTCGCAAGTGCTTAAATCAGTCGAACAGTTTCGTAGTATACAGTCGGAAAGGCATACATACAGATAAGCATCATCATTGGCATCATCCTCATATCGATCTTCTTTAGAAGCTTCTTTTCCTCGGCGATCCTGTCACCGACAAAAGCGTGTTCGATATCATCATCAATCTTGTCGAGATGGATAACGTCTTGTACTTTCATGCTGTTCTCAGCCATGTTTGTAGTGCGATCGTTGCAAAGATGAACATACATACACAGATATGTTGGGCAAGCCAGGCAGCTTTATAGGGAATTCCTTGATCTCGAGACTCTATCTGGGAAGACATCTCTGGGGTCTCCACGGTACCCGCGCGGGGACAGTTGCAGGAGGATCTACACTGAGGAGTAGACCGAGACACTCGTAATGCAGTGTTCCGATCGGCTCGCATATAATCTTGGCTGTAGATCAGCTTCACCGTTCGTCTGCATGAGGTGTCGACTCTGCGGGGTCAGGTGCGACGGCCTTTGATTCATAACACAAACACTCCCAGTTTTGGAATGGTGGGGATACATCATTCCATTGTCTGTCCCGATCATTCAAGCAGGAGCATACTCGCGATACAACGCCCCAAGCCCCAATCCAACCATGCCAGTGGAGAATAGACCTGCCATACTATGGATTGGCGATGCAGTGAAGCACAATCCAGCTGTTTTCAAACGTCTGGAAAGTCAATTCGATATCATCAGACCCGAGCCCGAGCAACGTCAGCGTCCTGCGTTCTTGCAAGCGCTTCGATCCAAGACTTGGGGAGAGTTCGATGCTGTCCTTCGACCCTTCTGGGTGACTGGCGGCGAGATGGGTCGCTGGGATACTGAGTTGGTGCCACTGCTTCCCAAATCCTGCAAGATCTTTGCCAGTGCTGGAGCTGGATATGACTGGGCGGATGTTGATGTTCTGGCAGAGCATGGCATACTGTACTGCAATGGTGCACAAGCATCCTCAGAGGCAGTTGCAGATATGGCCATCTTCCATATCTTGTCTGTCTTCCGCAACCTTACGTGGTCTCACCTCGCCGCGCGTTCTGGAGATACTGAGCAATGGTTGGATGCGCATGCCAACGCTACTATGACCGCCCATAATCCACGCGACCACATCCTTGGTATAATTGGACTTGGGAACATCGGCTATACGATCGCCCAGAAAGCCTTTGCTGGTTTTGGAATGAAGGTACATTATTACGATGTCGTTCGCAAGTCCCGCCAGCAAGAGGAAGCCGTCAATGCGACTTTCGTAGACAGTCTTGAATCTCTGCTGGGTACCTCGGACTGCATTATTCTTGCCACTCCGTTTGGTGGAAGCAAGATCATCGATGCCGAACGCCTGGCCATGTTTAAGGAAGGATCTAGGTTTGTCAACATCGCACGTGGGACTCTGGTCGACGAAGAAGCTCTCGTGCAGGCTTTGAAGAGTGGTAGACTCTTCGCTGCTGGACTCGACGTTTTTGAGACCGAGCCAAGTATCCATGCCGAGCTTCGCGGAATGCGTAATGTGACTTTAACTTGCCACAACGCTGGAGGAGCCATTGAAACGAATTATGGGTTCGAGAGGTTGGCTATGGAGAACGTTGAAGCGTTGTTGCTCACTGGCAAAGCATTGACGCCTGTGAATGCCCATCTAATGAACCATTGAGCTTCTTGTTACAGCACATTGGGATCTGCCCACTCGTAGCCGGCCAAGAAAGAAAATTTCCCTGTCTAGAAAAGTCCTCCACGCGCTTTCATGAAAATCAGGTTGTTGATCTAGAGATCGGTTGCATCCTTTATCTGACCCTCGTCTGTCCTCAATGCCGAACATGACTGTCATAACCGTTAGCGTCTGGCTACGTCTAAGCACACCGACGTGAGTACTCTCCTTACCTGATAAAGCAAGAGCACGACGGAAAACTATGATAGTCGTGTGCTTGTTCAGGTACTCGTGTACGAAGCTTGCGGCTGAACGCTTGCTGCATGCACTCGGCACTCCCGACTGCGAATGTGGCCGTGAAAAATGGCCCAGGTCAATATCGATCATTGAACATCAGAGTTGCATTGATCTGGACTGCATCTCGAATCTTCTGTATGGCATGCCCCTCTCTTGGTGCTCGGGGTTACTGCCTAAACTCCGCCGATAATTTATCTCCGTAACTCTATACACCAGTGAGAGGGTGTGATTGGCAGACCTAGCTCACAATAAAGACGTAAAACTGGCGAAGGATTTTCGATCGTTGAGATGAGTTCGAAGGGATAGGTACTCGAGGAGGGAAGCTTGTGCGTTATATAAGAAGGTCTTTGCTCCCCAACTTCACTCATGTTGCTCCAGGACCTCCATCGTCAACCATAGCAGGATCTCCGAGAATGGCTTCACGTATCATCCTAATCACGGGTGCCAACCGAGGTATTGGGTTCTGTATAGCCCAGGTACTCGCACAAAAGAATGTCAAAGACACTGTTATCGTCACAGCTCGTGTCCAAGATTCGGCGTCACAAGCAATTCAAAAGCTGGAGGAATTGTGAGCAAAATCTCACTTGGACTCAACAGCGCTTGATCTTGCAAGCGATCAAAGCATACATGCGCTGGTCTCGATGATCCAAGAGAGGTATGGTAGGCTTGATGGTATGTCACAGTGCCCGAAACCAATTCTCGTGAGGCCTAAGCTGACTGAAGTCTAAGTCCTTATCAATAACGCAGGCATCGCAGCAGTTCCAAGTCCAGACCTGTCAAACTACCGTCAGGTATAGAATACGATTTTGGATACAAACGTTACCTCGGTCGGCCTGATGACCACGCTTCTGCTGCCACTCCTGCTTAAGTCTCAGAATCCCAAGGTCATCAACATCTCTTCCGGTCGCGCATCCATCACAAGGCTCACCTCAAATGATCTTCCTGCGACAGTCAGTGTACCTTATAGTGTCTCAAAGGTCGCTCTCAATGTCATGACTCTCGAGATGGCCAAAGCTGAACCGAGGGTCACCTTCTACCTGGCTAATCCTGGCCATTGTAAGACTGAGTTCAATGGATACAAAGGCGTANNAAAGGATCCACTGCTGGGTGCTGAGGTGGCTGCCAATCTTGTTCACGGCGACTACAAGAGTGGCTTCTGGCACAACGACGAAGGAGAGATGGAGATGATGCCTTGGCAGGTTTACTGAAGGTTATGAACAAGAGCTACGATCTCCTGTATACTAGTTCGTCAGGAAAAGAGCGAGAGGAGGGTGCTCAAGGGCGTGTTCAATTATGATCGATCCTCAATACATGCTTCTTGGAGGATTGTCTTGTGCTTCTCAAGCATCAGTTGAGGCCAGGAGCGTAAGCAGGTCAAACTCTGTAGCTACCGCAGTGCCAAATTGGAGATCGCCGAAACGTAGACACAGATCAACTGAAAAGTGCGCTGAAAAATGAGCTGATACCATCGCCATTAGACATCTTCTCCGCTGCGCCAAGCGCGTGGCCACTGGTATCGAAGTCCTGCATGGTGTCCACGAGGCCGTTGTCGTTGGTGTCTGTAAGGAGAGTATATCCCCGTCGTTGATTATCTGCGTCCCGTCGATCCACTGCCCATTTCCAGCCATAACGACAACTGGCACACCGACAAGAGCACAACTGAGTGCCAGCGTCGAGGCTATGCCCACAAGAGTGCTGGTGAGCATAGTTGTGTGAAGGCCCTTTATGATGCGGTCTTTCGTTGTGCGATTGCCCTGTCTGTAGTTCTGTGATAATCTTTTCACATTGGCGGCATCCGCGGTGTTCGGCGCATTGTCACTCATGCGTTCGAGTGCATTTGCGATTCGGATGTCTGCTTCCTTCTCACCAATGCTGTCGTTTCGCTTGATAAATTCGCCACGCTCGATGACTCTGTCAGAGCATTCGTCGATTGTCGCTTCGAGTGCTTTCTTCTGTGCTGCACTGAGGACCATTGTGCTTGGACCGGATGTCAAGAAGGTGAATGTGATGTGGAATCTTGGAAGGGCACAATAGACTGGAGACAAATGCACTGCTGCGAGGCAAAAGGCGACACATGGTGCTCTTTATATCGCTACTGGCGATTTCGGAATACACTGCAGAGGTTTCAGTCCGTAGCACCGGAGAAAACATACTTTAACCGGAGCTAAAAACACAGCCTAGGTAGCAGAATGCATAACCGCGGTCAGTAGTCATTGAAGAAGTGACAAGACAGGCGAGTCAATGTTGTTCACTCATGCGCTAGCCAAAGGCCCTAATCGCAGTCTGGGCGACTTTCCGGGTGGACCCCTTCGGTTTGACTCTTTGTAACTCCACGAGATCTTGAAGATATCAGAATCCGAAAAGATGGGTCGAAAGGAAATACCTAGAAGTATCTTCTATAGACTTCTTCAAGGGTTGCAGAACTATTCTGCGTCGTCGCGTATCATCGAAGTGCTGCTCAAGTTTGCGAGAGCGTCGAATTTTGGCTAGCGCTTGTCACTGTCATGCAGTGTTTAGCTTGCCACGAATTGACGTTGTGGGGCAACACAGGGAAACAGAAATTCTGGGCAGCGCCACTATCTGTTCGAGTTCAGCTGTACGCACCGCAGAACTTCAAATCCTGCTCCAAACCGGCACACATGCACGACGCACGCCAATATTGATAGTATCGCGATGCAAGCCCGCGCTGCTAGCTGGGAGTTGGTGCGTCGTTCTCATTCGACTCGTTGCACGGCGCTGAGCAAGGCGCAGCAACTACTGCCTGGGCTGCGCTTCTCCATACTTTGTCAAAGAAGGAAAAGGGGGTGTGTATCTTGCTGATGCCGGTGTGTGGGCTGCTGCCGCAGAACATAGACATTTGCCGGTCCAGGATATGCTCCGCATACTTTTGATGAATGACGAGAAGAAGGTGGAAGCTCAATCTTGCTGTCATTGGCTTGGAGAAGCGGAATGATTGAGAAAGTCATGTGCAGAAGTGGACTGTGGCATAAAGACAAAGGAGAAATGGAGATTATGCCTTGAGAGATACCTCAGACGGCATATCTCTGAGAAGGAGCTGTGTTTTTTCGCATGTGTTCGATTGCATTGATTAGTCGTGAACATGAAGTTTCGTCAATAGAAGAATGAACGAAAGGGTTCTTTGCCCTACACGCAACGAATTTGTCGCCATTGTCTGGTGCTTGATCATCGTCTATGCAAGTCAGAAGCATGGGCATGACGTTCTGTCGCTACCACGACATTGAGAGGACTTTCGTAGGCAAGTGACACTGCGGCGCAAGAATGCCACTCCATGTGATTACAGATTGTCCAAGATCTGACAGGAGATCATTGCTGCTGCAGGTCTGGCTTGTTCGCACTGAAAGATGTGTGTTCTTGCAAATGAGCAAGAGCCTGCCAGATGCACGGCACTAATCTCGGCCCTGCCAAAGGGCTTGAGTCCAGATGCGTACCAGCAAGCAGTAAACTTCCTGTCCTTTTTGTTGCAATGGATTGTCCCACGTGTGGCATCAGGAGAAGGCGACGATTTGAGGCGGCGTGTCGCGTCGCGTCGGAGAAAATCCGCGGTCGGCTCGCGGAGCTTATGCCCAGACGGGTCGCATCGGATGAGAGCTGACAATAGCGCAGCCGACCGCGACACGACCAAACTTTCTTGCAGTCAGTCTCCTTTGCAAGCCAAACAGACGACCATCACTCGGGCATCTTCCATGACTGTTCAAGCCATGACTCAATGGCACCCCCATGGGGTATCCACCTTGCCGCGGAGTCGGACGCCTCTTTCTGGAGTCATATATGATCGACCACCCTTTTCCCCATGAGTCTCGCCCAGCGTCCAAACCAATCGTCAAATTCGTTCTACATAACACACGCCTAGAAAGATGGGTGGCTTGCATGCTGTCGAAGATCGACCCACGCCGAAGGAGGTGTACAACTGGCGTCTGTATACCGAGGCATTGATTATTGCGACTGGTTCTTTGCTGTAAGCTTCTCTGCACATCTATCCTTGAGAAAACAGAAATGCTCATATCATAACAGCNTTTGGATACGACTCGGCGTTCGTCGGTACAACCATCGCTCGTGCTAGTTTCAAGAAAGACTTTGGTATCACGAAGGCTACAGCTGCTGGTATATCCAGTAACATCACCTCCGCCTTCCAAGCAGGAGCTTTTTCCGGCGCTCTGTTCTGCTANTTTCCGTGAGTGCTTTGTCCTACTGGAATTCCTACTTGATCATCGACCGTTCGGACAGTCACTGAGCGTGTCGGGCGCAAATGGGCTCTGCAAGCGAATGTCGTAGTCTTTCTCGTGGGCGCCATCTTGGTGACGGTGGCGACTCATCAGCTCTCATTCATCNNTGTAAGTCATCTAAACCTATCATCTGGTCTAGGCTGATTCACCATACCAGACACTGGACGCGTGCTTACTGGTCTTGGATGTGGCGCCATCACTGCTACAGTACCTAGCTATATCGCCGAGCTATCAGTACCTTCGATTCGTGGTATTTTGACAGGATTTTTCGAGATCGCATACCAGGTTGGCTCTCTCATCGGGTTTTGGGTCAACTATGGTATCAACAAGAACATGAACGTCAAGTCTTCGTTGAGCTGGAGGATCCCGATGGCCATTCAACTCATACCCGCTGCAATCTTGCTGGCCGGTGGTTTCTTCCTACATGAAAGCCCTCTATGGCTGATGCGTAAGGGACGCGAGGCAGAAGCCAAGTCAGCACTCGTTCAGCTCCGCCATCTAACTGTTGAGCATGAGTGTAAGTACATGCGGCAATACCATCTTGGACTCTTGTACTGACCTTGCCAAGATCTCCAGGAAGACGTCCAAGATATGCAGAGCAGACTCGATGAGGAGGCAGCAATCGCAGCCCGCTATGGCAGTGGCTCTTTNGCTTTCATCCGTGGTTGTCTCAACGAGCTTTCCCGTCCAGGCATGCGCAATCGCGTTCTGCTTGTCTTCTGCGCCTTCGCCTTGCAGAATCTGTCCGGTGCCTCTGCCATCAACTACTACTCGCCTACATTGTTCGGTTCCCTCGGTGTCACAGACATTCCGTTGTACACGGGTATCTACGGACTTGTCAAGGCTGTTGCTTCGATCATCTATTACATCTTCTTTGTTGACATGCTCGGTCGTCGCAATCCGGTTCTGGTGTCGTCGATCGCCTGCTCGCTATGCCTGTGGTTTGTGGGAGGATATGTCAAGGTCGGACACCCAGCAAGCGCCATCGCTGCCGGTGAGCCTCTGACAGCATCCACAGCGGCTGGCGGACGTGCTGCGATTGGCATGATCATGATTTACTCCATTTTCTGGTCCTTTGGTCTGAATGGTATTCCCTGGATTGTGTCGGCTGAGATCTTCCCTGGCTCTCTAAGAGTCCTTACGGGCACTTACGCTGCACTCTGTCAATGGCTAGTCCAGTTTGTCATGACAAAGGCCTTGCCATACATTTTCACCTCGTTCGGATATGGCACCTGGTTCTTCTTTGCAGCTTAGATGTTGATTGCAACACTTTGGACATTCTTCTTCCTGCCTGAGACAAAGGGTCTGACAATTGATCAGATGGATACGCTGTTTGGATATCAAGGGCATGCGAGAACAGACGACATGGAGATTGGAGATAGCAACAAGCAAGGCTTTGACAAGGTAGACAAAGTTGGTGCAACGACGACCGAGTACGCAGAGAGAATTTAGTTAGCCATATGACACACCAAACAGATGCACGTCGAAAGGAGATTGGTTGACTTTTCACGATAACCTTTGTATTCCGCACCCACTCAAAGATTTGGGTGTTGATTGACGCCACAAAATACTGCTAGAGCATAGTTTGACCTCAACGTCTGTTGAGCAAGTGCAAAACCATTATTGTAACCATATTCATCCCAACAGAAGGTTGCGTGCGGGCCAAAGCATGTTCCAAGAAGAGTCGAAATGTCGTGTCAGGGTCATGGTGAAAGCGAGGCTCAGCCGAAAGCGGAGGTGTAGCTCCTTCTCCGCAAGCTCACCTGCATCTCAGAATCATTCTCCGGCATGAACGACCAGCATGCGCAGAACAGGATCAATAACACGTCACGATTGGGCAGGTCGCGGCATGGCTGCGTGACGTGCAAACGGAGGAAGGTGCGATGTAACGAGCAACGGCCGAGATGCGCACACTGCGAGCGACTCAATCTTGAATGCACGTGGAAGCCGAACACGACCGTCGCTCTCGCTGTTGCGCGGAGGCGGCACACGAANCCCCCGGACACCCTCGCTCCAGGAGCCCAGAACAGCGGTAGCAGTACGAATGTGATGAATGATGCCGGCGGTGCAACCTCGCAAGCTGCTCTCAACGAGTCGGCGTGGTCTATGCCAGACGTCCATGGCTCCGTCGCGACTTCAACATCGCCGGCCACAACACAAAATCCTCCTGCTGTTGACAATTTCTTCGACTATGCAGGTTTCATGTTCGATAATCCCGAGTGGTGGCAGCAGTTTCAGCCATCTGATGCACTTCCCACGAACAACCAGATCGACCAGGCCCTCTCCGAACTGTTCAGCTCGCCCAGCACGAACTCGCCATCTTTCACCATGGCAAACAACATGGTCCAAGCCGAGAACATCGCGATGAATCATATTGGGAATGGAGATCTGCAATTGGCAAGAGCACAGGACTATACACAGGCTGCACAAACTGAAGATCAGTTCCTGCTCGATTACTTTGTGCATAGTACTGTGCCTCCGATATTGGCTCCTGTCGAGACGCAACAACAATGGTCGTCAATGCGACGCCATCTCCTTGTCATGGCTAGAGAGTCTTCAATGGTGCACTCTGCGCTTTTAAGCTTCTCCGATCTGCTGTTGCGTCGTCGCCGTCAACAGATTCACACAACCAACGGAGGACAGAAGCACCATCGAGACTCTCTTCGCGACTTGTCTAGGTATACTGAAGGCACCGAGATGGCTCAGCCAAGACGCGAGCACCTTCTAGCGACTTGTTTCTTCTTGAGCTATGTCGATATCCTCGAAGGCCGGACGGAAGCAGCGCATGGCAGCTTGAAAATTGCATATCGCATCTTTGANAAGGGCGAGAAGGCAAGCTTCGGTCCTTTGGAAATACGTGTACTTTCCTGGATCAGATTGTTGGATGGCAGAGCTGTCTCTGCAGGTGGTGAAGGTTTGTTCTTGTCCGACGATGAGGCGTCAGAGATGCTTGTACAACCTTCGCCCGCCGGCTTGGACAGTCTGCCGGCTGAGTTTGACCCTTCAAATGAGGCTGATCAGAATGCTGAGATCGAAGATGCTCTCTTTCAAGCGCTGTACCAACCTGGTGCTGTCTTCTTCCAGAAGGTACAATCTTTCATGGGTCGCATAAGTAAGATTGATCCATGGCACAGAAGCCGAGGTACAGTGGCAGATGAGACTGAAGTCATGATCATCGCTGCCAAAATTACTCGGGATCTTGACAGACTATATGACAGCCGACCCCGATTGATGGACTATGCGGCAAAAGGACAACTGACGCCCCGATACCTCAATTCTCATCTCTCTCACACCATCACCAGAGCCTTTCGGACCTACGCAAGTAACTTTTACGCCAGCAAAGTGCATCTCCATCGGGTCGCATACAAAGCACTGCCTTTGGCTATGGAGACTGTACTCGCGCTTGCCAAAATCAAAGAATTGGCCAAGATGATGGTTGACACACCTTCAGAATCTGGCGTCGAAGGTGGAGAGCCCCTACCTGTCAACATGCTTTGGCCACTTCTCATGCTTGGATCAGAAGAAGAGGATCCTCATGAACGAATCTGGATCAGGAATCAAATATGCAGGATGCAAGAAGTGGCCACCAATGCAGAGATGACAGCACAGGTCTTGGATGAGGTTCAGAAGATGCAGGATTCGACAAGGACAAGGGTTGACATTCGCAGCATTATGCACAAAATATTTGATGCGTGTTTTGCCATTGTGTGAGCAAGCCTCATCTCGACATGACATAGTCACGCGAGGACTCTCACGACAGCTTGTCGTATCGATACGAATCCTTCGAACCCTGTATACCCGACGTGACCTTCTGCTGCGCGGTACCGTCGTTGTCGCTGTCGCTGTCGGCAAACTCCTCGGGTCGCGAGTGCGACTCGAAGCCGATCGGATATTGTTTGTGGAGCTGCGGGGCCCCATCGCAAGCCACCCACTCCACAATTGGCGAGTAACAACGAATGAGGCAAGTATCGCTGCCGAAAAAGTGGTCCTCGATCCCGAGAATGCTCCCGAGGCGACAGTCGCTTGCGGTAGTGCCGACAGCTTTCAACATCAAGGTGTTTCGCAACCGCAACAAGTATCTCTGCCAGTCCACAAATCGTTGCTTGCTATTTCTTCCTTTGCCTTCGGCAATTCAGCTTCCCACGTTCAAATAAGCATCATGGTTCACAGCACTACACCGAAGTCCTTCCCTCCTGGTATCCACGTACCCAGTCTGACGTGGTTCGCCAATGACGCCTCTCAAGAGATTGATTGGCCGACGCAGACTGAGCACATCAAATTNTTGATCTCGTCTGGTCTCCATGGCAGTAAGCGTCAAGTTCATTCGGCGTTGCCTCCCCACGCTGATTGATTCTACCCAGTCGTACTTGCCGGCACCAATGGTGAGGCTGTGACGCTGTCACCCAAAGAGAAGTCAGAGCTGGTCAGCACAACGCGCAAACTTGCGAATGAACTCGGCCGACCAGATGTCACAACTACACTTGGATGTGGAGGGCAAAGCACCCGCGATGTCATTGCGGAAACAAAACTTGCGAAAGAAGCAGGGGCCGATTTTGCACTGGTCCTTGTGCCAAGTTACTTTCACTTCGCTATGCACGAGGATGCAATCCTTGAGTTCTTCCAGGAGGTACGCATTGTCAATCTGTTGCGCGCTCGTACTCTGACTCAATTTCTANNGCTTGCCGATGCCTCTCCCGTTCCCATTTTGATCTACAACTTTCCCGGAGTCGTCGCTGGACTCGATGTCAACTCCGATATGCTCTCGAAGCTCGGCAGCCATTCCAACATCGTTGGCGTCAAGCTGACATGCGGTGGTATCGCCAAGGTAGCCCGAATCCGTGCCCAATTCTCGCCCGATGAGTTTTGCGCTCTTGCAGGCCAAAGTGACTGGCTTGTTCCAGCTCTCGCTGTCGGCGCTACTGGAACCATCACTGGTGTCGCAAACCTGTACCCGAAGTACTGCATCGAAATCTACAACCTCTGGACGCAAGGCAAGACGAAGGAGGCCGAAAAGGCACAACTGGAGCTTGCGAAGATGGAATGGGGATTCGCAAAGGGCGGAATCAATGGCACAAAATGGGTCGTTGCCAAGCTCAGAGGATATTCGCTCGACAACTGCCACTGCAGGCGGCCTTATCCAAAGTTCGTCGATGCAAAGAAACAGGCATGGGTTCTGGATACTGTAATGCCGCTGCAGGCACAGGAAAATATCTTGGGTCAGTGAATCATAATAACTTCTTTCGATTCCCTCTCTTGTCGTCTCTTTTCTCGTTGCTCTTCCTATTGCTCTTCCTATCGCTCTTTCTATCGCTCTTCTTGTCGCTCTTCCTGTTGTTTTTCTAATCGCTGTTCCTATCTTAATAGCCAGTAACATAGGGTTCACTTAGCATAAGAAACCCCTGCAAACAGACGTCGCGACCTCTCTTCACGGTGATACCATTCGTACGCAGTCCCTCCCATGGTCCGACGCCTAGAACGTCTGTGCTACGGCTGTCGAGAGGCCATGCGACGCTTGTTCATAGCATAGCATGTAAACACTAAAAACAACAAATTAACTTTTTACTTTTTATACTATCTTCTAGACTAACTGTTAGACTAACCGCTAGACTAACTACTAGACTAACTACTAGTATATTACTATACTACCTTACTTTATATTAATAATTTACTAACTATTTAGAATGATTTATATTAATACTAATATACCTTACTTATTATATCTATTACCTATATATTATCTATTTTTTCTATATTTTATATAACTAATATTAGATTAAGTATTATATTATAAACTAACTATATTAAAAATAAAAGCCTATAGCTAACTTAGTACTAATAAAGATTTACTAACTATACTATTACTTTAGATCTAGATTATTAGCTATTATATAGTCTCTTATAGGCTATTAGTACTAACTTTAATATACTTTATATAATAATATAAGACCTATATTAGAGTATTACTATATTAATATATATATATATATAGTATAGAATCTATTTTATATTACCTTATATTATATTATAAAATAACTTAATAAGCTTTATTACTCTAAATACTATTAGATTAATCTTGTATATATAGTATAGTTTTTATAACCTTTATAGACTATTTAAAGTATCTTAAGACTAATATTTATATTATTATAATATAGTAGTTAAGGTAGTAAATATAGTAAGAAAAAGTTAAGTAATATAGAGAAGCTATAACATAAGAGCTTCTAGATTATAATAGTAGTTAACTAACTAAACTAATATATATATATATTAGTTCTATCTCTTAATATCTATTCTTTTAGTAGTTCTACCTTCTAATAATTAGGTAATACTTTTTAACTTATATCTTATATAGTATAGTTTTAAGATATATTTAGTTTATATAGCTTTTACTTTCTATATTCTAGTAAATTACTATTTTATATAGAGACTAGGTATTATAGCCCTAACCTATAACCTACTACTAAGCCTCTTTATTATAAGTATAACCTTACTAGACTCTAGATCCTAAGCCTATAGTCTAGAGTCCTAGCTACTACTATAGTAATCCTATCCTAGAGTTATAATAGCTATTATAACTCTTATAACTTTATAACTAATTATTAGTTTAACTACTATTTAACTAGAAAAGTCTATTTATCTATCTATCTATCTATAATTAGAACCCTAAGCTATGTCCTATTAGTTAACCTACCTACTAGTTTTACTATCTATAGATAGCCTATTATATTTAACTATAACTATAAGCTACTTTTTTCTTAATATATCTAAACCTATACTATAATATATATTACTATATACTACTTACTTTACTTACTTAATACTCTTTTTTATAAGTATAAACCTTATAACTAGTTATTCTATCTAGAATAGTTAGCTATAATAGTAGGTTCTTCTATATTAATAGGTTTACTATCTCTTTTACTATTTCTTTTTTACTTTCTAGCTAGATTTCCTTTTTTTTACTAACTCTAATATATCTATTAGATAATTAATAGTATTTAAAGCACTATAGTACTTAGTATACTATTTAATATTAAACTATCTACTATAGTTATTTTTTTTATATAATAATTTCTATAAACAAGAAAGTATTAATACTTACCTTTATTATAGAGCTAATTACTATAGTACTAGTAGTCTATCCTAGCTTAGGCTTTAAGAGCTAATCTATATAGTTAACCTTATAGTAAACTAGGAATTAGTAGTATAGTCTAATAAATGTCTATCTTATTTACTCTTACTCTTTAGATTTAAATCTAGTTACTAAGATACTTATAACTATAACTCTTAATATTAGGGTAATAATCTCTATATAGGCACTAAGGTAAGTAATCTACTAGTATCTATTTATAATATGTCTTTTTACTATTATAGTATTATAGCTAACTATTCTAGAAAGAATAACTAATTATAGAAAAGACTTATAAAAGAAGTATTAAATATAGTAAAGTAAATATAAGTAGTATATATTAAAGAAACTATTAGAATAACTAATTAAGTTATATATTAGACCTTTTACTAAGTATTTACCTATCTATATATTTAATAGATAATAAGTATATAAGTTAAAAATAGTATAGTCCTAGTATACTTATAGATATTATAACTTTATAATAATTTAGTAAGGTTCTATTATAGTTATATCTATAATATTTATAGATAGGACTTAGTAGAATAGCCTTAGTAAACTAAGCTATTTAGGTAAGTATATACTTATAGATACTCTCTCTTTATTTAATTACTATACTATATACTATTAGTAGGCTTTTATTAGTAAAGTTTATATTTCTACCTTAAGTTATTTCTATAGAGTTTTAGGATTACTTTTCTTACTAGTAAGGAATCTCTATTATAAGAGAAAACATATAATTAAGTAGTTAAAGTAATATGTTTTAAATGGCTATAAGCCTAGGTTTTATATAATCCTAGAATCTATATAACTTTTTAAGGCTCTACTAAGTAATATAATATAGTAGATAAGTATAGAGGCTTAGGATATAACACTTATTATCTTCTATATAAGAGATATAAGTAATTTTAGTACATAGGAGTAGGGTTTTTAGGCATTTTATCTAAACTAATGTAGTTTCATTGCTCTATAAGACATCGATATTGTTCCATTGGTCTGTGCTAAGTTATAGTTGTTAACTAGACAAGCTATAAAGTAAAGTGAAGGGGGCAGTGAACTTGAGACTGGCTGCCGTAACTTCTCCTACGTCCGAGATGTAGAAGCTTTCTTTTTGGCTTGGTCGTTCGCAGGCTAAGGATCGCAGCCAGATGACTCGGCAAGACTCAAGTCGCATACACAAAGACCCCATAATCGATCTCCTGCGCAACAGGTGTATATCTCCAGCGACTGATGTATGTCTGCGTAGTACGATTGGCACCGTTTGTTGTAGCATAAGCGCCCAGTAGTCCACNCTGTTAGATTGCATAACAATTAGTCCTAGATTAACCTAGCGGATATCGGAAAAGAGAAGACTACTCACCACTTGCATTCCCTGGACCAGAAATAAGCGTCGTGTTTGCGATACCCACTACAATACTCGATAAAGGCCTAGCTGCCGGTGCAGCCACAAAGACAAAGTGCGTGCCGTTGATGGCAGAGATACCAAGTCTGACCAGATCATCCGACCAGTCGGCCGGCAATGCAAGAAGTTTGGTCTTGGGTACAATGCCAGTAAAGTTGGTCTTGCCAAAGGCCGTCGCTCTGTACCGCAGATAGGGAGAGGTTTTCTTGTTGTTCTTGGACAGGTACACGACGCCGAGATCCACGTGTTGATATTGATCGAGGAAAGACGTAATTCCCACTTCATCGCCTTCTTGCGCTTCGGCACCAAGAAGTTCTACATCCACAGTAAAGTTGAAAAGTGTGTGTGCTTGACGGCGCATCACGAGTGTCAGTCCATCTGTGGCATTGAAATTGGCATCTCCAGTCAAATTCGCCCTCGATGCAGTTAATCTTAGAGTGTTGGGCTTGTTAGGTGGAGAGACCGTGAAGGAGTTGGGCTTTGCCGGAGTGCGCCAGAAGTCAAAGTGCTTGGGTATAGATGACCCAGGCACAAAGTCGACGACATCTGCTTCTCCTGCAAACAAACCCTCGCCGCTCACATTGCGATTTGGCAAAGGTAAAGGTCCGGACATGATGCCGCGGATTTGACTGGCAATAGGCCATCCATCTTTGGGCCAGGTAACAGGAAAGAGGGTCGTCTCTCTACCCATTGGGAAAATCGTTTGATTGTAGAGCTTGGGTCCACTTCTCACAGCCAATGCACAACCCCACCAATTACCAGAGGCATCCTGGAAAAGGTCGGCATGGCCAACTGACTGGAAATACTCGTCTGTTCTGCGGTTACTGACTAGAGGGTTGTACGGTGACGACTCATAGGGACCCCTTAAAGATTTGGATCGAGCGATGGCCCCTGAATGGCCAAGCTCGGTACCACCCTCTGCAATCAACAGATAGTAGTATCCATCTTTCTTGTAGATGTGTGGTCCCTCCGTGAAGCCATTACCTGTGCCATTCCACATATCAAACGTCTCAGTGGCGTTGCCCGTCTTCATATCGATGATTTGTGCCTTGATTGGGTGACCAGCGTATGCCACAATGACCGTACCGTCATCGTCGAAGAATATATCTGGGTCAATGATGTAAGGTGTCTCGATAGCGAATGGCATCGACCAGGCTGAATCATTTGTTGCGTCCTCGGATGTGAGGATATAGAACGTGGGCGGCAGTGGGTTCTCGATGTAGGTGGTAATGAGATAAAAGGTGCTCTTGTGGTAGCGGAGTGTGGAAGCGAATATACCTCCTCCCTGAATGTTGTTACTGGTCATGAGAGAAGGGAGTTGCTCTGGACGGCTGATCGCATTGCTTGCCAGCTTCCAATTGATGAGATCCTTCGATGAATAAACAGGTGCGCCAGGATATGCAAGAAAAGAAGATGTCGTGCAGAAGAAAGTATTGTCAAGCTCGGCCACAAAGACACAGCTAGGGTCGCTATTCCATCCTGGAAGGATAGGATTGATATAAGAGACATTCTTGAAGTTGCCGATGTTGCCCACCACAGTACGGACCAGGCTAATCAACACCAGAGATAGAGTAGTTAAAGCAAGCATGATGATTGTTCGAGGGCCAATATCGTATTCGTAAGCGTGTCGAGACCTTAACTTTACAGATAAATGGCCGTGTGGGTTGTCGGCAGAACGTCTATAACTACTAGCGTTTTGCTAACCCGAGGGTAACGCTGTTCACGAGGCGGGATGTGGGGTCTAATGTGCGGGGTTCCTGTAGATGAACATATACAGTACTCTAGCCTCCTGTTTACATAAACAGAGCATCGGAACAGTTAAACTAAACTCACCCTTACTTAACCGAGTTATTGGAGGAGGGATTCCGGCACTCTTCTACTATAGTGGGTGGATAAAAGTTTCGTAAGGCTAGCTCCTTGGCGGCTTTCCGCGCGCCTAGCTAATAGGTAGGGGGACCTTTCGCAGAAAGGTCTCCTACCACTAGATTGATTGATTGATTGATTTAATTGATCAGGCTACTTGGTTCTACGGCAAACCTATTAGCCGTCTCCTACTGGTTTTACCTTTTATGTCCCTATCTGTCCTTGTTCCATTCTAGCTTCCCCTTACTCGACAGCTCTCGTCTGCCACGCAAACCTGCCGGACTTGTGAAGAAAATGGAGGACCGCCTTCACCGCCGGGAGGTTCGCTTTCCATTTTCCTTCGGCCCGTCGACTGGTCGCCCAGTTCTCGGGTCTTCCCAGGGATTCCAGCCCCCGAGTATGTAAGAAAGGTCCCTCCACCTGTGCCCTACTGCCTCGATAGCAATTTGACGATCTTCGCGTAGGAGGGGGCATTCGTATATGACGTGCTCAACACTTTCTTGCGTGGCTCCGCATTCGCACCTTGCTGAGTCCACCAGTTTCATCCGGCATAGGTCACTCTTTAGTCGGGAGTGCCCTGTCCGGCATTGGGCGAGTATCGACGCCTCCTCCGCGGACAATGCATTATACACTATCGCTATATGGGGGCCTGGGAGAGCTCCGTCTAGCTTCCACGTGTACAATCCAGTATGTAGCGTGTCTCGAGGTCTTGTCTTTCTGGCCTGTTTCCAGGTCTCGTCCAGCTTCTGCTGAAGTGTCTTCTTAGCCACCCTTAAGACCATCTTCTTCGTAACTCCTGTGTAGCGTTGTTGGTATATTCTCGACTTTGCCATGCTATGGTCGCGTGCGTCCGGAGGCGTTAGGGGGTTAGTAGGTGTTGGGGGTCCGTAGATGTCCAAAGATCCAAAGAGGCTAGGGGGTTAGTAGGACCTGCGGGTTGCGTAGCAGGGCCTTCCCCCTCCCCGTCCCTCCTCTAGTGCCTTTTTCGCCTTCTTGTCTGCCCACTCGTTGCCGTACCACCCCTTATGGGCCGGTACCCACTGTAAGGTGACCATTGCCCCTTCCCGGGCCTGAAGAGCATCGATGTGCTTACGGATGTATCGTACCACGTATTGTCCGTGTGGGCTTGCCCCCTCCGTGATATGTCGGATAGCTTGCTTGCTATCTGTCGCGATGATCGTCTTTATCGGGCGTGGCCTTCTCCTTGTTTGATATGCTAGCGCTGCCTCGATGGCTATAAGTTCTGCAACCGTCGAGTCGCCTGCTGCCCATCTAGGAAGTCGCTTTTGGGTGATAGTCTTTCCAGTGTTCCCTTGCACTACTGCAATGCCACTCTCGCCGCTCTTCCGTGCTGCGTCAGTATAGAATGTGCATCTCTCTTCCCTGCCTGCTTTCGATCGTAGTCGTCGAATGACTACATCCGCCTCGTCTTCTAGTCCCTTAACTAGGCATCCCGGGACGCCCTCTGTCCACGGTTCTTGAAGCACTGGCTCTACGGTCTCCATTAGGCTTTCGGCCGTCAGGCCTAGATCCGGGCCAAACTTCCGCGTGGTGATAGCTAGCGGAGACGGGAAGCTCTTGCCTTGGGTGAATAGCCTAGTTAGGCAGTCGAATAAAGGATTTGTGTTTGGTACTGTAAGGCTCCTAACCAAATGGTTAGTAACCTTCCTTTGTAGCCGGTCGACTGTGGTTTCGATGCCCGCTTCGGCTTGAGCCACTGTAAGGGCTGTAGCCTTAAACGAGAGTATTATCGCCTGGGCTCCAATGCGCTGCACCTTTTCCATATTGCGGAGCAGCGAGGTTGTTCCCCACTTTCCAGGTCCGTACCATGCAGAAGCGCAGTAGTCCATGATCGGGGTAACCGTCGCATTGTACAGCTGTCTGACTTGTTTAGGCCTAACTCCTCGTAGTCGTTTGATAGCAAGGCACTGCTTCATAGCTTTGGCCGTCATCCTTGCTACATGTTGATGGAATTTCATCTTGCAGTCTAAGGTGACCCCTAACAGCTTGATGTGCTCACTTGGTTCGATGTCTTGGCCTTGGAACTGCAGGTCCGGTCCGTTTTGCTGGCCCTCTTCTACCCTTCGGGTGAAGTGGATAAGGCCTGTCTTTGACGGTTCGAACGTCGCTCCACTTTCTCTCGCCCACCTCTCGGTCTTTGTAATGACTGTCGTTTGGAGGGTCTGGATATTTTCGTCTACGTTGTCTCCCACGACCCACGGAGAGTAGTCATCAACGAACCCTAGGGCTCCCTTTGTCTTATCGATAGGTTGCCCAATGAGATTGGCGTTGTAGAAGATGTAAAGTATAGGGGATAGCGGTGACCCCTGCGGAATGCCAGCTTGAGCGATCGGCTGTCTTTCACTTTCGAACGCTTCGAGGGCGACCGTGGCCGTCCTTTCTTTGCAGAAGTCTCCAACCCAGCTGCTCAGGGTATCGGGTATTCCTCTCCGTTCGAGCCTTGCTTCCAAGCACTCTAGGGTTAACCCCGTTAAACGCCCCTTGGACGTCGAAGGTCACTAGAGACACGACCTTCCTGTTTCTCCAGGCCTCGTATACGCGTTCTACGAGAACGTTGATCGCTTGCTCGCACGATCTCTTCTTCCTAGCTCCGAAATGGTTATCTGGAAGAAGGTTGTGTCTCTCTGCCAGGTAGGCGAGTCTGTTCGCGACCACCGCCTCGAGGCCTTTGCTAATCGTAGCTAGTAGTGAGATAGGCCGGAAAGCCTTTGGCACTGTGTAGTCGGGTTTTCCAGGTTTTCGTAGAGGGACTATCCTCGCCGTTCTCCAGCTGTCTGGAAGATGGCTTAGACGTAGCGATGCCTTGTACAGGGCCATTATGCTACCCTTTGCCTCATCCCATACTTTCTGCCAGACTAGGAATGGTATGTCATCTGGCCCTGGTGCCTTTTTCGGACTTGATCGGAAGATCGCCGCGCGGACTTCGCTTTCTGTGATCTCTTCATAGGTCCTCGTAGGTAAGGGAGCCTCTACGCCTTCTAGGCTCTCCCCTTCGGGCTCCGGTTGTGGTGGGAAAAAGGCTTGGAGGAGTACCGTTGCTTTTCCTTCATCGTCGTCGACCGGCCCTTGGGTTCCTTGTAACGTAGGAACACCCCCAGATCCTGCGTCCATGCGAGTGTACCTGTTGGCCTTCCACACGTTCTCTGGGCTGTCCACAAACTTCCTCCAGTGGGCAGCCTTCTGACTTGCTATTTGTGAGAGGTAATCTTTTCGGACTGCTTGGATCTGTTGATGTAAGTCCCTGCAGTTTGAGTCTCTCCTTCTCCGTTCTGTCTCCTGGTTCCGTAAAGATGAAAGTGTAAGCCGGAGTGCCGTAAGGGATGGTGTCCACCACCTTTTGCGTTTGGATGAGGTTTGGCGTATGGGATCTTATCTGCGACTATCTGGGTAATCGCTTCAACAAACCTCTCGGCCTCGTCGTTAAGCTGCTCTTTCGTCGAGATCTGTCGAGGTCGAGGTATGATACTAACTGCCTTGCAGATGTTTCCCCAGTCTGCTTTGTCGTAATTTCTCCCTAGTCTCCTCGTCGTCCTAATCTCCCAGGGCATCTGGAAGCGGGCCTCTATGACCCTGTGGTCGCCTCCGTGGTCTGTATCGGAGGGTTTGCACTGGATCATAGCCGCCTGTAGTCCTGGTGACACCAGGACTAAGTCAATAGTAGTCGGGTGTAGTCCGTTGTTGTGCGAGAAGGTGATCGTGCCTCTCGGGAGCATAGAGTCCAATTCTTCTTCGACCATGAATTGTAAAATGGGCCAGTCGTCCTTTCTTCTGTCTGGCGCTACTTCCTTCCCTCCCCACACATTGCTGTGACGGTTGAAGTCCCCCCCTACGTATACGTGGAGGGCGCTGTCTGTTTTCTCCCGGGTTTTCTGTATAATGTCTTGGGCGCACGCTATACGCTCCTGTAGGTCGATCTCTTCCTGTGGTCTCTTGTATGGGACGTAGATCGATATGAGCAATAGCAAAGCACTTTCCACTTGTAACGTCACCGCTGCTACGTCTGACGATGTGGTCTCAACTTCCTGGTGCTTGATTCTGTCTGACACCCAGATCGCTGCACGGAACGAGAATCGCACCGAGCTCGCCTCCTGATTGTATGTTTTCGGTGTAATCGTCGTCCACCCACTGTGTTGATTGACTGTGGGTTCCCCTGTCCTAGGATGAGCAAATATGTATGGTTCTGAGATGCACATGGCGTCGAACGTTGCCGTGCTATCGTCGTTGAAAATGCTCATGATAGGGCCTGGCCTAGCCCCTACGTTCGCCTGTAAGATGCTTATCTGGTGTCCTAACATCTAATAGAGGACTGAGTCGCCTGTGGTCTCGTATCAGGTGCTTGTTGTCTTGCCTCCTTGTGTCTCGGGTTGGCGACGCATCTCCTATCCATAATAGAATGGGGTCCGTTACACGCCGGACACTTAGGGTTACTTTTGTCCATACAGTCCCTGCTCTGGTGGTTTCCCGAACAGTGGCCGCATTTGGCGGGTTTGGTGCATCTGAACTGGTAATGGCCGTAGCTGTTACAATTGAAGCACGGGTCGTTGTTCTCCTTTGCCTCATACGGGGCCGCGAATCCAGCTGTGGGTCCAAAGATGACGGTCATCTTCCTCAGCAGATAGGCAGCTGCCTCTCTTTTCTTTAGCCATACAATCATCGACCCGTTAACCTTGTCTGATGGCCTGCTGATCCAGACAGCCTTCATAGCTGTACAGTCGATGTTGTCCTTACTATTGTCGGTCGCGAAGTTGGCTACAATTTCTGGCTTTAGGGTCTTCGGTCCTCCGGCCGGGTCGAGTACAACACTCTTCGAAATGCCGTCAACCTTGATTGGGTACCAGGTCTCGCCGCGAATGCGGGCTCCTGGCATCGCTCTCTCAATCCATCTAGGATTGTCGCGTGTGCGCTGGGCTTGCTCGACTGTGGCCAGACAGAGTTCCACTTTGTTAGTGTAGATCTCACGGAGGAATTCGACCTCGACGTCCTCGGTGTTCGGATTCTCTTGAAGAGCCTTAATCCATTTGCCTTTTACCTTGTTCAAGTCGTCTTTGTCTCCGCGGGCCCTAGAGATGTCAATCTCTATGGTCTTTCCTTCGTTGGCTAGAGGTTGGGCATTATGACTAGTGTCAGACTCCGAGAGGAGCTCTGTCCTAGCCGAGTGCTGGAGACTCGGTCCTTTCTGGCTTGCGACTTGAGACCATGTCCTACGGGGCTGAGTCGATGGCGAGTTGGTCGTGGCCGTGGGACTCGCGGATCCGGCGATAGACAGCTGTGTTAGCTGTTCTTCCATCCGATAGATCGCTTCGTTCATTTCTTTAATCTTGCTGTCCTCTAGTTGCTTCTGGAGTTCCTGAACCTGTTTTGTAAATTTCTGGTGTTCATTCTGGTGTTTTTCGGTGATTTTCTTAATTTCTTCGTGGTGCTTTTTAACGATCTTCCCGGTTTCTTCCTGGTGTTTTTGAAGATTCCTTCGGTTTCNTTCATGGTGTTTTTCGTTGATTTTCTGGGTGATATTCTTAATCTGGTCGATGTGCGCGCCTTGAATCTCTCGGATTGCGGCGTTGTACTTTGCGTCCTGTGTGGCCTGGGCTCTGTTGAACTCGTCGACAATCGCCCTCACCAGTTCTGCGTTGCTGATCCTGCCTGCGCTATTGAAGATAACCGGGTCTCCGACTCGAATTTCGTCCGCCTCTGTTTCTTCCCTCATCCTCTTCGAGCCTCTCCTTACTGATCTCGTCTTTCTAGCCATATCTGCGCCCGTTGGGATGCCAAGGCTGAAGCTTCGAGCTTCCCCCGCATCCCCATAGCTGGCGTCGCTTTCCATCGCACCTGCGACCGTTGCGACGACGTCTCCTCGTGTAGTTCTTCGATTCGGCTGCTTTAAATTCGTATATCCTCACAATAAATTGTAAGGTGACCCTCACCTCCATGCCACGAACAATTCGACCTTTCAAACATTTTGACCCTTCCTCCGGAGTTTTGCCGCAACATCGAACCTTTTCAAATGCACACAACCTCATGGCCTCTATACACCTTTGCATGTTCGTTAGACCATATTTTCTAAGCTATCCACATCTCAAGATTCCATCTTGACCATCTAACCATCTAGCAAATTATTTCTAGCAAAGAAACATCGTGCTGCTAATAGCATAGTGTATCTCCGGCATCTGGGGGTTGCTAGAGCATTCAAGCTGACGCGCTAGTTCCACGCGCCGGATAGCGCGCATCGCGTCCTGACCACTACGCGTTCTACACTTCTTAGACATTTCTTACCTTACCTTAAGCCATCTTTTGGACATGCCTACCCTCTAACTTCATATTGATTGCCATCAAACTCTAAGCTGCTTCTTTCGTCAGTCGTCATCCATGTTGTTTCCTAAGGACGAATTCGATGCTTATCTTACCCATCTGCCAAAATACAAAATCATAATCTGCAGGTCGTGTCGGTTTGCAGTCCCTCCACAGGCAATCAAAAGCCATTTGCGAGCTCAGCATTCGCCCGTCAGTAGTCAATCGATCAGAGGAATCCAGTCCATCATCGACGATCTAGGCGACTCTGTCGCGCGATCCGCCCAGGACGTTATATACCCAGATCCAGATGCAGAGCCTATCGAGTGCCTCAGAACGTATCAAGACGGGCTCATGTGTACAAGCCTTGATAGCGCCGGCCGGCAGTGTGGTTATATATGCAGGTCGGTTGCTAGGATGCAGCAGCATTGCAAATCTGTCCATAAGTGGGTAAACCCAAATAAAAGAGGTGGCGATGTGCGTGTAAAAGCAGCACAGACTTGGATTGTCCCGTGGGAAAGTTGTTCTTGCTGCCAGACGTTCTTCCGTAACAACCTCTGGATACGATTCTTCAAGGTGAACCCTAAAACACCTCAGCTTTTAGGTCTAAGACAAAATGATCCTCGCGGACAAGCTGGAGTTTTCAGATCTGAAAAGACACAATCTCCTTGCACATCCTATCTACGCTTGAATCGAAAGAGGAGACATACCGTTTGTCTTGTCAACAGATTAGTGATCAAGGCCAGACGAAAGTTGATTCCTCTCCTTGGTTAGAGATGACAAGATGGACTAGGTATGTGAACGGTCACGCCTTTGCCACCCTAGCACCGCTCGCCCACCTTGCGGATCCTACAAAGGAGGCCCTTATGTTTCAGCTAGGAGAGAGCTTAGATCGGATTGTAGAGCAAGCATACGAGTCTATCTGCCAGGACAAGATCAACGTTTTCGATCAAACAAGGATTAATAGCTTTATGCAGCGTCCACGGGCCTTTGACCGACCACTCATGGTCAAGTTACAAAAAGCATCTTATCGTCAGTACAAGGGCCTATGGAAGCGCTTGATCTGCTTTGTCTGTCGGACAATAGCATTTAATCAGGGCATCGAGCTCGCACATCAACTCACACCAAAGCAAGGTGCCTTGCTCGATCGGCTTCTAGCTAAAGGAGAGAAGCTTTTGTCGTTTGTACAAGAAGTCGATACACCTTTGGCAAGCGAAAATCATTCTAGGGGCCATGACATTACGCAATTGGAGGCAGAACTCGATCGCGAATGCCTTCTTTTTGCATATCTCTACTTGATCATACGCTTAAGGGTGATCTCTTCGAGAGTGTGGTTGTTGGCTTTTCGCTATAATGGCGATTGATGAGAAAAAGGCATCTTCATGGATGCAAACGCCTTTACACCTACCTTGTCTCGCTTTATCAAAATCAGTCAGATGCTCGTTGCACAAAGAGCCGTTTTGGCAGTCGCAGAGGGTGAGGTAGATGACCCTTGCGACCTTCTTGACGATATGCGAGATAGGTTTTTGATCCATGGAAGCAGATCCCCATTTGCCTGGGCAACTCGACTACGTATGTATGGCAGAAAGGTACGAGATAGCACAACCTGCCTTGGGTATATCAGTTGGTCAGACGATCAGGAGACTGTCTCGTATAAGGCGCTCGAGCTTTCTATGACACAATTCAAGCTTTTCGTCGCAGATTCAGTTAGTACAGGACAGAAGCTCCTTGCAGAGCTCTTTCTACTACATCCGGACGAGCAGCGGGAGGACATCGTGCCTATGCTGCAGCTTCTAAGGATTAAGGACAATGCAGCAGAAAATCGAAGGGGCTGGAATTTCCTCCAAGATCCGCGCAACAAGGAAGAACTCCCGGATGGCCGTCGGTGGCTGTTAAAACGCGTCTTAGACAATGATTGGCTTCGAGACGAGTTCGTTCAGATTAAAGGAGTCAATCGAAAGCCCGTCTGGATAGCTCAGGCTGCAAAAGATTACGACTGCAAGGTTACGCGCTTCTTGGACATCCTTTGCTCTTAGTCCATATCACATCAGGACAGCCCGCGAGAGGTACAGAGACACTGAGTCTCAGACATACGAACACAATGCACCACCGCAACATATTTATCGAAGATGGTCTCGTAAGCACCGTGACCACATATCATAAGGGCTATAGCGTTACAGGATCTACTAAAATCATTCACCGATACCTACCTAGAGAAGTCGGCGAGCTAATGGTCTACTATTTATGGTTGATACTGCCATTTTCTGAGGCGCTAGGAACACTTGCTCTAAATCGTAACCTCACACATTCTGCTTACCTTTGGGGGGAGCCAGATTCGAGAAAGGACAGCTACAAGCTGACTTCAGTTCTTAAAGCGCAGACAAGCAACTATTTCAACACTGCGCTTAATGTTACGACCTATCGGCATCTTTCTATCGCGATATCCCGTACCCACCTCACCTGCGGTGGGTTTAAGAAAGACTATGGTCTAGAAGAGTGTACTAGTGATCAACAATCAGCGCATAGCTCATGGACAGCAGGAACGATATATGCCCGCGGTCTAGAGGAAGCAGCCGGTCATGTACAAAACCGAAGAGCGGAGTATCGGGCAGTAAGCCGCGAGTGGCATCAGTTTCTCGGCTTTCTAGGAGGACTTGGCTGCCGAAAGAGACCGAACAACAGAGATATACCTAGACCTAACAGAAAAGGCCTTAAGCTTTGTTGACAGAGGACACAAACAGATGGTCAGAACGTTAGACGCTCGGGATTCAGGGCGAGCAGGGTGTGACGGCAAGCAAGCATACATATTCGATGGTATTGCCTCTCCTAACTTAGCAAGCTAGAAATGTAGACCATCGGGTAGACGTACAGATTACAAGCAACTATAAAGGGGATCGATCGCTTTAAA